ATCTTCGACTATGAGGTTGCCTGTTTGTTTGGCTGATTCCGTTTGTGTTAGCATAGGACCATACGTTTGGTAATCATCGTTTGCCGTATATGTTGGTAGACGCCAATATCTATCCAAAAGTCACCACCCGGGGAAGAATTTGCGTTCATATTAGGATAGAGAGGGAAAAAGAGCATGCGCGAAAAGGAGGAAGGACTCGGCTAGTTCTGCAAGTAGGCCTGTTATAGCTGGTTGTCTTTGAGGTATGTCCGTTAGCCATCTGTCTCGGGTTGTTGGTGCTGCTACTTCTGCTAACGACAGCGGCTTGTACGCTCGTGCGTTTCAATGGGTCCACTGAAACAGTACAACGTGACATGATGTTAGGCAGCAACGCCTGTACAAATAGATATCTGGTAGTGTTTCACTGTCTGGTCCGTTCCATCCATGAAAACAATGACATCGCGCAATTCGTTGGAGTACCAACGCCGCCTTCTCGCATGGACTACGGCCATCGGCTGTTTGCTGTGTCGTGTTGATGGTCGATATCACCCCGTCGATATAAACTTCTGTCGATGATACTAATGTGAATGGAGCCGAATAGCAGGCGCATCGAGGACAACATAAGGTTCATGTGAGGCTTAGGCTATTTGCCAGTATCAAACGCATTATAATTCGTTTCGAATCAGCACAGCCATAGAACGTAACAGAGCTAGCTAATCGAACGCGATAGAAAAGACTATACATAACGAGAGCGTACATGTTGTCAAAAAGAAAAGTCGGTCGAAAGGGACATTTCAATAAATATTTGTGCATTTTTTACAGAAATAGTATAAAGGAAGTCGGATTTCGCCGTATGTCGTACCCTATCGCGCGTGCATTTGTTTATGTGAATTGACAGGAGCCATTCAAAGCTGCCATATTGTGTGTTAAATATTACGGATAGGTTTTTAGTGGTACAAGAGAACGACGAAGATCGCAGGCAGTAAAGAGAGATGAAGATGACGGCGTTCGAAGGCCATTGCAACGTCTCGCAGTAAACCATCTTCCACCAGCTTGACAACAGCGCCACGTACCGAGGGAACCACAGCCCGCTTGTCTGTCAGGGCTGAGTACCTCAAAAGCTGTTATAATTTGCAGCATCAATTAGCTCTATGCTCGTCCCAATATATGCTGGCCGAATCTTCGTCATGCTCATCCATCCCCATAACTAATAAACGTCAGACGCATTTAAGCCGTCAGCACACCGTTCGTATCATTATCATGTCACATATCAGTTCTCTGCCTGCATCTGGGTCATCGCTAATGTTCCCGTAACAGACGGCAGTCAGACGATAAACGCAGCTACTGATGAGGCGAGTGACCATAGACAAGCATCATTGCATCTTCAATGCAAGCAGCAATTCCTATGACATTAATCGTTAGTAGCGATAGCTAGGACGATAGTTTAAGCCAGACAAGCCCTTCTGCACGTTGCCCATGCGAAATTGACTGGCCTAGGCTATTTGGCGAAGTGATCCATTTTACCTGGTCTACGTAGCGGTAACGATTGCGATGACTCACACAAGACAATCGAGCGGCGGCAGCGACTTCGGAGACGAGATGAGTTAAGGAGTGGCCATATTCATGAACAACTTTAGTGCCCTGTATGCGTATTGGGCACGTAGGGAACTTTTAGAGAACTGTTAGTTGGAACGGGACGCCCTATTTTAAGTGTATTTGGGCTAGCATTCCATATCATAATAGAGATTCAACCACTTGTACGTGGTGTAGTAAGACGCTCTCTGTCAATGACTAGAATAAGTTGTACATATGCTCTGAGCAAAACCACGTTACCGTTTCACCATGTAGTTGGCTTTCGTAGTCATCATTGACTACGAAAGCCAACTTAGCTACACTGGCAGCTATAGTCTGCTTTGTGCGTTTATGTATGTATTTACAGCGTGCCTCCGTCTTTCACCTATGAGTGGATCAAGTCTTTGAGCAAGCCGTTTTACTATCGTGCACTATAACAGGAACATAGGATATTCTATTTTTCATAATTGCCATCACTGCAGGCCGGGTTGAACAATGCTCGGTGCTTCTGTGGTAGGTATCTAACGGTACTTTGCTGCTGTTGCTGCCATTTCTGCGGCGAACTATATATGACAGCAAGAAACTGACGAAACACGATGATCGTAGCCAACGATGATGCAGAAATCGGCTCAAATGCCCTCAAAGAAGGGACATGGCTTGTACAGTGCATTATATCATTCTGGTTAGGAGACGTTGTACTCACAGAGCGTCGTACTCTCGTGGAGGAGACTAAGTCTGTTTGGAGGCACCCCGCTTCCCAATATATCTAGCGGGGTATGGCTAATCGCATCGGTCGACAATCTAGTAAACGGCATATAATGGAATAGTAGACATTGGCATGGCAACAGACAGCAATCTGACGCGGTGGTTTGCTTTATGTGACACGATCGGCTGTCGCTGGGTTCCGTTCGTGCACACCACGCACAGAGGTCCTTTGCCGCCAGGAGCTGACCGAGACGGGCGTACGGAGTATTTACGAGCGTGTAGACTGTTTCTCGTATCATGTCGGAGACCATTGTCGCGTGAACGCCACCGAATCAACGAATCTGGCGGACCAGACTGTTATCAGCGACTTAGCAGAGACTTGAGTCTTGCTCCAAGTTGATTAGCGTAAGCACCGAAAATATGGGCGCATAATACGGCGTGACGACGCGGTGAGTGACTGAAGAGGCCGGCCTGGTGTAAGCACATTATTGGATCAGTGCCATCATTGTTGTTGAGCTCCTGATGAACTCGAATGCGTCCAAGAGCACAGACGGGAAAATGGACCCACCAAGGCACATTCCCCTCTATTAGCTACTCCAGATCAGCTCGGCCGGCGGTTACCACTGAATCGGTGCTAGCATAGCTACCTATCGTAATTAACGGTGCTGTGGCATCAATATCGCGGGTGGCAGCACGCGGTGTATAGTGTTTCCTATTACGCCCAAGCGCTACCAGCGTGTCGACACTTACGCATCCTTTTTATTGTACTAATATCCGCAATGAACAATACTTAGTTAACGCTATATAGTTATACCATAGCTACTATTTAGTTACGAGGTTTTGGACATACATATCCTATTTAGGACCTGCCCACTGAGAACAACATAGGCGACGCTTCTTAGTGGCGTCGAGCGTTTTTACTGCGTTAGGAATTAATTTACGTATATATATATATATATATAGATATATATATAATTTAATTTACTGACCCTAAAATGACGCTCTGAAATGTATATAGTACGATGATAAAAAAGGGCAGACGCCGGCGTTCAGCGTTCACTGTCGTCTGATTTCAACAGTCGATGATACACATACGCACACACGTATGTGCATATATAGATTGAGTAATCACTTTCAAGCTGGTTATTCCACAGTGATTTCATTTATTTGGCTTAAGTTAGGAATAGCGTCATTGAGGGTTCTTCAGGGTAGTTGTTTCAATTTGTGTCCTGATAACTGCTCCGACTATCTCAATTACTAAAGAAGTTCATGTCGTCAGAATCCAATAAAGCTATGAATCTAAGTTTCGCATCTTGAAATAAATAAGTGTGTTTGGAACTGACAGTAGGGGTCATCGGCGTGTCATGAAATGCTGACAGGGTTGTCAACATTTATTGTTAGATGTGTTACAGTAGATATTAACGACAGGAAGTTTACTTATCAGGAAGTTTAAAGTTTAGTGACCAAGATCTTCCGTTTCCAAACCATGGCTCTATAATATGAATGAAACACTTAAATCCGTTATGAATTGTTTACGATACGGATATATCTCTATTGGAAGTGTCCTTCTTGGCAATCATGTTTATTCAGCATAATCGTCATTGACCACAATTACAATTTCAGTTTGGAACCTAAAGCACCCACTAATCATTTTCGTTATGTTCCTTCCTTTATCCACAAATAACTTTTTTTAATGATAACTATCCATCAAACGATATTGGTAGGTGTAAACTCGTTAATGTATCGCTAAAATACGCCACATATAAAAAAATTCCAGCGCGATTAAATTGTGAGTTGATAGCAGGCTGGAAGTCCCAAAGGCGCAGGGGCTCAAAAGGGCCGGGGAGCCTGAAAAACACGAAAAAAAAATCAACAAGGCTAACCGCTAAAGCCTATCTGGAGGACTTAATCGACAACTGATATTCTCCTTTTCATGGCACTTCATCTCTGGTTTAAAAATACAGGTCGATTAATAATGGCTTTTTGAGCGATTTTGCTAAATCTATAAACTTATCAAATTTATATTTTATCGAAACTCTTCGTTTTTGGCTCATAGACGTGAGATTTTCATCTCAGATTTTTCAAAGGCCACATGAAAACAAGCAATATTGCCAAATAGCAAAAAAAAAAAAAGCTTTAATCTTGGTTGGGTTTCGGCCAGTGCTAATAAATTGGGTAACAGCTTATCGTCGGTCAAAAACCAAAAAATGACAGGCCGTTTTTTTACTATGACGTGTTTATTGTTTGATTCTACAAAGAACGGGCTTACTTGAAGTATCAACAATAGCGGATCAGCGCATGCGCGCTACTCCAAGCAACCCGCCAAAATCTATTCGAATTTGAATACCCGACCGTGTATACATATAAAGCTTGTGTATCGATTAATGAATTCCATTCGGAGCAGCAGTCAAGACAAGACACTTCTCCTACGAACTTCATCAATAAAAATCAGAACAGCGGTTCGTTTCAGTTGAGCTCTTCCTAGTTTCTGATTGTACCCGATTTCTGGCGGAAGTTGGTTTTTCTTAGGAAACAAGTACCCTTTATGCCAAAAACGAATATCACAAGCCTATGACTTGTTGTCACTCGGACTTTCTTGTTTGCCACTATCATGTAATGGCGAAACACTACCCAGTTATCAGTCACCGGCAGCACATCGATATGGTATATATGTGCCTTGCCCTAGCAACCTTGGCCTACATAATGCGCCGTTTACCTGCCCACCCTAGCCGTCCAGATTATCTTAATTTTCCCGCTGGTTGCGTAATTCATAAGGAAAGACGAGCTGGATTCAAACTATTTCTTCTATCCGCCCTCCTTCCTGTTGGTTGCTCTGTTTATTTCGCACCATTAAAGCCCTGCATAACCACTCGACTACAGCTACTAGAAAAAAATTCTCTGTTGGTCCGCGACTTCCATTCAATTTAGTAATTGGTGCATAACCTTGGCCGAGTTCCTCGCACTTCATCGACGCTCAGCCACAGGCCAAAGAAAGATTAGAATAACATGAAGAAAAATTTTGCGGTGTCCTGATTGGAACCTTCATTTTATTAGATTCCATAATACATACTACTGGTTAGAGGTCCAGAATGTGATACAAGTCGCAGATATTGAACGTGAACGCGCCGAATTCATGGGAATCCACATAGCATAATCACTGAGTGAAGTAAGCGGGATTGATAAGGGAAGATGGGTGATGACGATACAATTAAGCCAGTCGTTATTGCACATTTTACAGTTCCCGCTTCCGCATTCGTTGCACTCTCGATAATGTTTTTCCGCTTCGCAAAGCTCGCTTCGCTTTAGGGAATACCTTCATAGCAACTGTAATAGATGGGGTGAAAACTACTAAGGAATTAAGGATCGAGTCATCGCCGAAGGTCTGGTAAGCGGCGTTGTAAATGTAGGCCGAATTCACCAGACCAAATGACTTTATCGAGGCCGGGAATGGTATGGCAGTAGAAAAGGAAACGGTCTTCGTTTATGAGTAAAATAATGGGGGGCCGAACAAAATGTTGTGTAATTCGAATTATTGAGCTGCGATGCTTTTACCGGAAAACGATATAAATAAATCGACAAAGAGTAAAAGCACGAACAGGAAGGTGCTGGAGAACAGTGGTGGTCGAACGGATTAGAACGAGTCAAAGTAATACAATCATTACTACTAAGTAACACTACGTCAATTTTTCCTCGCACGAAAATCGTCTGCATAAGGGGGGGGGGGGGTACAGCACAGGCCTTCGGATTTGACTCTTGGATCCTTATGCGCTGTTTTAGTTCTATAAGTATGATTCTAGGCCATCTTCAAGTACCCGCTTTCTGACAATACATTCTCTTATGGTATACCTGATCGCATCGTATGGGCGTATCATCGACGTTACTTTCTATAATAATAACGGTAAACGACCAAATCGCTTTCACTTTGCCCTATCGCGGCAACCATGCAGGCCTACAGATAGGCGAAACTAATACACCAAGCAATATTTTCGAGTCATATACAACATGTTCTACGCCTAACGCAAAATAAAGCAACCAATACATCGAAGAGTTCCTGTCGGCATAAGTATTCGTCCAGTAACAGATACGTTCGGTATGTACGCACCAATTTCTGTATACTTAGTAGTTTGTCCGCAGCGTCGCATCAACAGCAACAGCCGCAACAACAACGACATTATCGGTAACTTCACAGTCAATCTCCTCGTCCACCCGTCGATTTACGGCTCCTACGACCATGTTACAATACGCTATGCGCCTAGTGGACTGGATCCACTTGGAGATGAAGTCGGTCACGAGGTCTCTCTCCAGGTCTTTAGCAATCGACGGCTTCTATGTCAGTAGTGCGGACGTAGTGATGGCATCGACCTCGGCATCAACAGAGCCGGCGCGAACTGTCAGAAGTGCCGGCCGTCGTAGACCGAAGGCTACAACCAAGCCCGACTACAGCTTTGAGGCAGCCAACACGATCAAGCTGATGAGCGAAGAACTGCCGTTGCTCGAACGTTAATCCATCCACGTTCTCTGTTGTTGACTGCTACGGTACGTGAAGTACAGAACTACCGCCACAGGGGGGCAATTAGGCCTCGCGTCTATTACTTTCGCTGCTGTCGCTGCTGTATCTAAAGCCATGGCTAATGTCCCGCTTCTGATCCTGATGCAGCAGCGGCCGCAATTTTCGCTGTTGGTTTGCTGCAAGTGAGTAGACTGACTTGACGTTGGCGACGCTGATGGAGACGGCGCGCGTTCCGGCAACAGTCGCGACGGCTCTGTTTGACGCTTTCAGTTCTCGGTTCAGTTCACCCCACATTAGCTCGCTAGTCGCCGTTTCTTTGTTCGGTGGTCGAGACACGAGACTTCGATGAAGGTCAGGCGAAGCTACAAAAGAAAAAGTTGGAGAAACATAAGATTAAGGGTAAAGAAGCAACAACGTTCCGGTGCAGACGCACAAAAAGAAAACAGGGCAGGCCGAACACGTTTGCCCCAACTGCCGTCGACGCTATTTACGTCGTCTTTACCGTCAAGCGTCTCGGTTCAGCGACTCCGTCGACCAAGAATGGCGAAACCCGAACAGCCAACACCGAGCCGTCGCAACGTCAATCGAGGCGAAACTGCTGCCGCCAACTATTCGAATAATGGTCCACCGACGTAGACAAGCCTGCCAAACGATGGCAGAAACAAACGAGAAAAACAGCGGTTTGCTGCGACTAATGATGAAAGTCACTAGCAGGACCTTTTGTCCAGCAGAGGCAGCTCAAGGCAGTAGCCGTGGCGAAACAAAAACACAACCAAAATGCTTGCCGCGCGAGATGTACAGTTGTTGTGTGTGTATCTGTATGTGCTTTTGTTGTTGCAGTTTGCTGTTGGTATTTTGCCGCGTCTGCCGGCGATGCAGCCAGCGAAGCGCCATCCGTTGTACGGCTTGCTTCACTGGTTGATTGTTGACACAGTCCCTCTCTAGCAGAGACAAGAACAACCCACGTTGGTTATTTGGGTCAGCTGGTGGGCGGGTTTGCCGCTAATGCTCCAGCGGCAGTAGTCGAGTCTGTTGGGGACGCTTTGCCCTAAAAAAAAAAATCGAGACAGCAGCCCCGGCAGAAGCGCCATCGGCAGCGGTGGCCCCGGAGGAAAGTTCTTTTTGAATAAGAAGAACAACGAGTCCAGATGAAAGTGTCGTGGGAACGATGGCCGATAGAGACCCAGTAACCGAATGGGTCGAAGTACGAAAATGGGTCGAAGTAGGTATTTAAAGGAAGGGGGAGGGAGACATGAAGAGCAGCGATGGTAGGAGAATTCGATGATTCGGGGTTTGTCGCTTTTCGTAATTCGTTATTTGTTACTTCGAAGAAAACAAATATAGCAGTTTAGGCTGGCAAATGGGTTAAAAACTATATTAAATTATAAGGGACAGTTACAGACGTCAATGTAGTCAACTGAGTTTCGTTCCTAGGGTTTAGCTAAGGTAAAATGTAAGCTACTATGATGCATTTGACAAAGCTGTACAAATACATTTTGGCTATTGCCTTCTATCCTTTTCATATAATACTTGCCTTGCGGATTCGCATCATTCTTCTGGCGATCTATGCAAGTTTAACCATATGCCAGAGTTAACATCGTTATTGCTGAACTTCCACTCTGTAATAACTACTTTCCCGGTTATCATTTCATCTGCCCTCGGTTATATCATTATAGGATTTACGAACCAGTTTTCTATGGGAGATTGCAGGTTTCAATGATCTCTAGTCGGTAGCTCTCGTTTGTCCACGCATGAGCGGCTAAACTCTTTAGTTTCATATTCAATATGCGAACGATTTTTCGTGCTCAACACGTCAGCAACAACCTTTAACTACCTGTTTATACATCTTGGCCATACCCTTTTGTCATGTTAGTTAAATGGCGTCTCTCTGACCCTCAGTAGCTGTTCTTGGTGAAATTATCGTTATGTTTATTGCTAATATTATTATTATTATTATTTTTGTTGTCATCGTCGTCGTCTTCTTTTCCATTGTGGCTGTGGTTGTAGCTGTTCTCATTTCTATATTATCTTCAGACTGCTCTGACCCTCGGCCGGATTCTGTTCAAGTTCCTTGTTGACTGACGAAAGCCGGCCGACGGCCCTTGGATGCCGATGAGGATCGATGATTTCTTTAGTCGTTTCGTTTGGCCGACCAGGTGTTCATTCGATAGCAACTCTCCTCGACGCCCTCCATTCGCTGTTTGGTGTTGGCCGTACGACATAGGTGAGATTGACCGAAGACCTGAAACGACTAAAATCTAAACGATAACTGAGTTTAAGCCAGAACCAGAAGCGTCGGTCACCTAAGAACGTCCTGGCCGTTTGGATCGCTTTTTTCCCTGCTCGACTGAGTTGAAGAGACCGACGGTGCGAGAGGAAGGCCAAAGAAGGATGGCCCGAATCGCAGAGAAGTGTCCCGGAATAGCGGTTCCGCAACAAAGCGACTAGTAGCCAAGCCCGTGAATATATCTGTAGATGCTGTAGGGACGAACGGACCGGAGGAACCTATGTTGTCCTGGCTGGCCCTAGCTCAATGTTCTAAATGTATGTGTTTGAGGTTCAACAGCGACCAAAGCCAACTGCACGCCAGGCCGATCCAAACTTACCTACCTGCTTGGCAGCATCGCTAACGTCACCTTTTTCTTTATATTCGAGCTTCGGGCTTTCGGGCTTTAGATTTAGCATCGACAGACAGAAGCGAACAACGATGAAGATCTTAGTCTCTAGCTTCTCGTTCCATCAGTTCATTCACCGGTCGTCGAGAAGGGTCTACAGCCACGATGTGATCGTTGCCTACCGTTGCGGATGCGTCGGCCCAACTCGAGGTGGGAGACTTAGACGCAGTAACGACCGACAACTAAGGCACAGGGTCTAGGACATCTGTTCTATTGGATTCAAATAAGCGATCTAGCTGGGTTAAGTAAAGGCCGACTAAATCTTAAACCACTGCTACTGCTATTCACTGTGGAATCGTCAACGACGATCAGACATGCTCCTTCCGTTTCATAGAGGTTTTCATGTGTACGTAGGTCCCATCACTTCGGAACGCTTTCGTTGATTGCTTCTGCCGCCGCTGCTGTTTTTGCTGGCGTGGCGATCGCCACCACCGATGGCTGTACTGGTTGAACGCACCAGTCGTGCTGGGCCGGCGGCTGAACCCGGTCGCGAACGAATCATCCACCGCAAAGAACTAAATCTTCAGACCGGCAGCAGCAGCAATAGGTCTGGCTGGTCCTGGCTCAGACGCGGCATTACTGGTGACTTGGCTGCTTCGAGGTGGATGATGCATTTGCCGGTTCTGTCTTGGTTCTGAGCGTATGTGTGGATGCTGCCACAGATATATGTTAAGGGGAGAGGGCGGGGAAAGCCATGGGGTTCTAGTGACTGTGTAGATTCACAGAATCTACATGAGCAGCGGTGACCAGACTTGACCAGATTCGTCTGGTAGACAGGACGCCTTCTCTCTGGGGTAGTGGGGGTACAGAAGGAGGTTTTAACCGCCGGGCATTAGACGAGGGGCCAGCCTATCAGGGGCTTTGACTGGACGACCTAAAACTGGCGGACGACGCTCAACCCAAACTAGCAGACAGTGTGCCACCGAAACACTGGAGAGCAGCGACCTTTGTTGGGCATTCGATGTGCTCTACTCTCGGGGGCAGTTTTCTCAGTTTGCAAGTCGCACAATACTTACGAGACACACACAGATTCAGAGACCGACAGATACACAGAGGCAAAGTTATAGGCTAAAGGAACAGTAATGAACGGAGGTGTTTCTGGAGGGTTCAGAGCTGTTTCGTTTGTTAGGTCGTCAAAAAAAGGAATATGAATACGACGCGCATCCAGCTTAGGTTCAACATAAGAATTGCTGACGATCCACTTGCCTATAGACTGGATGTTGTTACCTGCTACTGCCTCCTTGAATTTAGACCTTGTCTTGATCGTCGCCAACGCGGCATTTGCAGTCGGCTACAACCAGATGTGACAGGTTAGGTTGAAGGCCGTGCAACGTTTGCTAGGTATACGCATATTCGTCGCGACCTCGTCAGTAGATGACAAGCCATGCAGGGTTGGTGCGATGCTTGAACCCTTAGCTACAGAGATTTAATGCATGCACAGGTTCGTGGAGATGACCACCTGCCAAAGTTTGATTGGTTAAATGTACACACACGAAGTATGGATATAAAGACAGGTCGAATCAGGAATCACCCGTCGAAATTCTACTCTGTAGGTGCTCTGCTGAGCTTTTAGATCCAAGGAAGAATTTCAGTCCCTCACGGGAACAAACTATGGTCTGCCAATACTACTAACAACATCAAATACTTGAATCGATACTTTCAGTTCGCATTATCACATGTAGAGCCTTTTCATTTTAGGTCAGCAATTACCGGCAAGAACAGGATATACAAAGAACTAGATCCAAAGTGATATGTTGCTTAACGTTATCGTTAAGATTGTTTTTTTTTTTTATCTCAATCCAATACATGTGTACATTCAAAGCGTGCATGGTATAATGTTAGTAATTATTCTATATAGCCAGCTGACATATGTTTCGTGTTTCACATTAATGAATAATATATGTTTGTTGTTGTTGTAGTAGAAAAAAACAGCATCTGTTTTTCACGGGACAAGTTTTCTTGGCCACTTTCGTGCTGCCATGTTACCTTTTCGTTGTTGCCGTCCAGTTGCCGGGACCGAATCGTGACCTCACGAAACTAGGTAGAAATTGCTGTTTGATAGAGACGCTCTGTTCTGTCCACGAGTTTGGTATGTTTCCGTGTACCTGCCGGTCCAGGTGAATACAATACGATATAAAATTAAGGCTGCACGGTCTGTACGGAGGGGATTCGGCTCACAGCGCAAGGTCCTACGGAGACCAGGTAAACGTTCTGAAATAGGCACACGATCTTGATACGAATCGTGCTGAGAACAAACGCAGTACCTCGCACCACCAGAACAGCTATTTTAATTGTGTAACGATGGTCCACGGCGAATCGATAGAGTGAAATTAATCTATTTGGCCGAATAAAGCACTCGTTTTGCCTAAATAATGTTACCCTATACAGTTCGTCAGTGGATTCTTGTAGACAGGATCATGTGATAATGCTGATATATCTTACAGAACAGTACCTAGGTATTTAACGTCAAATCGAATACTGGAATGACGTTGGGTCCTATTTGATAGTTACACTGAACTAGGGGTATCTACTAGTTTGGTGAAGAATAGGGCTTAAAGTGTAGCAATTTAATTTGATTACACTAGCAATTCTAGACATTTGATCCTGAACGCACAAATTCCGCCTGGAACGTCTTCAAAGGCTTTTAGTTTATTTTAGGGGAGCAGGGTTTGAAAATGGTGGATGCACATCCGTCATTGGCTGCCAACGATGCCGCCAACTGTGAGACCCATGAACAAACCAAATCTGAATTACCCATCAACACCCCAGGGTCGAAACTGAGTTACTATTATTTACATGGAACGTGTCTTTGAAGTCTACTTAGATGAAATTACCTTATTAAGCTTGTACGCTTACAAGCATACCAGAAAAATCTACAATTGTTGAGCTTGAAGTCGAAGTAGTATACTAACAAAATTGCTTTTACGCAAAATCTTTACTTCTATAAGTATATGTGTTTTTTTTGTACAAGCAAAGCCAACACCTAATAATCCTTCCGCTTAAATGGATCGACATCACCCAATGTTGATATGATTCAAGCAATACAAATTTTAAAGGTTATCTTATTGAATTACTATTGAACTGACTCTCACCCTTTCTAATTCAGTTAAGCATCTTTTCAGACATGACAAGGTTCCCGATGTAACCACTGACGGCACTCACGAGTACCAGATGTATCATGCATGACGCCTGTTCACTGCGCGTCCCGCAGGCCCATGACCAAATCGAAATCCAGATCCAAATACCGAACCACGAGACCAGCCATAACGACCATAGCAGCATCAATATTCATAATAATAATAATAATAATATTATTGCAAACTCGAACGACCTCGGAAACGAAAATCCGGACGAGCAGATTAAAGTCTTGGAACCTCTTATCGCCGTTGCCTCGCTAAGCGGTAAAGAACGAGAAAGAGCACATTCGAGAAATGTTTTAGTATGTCCATTTACTACGCAACAATTAGGTATCGTCGAATGGTTTTGGTCATGTAATAAACTAAAGCGAGCATAAAAAAATCAGAAAATTCTTTACGATGAACTATCCCTTTTTCGAAGATTTGTAGGGGACAGATGCTATAATTTTTGGAGACTATCTTTATTTTTCTTTGTTATTTTCTCTAGTCAGTTTTCACTAAATTTTGACGAAAATCTCCTGATTGCTCTTCGGGTTACTAATAACATCGCGAATATTATATTTCTTCTCTACGGGAATTTCAGGCGTGGAGTGGCGAGACTACTTGTGCAGTTGTCCGGCAAAGGGCTGTGGCTTGACATTCGCTAGCGAGCCACTTTTGCAAGAGCATATGCTTACAGCGCACGATCAAATGATGCCACCCGATTATCAGGGCCTGGTAGGGCCAGGACCTCCAGGGCATCAAGGACTCGATGAGCCTGCAAATCATGATGGGGTCTACCCGGTAAGGTTGAAATGTTTTATCATTTTTTGTGGGAGTTGATTATTATGCTTTTGGTTTAGAAAAAATTAACAATTTTAATTTAAGAAGTTAACATTTTAAATTATACGTGCATGTCAATATAATATATAACAAATTCGAAACCCAATAGAGTATATTTTATAAATATCAGGAAAGGTTTCGGCTTTTTTTTTAACTATTAACTGTTACTTAATTTTCTTTGATCTATAGCAAGAAACTGAACATAAAGGGAACAGAATCGCTGAATTTCAACGTTCTGTTCGACTCGACTCAGTAATCAACCAATACATAATGTCAATGACCTTAACAAGTACAAAGGAATAATTATGGCTAAAGTAAATTACACCCGCACAAGCTTCTACAAAACATCGAGATTCGTCAGAATCGATCCGTCGACTACCCCCTGATACGCATTGCGTCTAATGCTCCTCTTGTGCTCAGGTCTCTGTCCCTAAATAAACGAGATGAAGCTCTTTTAGCGCCGAGTCAGCCACCGAGCTACAAATTCGGTTGTTCAGTTCTTGAAGAACTACGCAGCGAAGCCTTGGCGATTCGTCTAGGTTAGCCATTAGCGTTACTAGGCGAACCCAGCTAGTTTAATGCTTAGCCACCGCTCGAAAGGTAACAGGAGCAACGGACAACACAGAATACGCTGCGTTGTTCTTAAATGGAAGTTCGGAATGTTAGGCGATTTTTGGTGCCTAGACGCGTTCGACTTTGACTGATGATAGTTTGATCGATAAATGTAATTTGTGTCAGCCATAAAGGCAGTCTAACGAATTGCACGCTATAGCGTTTCCTGGAGGAACATTTGTGGGCAATCACTAGCGTAATCACTAAGCGTAGTAGCGTTTCTATTTTTACATATTGTATACTGATACGGCAGTTAGGATATACAAAGCTGTTTCTTAATACAACGAGTGTGTACTCTGCAAATGATTAGAGAAGATAAGCAAACCCCCTGCGGAAATAAGCCACATCTAGATTAAAATTAGAAAATACTTTTAAAACTTGTTTTGTTTAATCACGTATGTTATAAGCTAAGAGGATGCGAAAAACATTTCAGGCGTTTTCTTTTATCGAATAATAACTTTATTTTAAATACTATCAAATATCAGTCGCCCTTTAAATTACATACTTAAATCATTCGTGTTCCCTGCCGTTGTCACAAAGTGGAAAACGGCTGTTTTATTACCCGCAAGTACCGTCGCAAGAAGGTAGTTAAAAAATTAAGTGTCATCTTGCAAGAACGTAATCAGAGTTAGGCACTGACTACCAGTTATACGGAAACTTCCGTAAATCTGCTTCGCAAAATAAAACGATAAAAGCTAAGAAATTTTAAAAGATTGTTGTAGGTATCTCAACAAGACACGTTAAGGGAAAACTTTACAAACTTCAATCAATGCTGCTACGATGCGTTATCGCGCAGCCATTCAGCAAACTCGCATGTCACTGCCGACAAGAACGTTGCTGAATCTAAGACTTTGCGATCTTAGTTTAAAAATTCTCTTGCTTGCATAAAAGTTCGCGCCACAAACGGATATGGCGACCTACGACATTCAGTTACCACCTTACCGATACTTACGTCTATAATTATGTAGCTCAATGAAGAGTTTTGCTTCTTTTTTAGATGTTTTATAGAAAAACCGAGAAAGTAAGGAACTTTTCATAGTTGTATAGTATGACCGGATGCAAACTATTAACGATGCCTACATGCATGCTTCCTACCAGGCATGTTTCCTTCAAAGAGACACATGGTTTTGATTAAAACCAAATACTCATGTTATTACCAATTTATTATGTCTATAATATGGATCTTCGAAGTTCTAATCACACGTAGCGTTTACCGTATAAGGTAATTGAATGGTCATCGTTCTATTCGATGCTTTCTCAACAGTGCCCACTCTGTGATTCCACCTTCGATTCAAAGGACCTTCTGGAGGAGCACATTGACTCCCATCAACAGGATCGAGGAATACTCGAATGCGACTTCTGTGGTGTGGAGTTCCTATCACGACTCGAACTGACAAAGCATATGGCATTACACGCCCAGGAATCGCAGGGCGATCCCCAGTGTCAACTCTGTGGGAAGTTTTTCGCTAGCCGTGACGAGGCCATTTTACATCTGAAGGTGCATTCGACACCGGGCTCACCTGGTAGCCGAATCATGAAGCGTGAGTGAATACTGTGTACTTATTAGTAATATGCCGCATAATAATTACTTGAGCTCAATTTAGCCAATCATGATACGTCATTCAACTCCGCCCACTGACATTTTTTAATAGTATAAGTAAGCTAACATTTTTTTTCATGAGTATATTATCGTGTTTTTCCATTTGCAGAACGCAAATTCAAATGTGAACGCTGTGACCGGTCATTTTTTACGCGTAAAGATGTCAAACGCCACATGGTTGTCCATACGGGCCAAAGGAATTTTGTCTGTCAATACTGTCCGCAAAAGTTTGGTCGTAAAGACCATCTCGTGCGGCACACGAAGAAAACCCACACAAACGGGACGACTGGAGGCGGCAATAATAACAATAATAATAATAACAACAACAACAACCCAAGTGCCACGAACAACAACACGATCTCAGTGAGTAGCGGCCTCGTATCAAGCAATCAGGGAGCACTCCAATCGAACGTTGTGGGCAACGGCAGCGGGAGCCAGGCCCTTGTGCCAAACTCATCTGTTCCCTTATCTGATCCCGGTGTGAGCTCGACGACCGGGCTACTTCCACCCGAACCTGCCCCGCCCCAAAGTCCACTTCTTGGACCATCCATGTCGAGCCAACAGCAAGTGATAATGCAGTCATCAGGTCATTCACACCCCCACTCATCCGCTCCCCCGGGCACCCCTGGAACCCCAGTTCTGGTTAAGGCAGAAGGATCCGGCCAACAGCAGCAACAACAATTGGCGTTCAGCTATAGTGAGCTATCACCTGCGCAGGTCGCCGGAACTGCGGCTCAATTCCAGCTCGATGAAGTGGTTGCCATCCCTCAACCGCCCCAATTGCTTACACCTCTGGCTGCATCGACTTCGACGATCAGCAACAGTCATCATCAACTTGTCGTGAACTCCCCTCCATCGGTGACCGTCCTCCCGGCGGGTGCTGGCCTTGGCGGCTTAAACGGCGCAGGTGGCCTTAACGTCAACTTGAATGTCAGCGTTCTTCAATCGGGAAAGGACCCACTCGTATCACATCCCTCGTGGCCTGCAACTTCCTCAGCGACGCCTGCGGCCTATCTTTCACCATCATTTAGCTCGTACTTTGTTGACGATGAAAACCGCAATGCGGTGCCTTTGACCCTAAAAGGAGGCGACCCTTTGCCGTCAATGGCGACGCTCACATCTTTGCCATCCTCATCGACGAATGCAATTACAACTAATGCGGGTTTGCCCAGTATGACATCAGATTTCCATCCGAGTTCCACATCCAATAATTCATATTTTACGCTCATGCCGATTATCTCACAGAATCCGCCTGTTGGAATCGGCGTTGGAGTTGGAAATTACTATAGCGTTGGGCCAAGTTCTGGTGGAGGCCAGGGGGGACTTTCACCCCTGTCTCCGACATCACCTCAGACGACAACCCCGTTAACTCCACCGCTAGCCGACGGCCTTGGCTCACCTTTGCCCCACTTTAGTCAAGCCTTTCAATAAGTGCTACCCGATGACACTCTAATCGAAAGATCCGTACCGATATCCGTGTTTCCATGAAAGTGAATAGGTGAATGGTATTTTAGTACACCAACCCCTCAAAGAGGAAATTCACCTCAGCCAAAAACAAAGAAGTTGAGAGTTGTCAAAGTTTATCGGCATTGATTCTAACGATCGGTATTATGAAGCGCCTTTGATACAGTAAGCCGAGTAGGACGTACATAGACTTCAGACAGCATTATTGTTCATATTGTTTAGTACCAGTGCCTTACGATTCATGAGATCCTGAAAATGCAAAGGCGACAGCCCACTGCATCTTCCGGTTTTCTTTATAAGACTATCGAGCAACAACAGGAGCAAACTGTTCGATAGTCTATGAAACGTTGGCAGTCTGTAGCCCCTGTAAGATCACAAAAAGATGTCTCTCCGAGGCTTCGAATTCGCTAATATCTTGTATGATCTAATCCTACAAATCATAATTAGAAAAAAAAAACTATTGACACATTGCACTCTAGTAAGAGCGTGCAAGGACTGACAGTCGACAGCAACATGTCGGCGAGGAGAAAGCCTCTACGAATACATATATACAACGTAACCTATTTCGACTGAACTGATTAGACAACTTTGCCTCCGTACAACTCACTGACAAAACCAATTTTGAAGACGAAGCCGTCAGTAACCAGGCATGCCGATATACATACTGTACAGCTACTATATAAAATGTTACATTTATAGAATTGACCTACCTGAATACCATCTACCTCATTTAGAAAGCAATGGGCTCAATATTAGCTCCAGAGACACCTCACCTTAGAAAGTGAACTTTGACAACGGTGAAACGAAGTACCAAACCTCGGAGGTATAGTTTAAATATTATAGGCTATAACTGGGGTGTTAGCAGAGCAAAGTGCAAACAGTACCTGATCTCATTTAGCAGAACGGCACTAGTCGACGTATACGCAAAGAAATATACAGAGAAATACATAGGTAAACAACTATACAAACAATCGTACGAAGGGTACGTAATTCATTTATCGGAATTGGTCATTATCTCGGACAGAGAGAGGAGATACGGGACAGTACAATATAGCTTGATTGGTCAAGTCATTTGGTAATGTTGATGGTCGTTAAAGTCAATTGTTGAATCATAATTCTCATTAAACTGAAAGGTGTGTTCTTTGACGTTGAAGATTTTCCCCATTAACTACCTAAATCTAACGTGGTTAGTTATTTTACCACACTTGTTGCTGGTGGCTTTGTTACCCAACTATGACATAGGTCATACATGAGTTTATGAGATAATTGAGTTCGTTCATGCAATGAACGATAGAATTTGTTGTGGCAGATCTACAAAATTAGGGTCCAAAAAATTCAGAGTTTAACTCTGACCAGATGCAAACTTTGTTTACCTTGAAATTGTGGAAGGTGAAACAAACCACTTGACAAAATCCCACTACTTTCTCAAAAAGCATTAGACTCTATTGTTTGATCGGGATTGAACTATAAATGTTCCATGTACTGGTTCACCATTGTTAGTTGATTATGATGCGAGTACCATAATGATCGAAGGCGGCCCCTTTGACTTTAAAATGTTCAAACTGCACCTATTAGTTCAAAAAACGTTTGTGCAACAACAAAAGAAGATGCTGCCCCAATCTCGGGCTATAAATATACGGCATGTTAGCGAAAGATCTCCGATGAAGCTATGCTAGTTGACGTCACTTGTACAAATAGCACTTTACACAATACTTTGCGTATATATATATATATATATATATATATATATATATATATATATATATATATACATGTGTCTAGTTTTAGGTCCCACTGTATCTAACCGCATTTATTTCGATATGGCTATATCTTGTTCGACTGCTATTATTACTCGTTCAGTGAGAGAACACTGAGCTTTTCCCGTGTTATAAACAATGAAGTTGCTAGTCTTCAAACGAATTGCTTTTGTTGCTAATAATAGATTTCGAATTCGACAAGTTTGTTAGCTAAGCTCAGGGCCTCTTGTACATCCCGATGCACGTTGGCCGTTAGTAAGTATCAGTTACATTGAACTTACGCCGTACCAAGGACCAGGAATTCATTATCGAGGAATCGTTGATTATCATGTTCGTTTGATCCCAAGAATGGACGAGAAAAAGTAACGCGATGGATATGGATCAAATATTTTTGTAATGAAAATTTTCCTTAACATCAACACCAGTGCCAAAATGGTCGTGAAGCGTCGAGGCAATTAGTTGAAGGCGTTTTCGAAACGTTTCTGTCAGTATATATATACTATTCTATGTACAATTTGCTCTGATTTCGAAAAATACCTTTTACTCATTTCACTATTCAACTGGTGGGTAACGTACGAACTTGATTCAGTTTGATACGACAAATACAAGTTTATATCTTTGCTTCTTATTTACTGAACATTTTAACGAATACAGTATATTTAAGGCCGTCCTACATTTTTTCCTTATAAATTTGATAATTTTCATCGAGTATTATACCCGGCCCGTTAAGTGCGTCGATAAAAAAACTTCACTCCGATATGGTGAAAAATCTAGTCCTAGTTTTTGTATTCGGTTTGCCTCTAGGAATTTTGAATTTCGTTCTAATCGAAAAATCATGAGTTTCTTCGTAAGCAATTTTTTCCATTAAAAAATCCTATATATACATATACATGATGAAATAGCAAACGTCACTAAAGCTCACAGCCGACGTGTAGCGATCAACGATAATTGCATAGTTCCTATCATTCGCACCTTAACATGTTGTATATATTGTACAAACACTCATTGCCATATATATACAAATGCATATGAATATTTCGGTACTGCTGCTGCCTTTAGTTTGAAAATATAACAACGACATTGATTGTTCAGTGCACTTGTCGTACGCGGCTTAGTCTGCAAAAACCGAAGAGGCAGTTAATGAAAAATCAATGATATACCTCGTGTAGAAGTCCGCAACAGCGCACCAATGATCGACTAATGTTTCACGGCGATAAGTTAGTTTAAGCAACGATAACAAATCCGTTATGAACCGTTAATGACCGTTAATTAACACATTGTTATTAAACTAAGGAGTTCTTTGCCGTCTTGAGGCGCTACCTATTTTGTCTCAATATTAAAATTGCGTCGGCTTCGAACGCAAAACAAATAATACCTTTAAAATATAGATACATGAATAGACATAATATGCAAGCACGCAGGCAAACGGAGAAGAGTGAACAAAGCGATCTCGACAATGCACAGAGTGGGATAGCCCTAACGCATCCCCTCAGAAGCTTTAGTCCAAGACGGGAACTTGGAGTACGTGTTACTGAAGAAAGGCGGTGTTGTTCTCAATGGTGGACGAGGATTTTCTGTGGACCTTTACCCCATTTTTATCACAATATTCATTTTGACCCGTTGTATGACGCAAGAGATGAGTAATGTCATGTATCGAATGTGGGATAGATACAGAAGGTATATGAGACACAACGTCGATCTCGCGGGAATCAATCATGTCGTCAGCGTCAAAAACATAACGCTAGAACAGTAGAGAAAATCAGCGTCTAAACTGGTTGTCAATTTTTCTGTATGAATATAGGATTGGAGGGCTTTGTTTCATAGATATGGGGCGAACATCGAGGCGTTCGAGTCCATTGAATTTTTTAACAGTCAAATTTTCCAAAACAAGATCTTACTTACATATGGCTAAAAATGGATTAAGGAATGAATAGAATGTATGACATTCAATTATGCATTATTAATAATGTAGTTCTTTCACAACTCTGTCGTAATTGGATGTGACATCGTCGTCACACTTTGTCGTGTCAGGCCGTTTTTTCTTCTTCAGGAAAATAGTGCTAAAAATATAAGAAGCAAATCCAATGCTGCGAAAGGAGAAGAGGTCAGTTCTATGTTGTTATTGTTGGACGTATTTTCTGCGCAAATTCTAGCGATTACTGCGTGAATCGACCCTATGATGGACCCGCCAACATTAAACACCAATCGAGAGTGCGGTGCAACCTAATGACCCCGGTGAAAGCTGCGCCCGCTTGTTGTCCGACGTTGTTGTGGCAACGGGCAGCTTCAATCAATAAATAACTAAAGAAATCGAGGCGGTACAATTATAGATAAATAAACAATTATATATATATATATATATATATATATATATATATATAAAGGACGAAGAAGAAATGCCAATACAACCAATTACGAGTTAACTGACTGAATAATTCTAAATAATAAGTGGAATATCAATTAACTTTTTGGAAGATAATAAAAAAAACTAGGAAATGTGTTTATAAAAACTTTTTTGTTTGCATAATCTGGAATGGCCGATATGACGTTGATGCAGTTCAGCTCCATCTACTTTAACCTCTGCCCTCTACATCAGGACCCGTATTCGATTTTTTTCGAAAATTCTGTCACGCTTCTAGTGGCAAAAGCTGCCAGTCAGATTTCTTCGATAAGAAATACACATTATATATATATTTTTTTATACAATTTATATATATACCTATTTTACTCAATAAACAAACAACAGTTTATAAAAATTATCGTGCATCATGTTTCGTTATATATTTCATGCTATATAGGGAACTATGCGAATATAACATTAAAATATATCTTTTTTGGTCTTACTCGGTCAATTATGTAGCCTCATAATTTACATAGCATTTTGCGAGACCACTTTGTGGTGCATTCTATACACCTCAGCCAAATACTGCTATGGCGAAGTTGCTATTCCGTTATAGTGCAGTGGCTTACGTTTTGGCCAAACTTAGACAGTCGACAGAATTCGGGCACAAGCAAGCTTCATGTCGTGCTGCACAAGATCAGCCGTCTATAGTACGATTACGGGATTGCGTACTTGGAGTATAAGACATACTGCAGATACGAACGTTTTTACCCTTAGTGGTTTCGCAGTACCGTGTTTGCCTACAAAACTTGAAAATGCGTGAGGTAATTTAGGTTCGGAACTAGGTATAGATACATTTCGTTTTTTCAGGTTAATACTCAACCATCCAAAGCAGTATTTAACTAACACAGTGCCTGACGCTAAAAACTGGTACTCACGTTAGACAACTAGCGCGATATAAACAGCAGGAAAGATTTGGCGTCAGTGAGGGCCAAAAAAACACCGTCTGCTACTAATGGTAACAACCGCACTGACAAACAGACGACATTGAAGCGACAATGAATCACGCGTTCCCAAAGCTAATCTAAAAGCTTTTTTACCGAATTACATAATAAATAAACATGTGGTGTCAGCTAATTCAAACTTAGACTACCACTTTACGCGAGTTACTTCGAAAATTCTTCTTCAACGATATGACAGACATTTCCGTGAATGAATGAAACTTGAAAAAGGGATTACATATATGTATGAAACCTTCATTGCCGCAGTTAACCCGTAGGTGTGTCGAATATCTTGAACGAAGTTTGTTAGATTTTAGCGGAGTTTTTGTCAAATAGAAGTTGCGCTTTCACGATGTCTAAGTCTAATATGCGAAAAGACCAAAACGAAAACAACCCCTGTCTTCGGGTAAGTTGGGTCGGTACTTCATATAAAATTTGTTTGGCTTGTTCAATGCAATAATGATAACAATAACAGTGCTTTATGTGTAACTGCAAATATATGTAATAACCGTCGGAATTTTTATTTGAAAACGATATCAATCAAGAAGTGATAAGTACTAATTTATTTTGTTGTCTATTTGTAAGTGGAAATTAATTCCATCGTACACATAATGTCAACACAGTATAAGCAACTGATGAATAAATAAATAGTAACTGGACTAATCTTTCCCTTCGGGCTCGAATCATGATTTCATAATTCGAGCTGGTCTGTAGCTGACGTCAGATAGACGCGCGTGTGCCAAGAACAGAGCCTGAATTTTGGTAAGCTACAACTAAGGTGACGTAAATTATTAACACCGTAGAGGCTCGTGGTTCGAATCCCTATATAGCATCTACGAATCAAACCAGTCATTTACACTTGTAGCTTTGTTAAAGAAAGGTTGTTTCCTCATTGAAATATTTGAAGATTGGGCTAGGACGGGGCGTGTTTGAAAGTTGGACCAACATCGTATATTTAAGTATTACGCCTTTTACGATGCTTTGCTGTATTACTGTATACATTGCCAGTGTTATTGAGAGATAGTGACGACAACAAAATATTCAATTTTATTTCAGGAACAAGAAATCAGTTTAAAATGTTTGGAGCAAAACGGCTACGATAAAGACAAATGTGGCCTGCAATTCTTAAATTACAAACGCTGCAAAGTGTTTTGGGTGAGTGACTCAAGGTTACATGTGCGTAGACTTTTGATGCTAGCAAGTTTCAGTTACGTCATCGAGGACCTCCTTTTAGGCACCAGTCTTCCGAAACCTTGATCGCGCAATAGTAAGGAGTGTGCCTTTTGACCTATGAGACATTCAGTGGACACATTATTCTATGTTAATGAAACACCCATGCAATAAGGAACACATTGTAATTAACCTCAATTCGTAATCGCTTAGTGCAAATTCTTCGTGTGTCTAGCCGCTTTTCATTCGAAAGATACTGCAGGCTTCCAAAAAAAGAGTCGGGTAAAAAGCAAAGCAGCAATAGTTTTAAACAGTAGACTTTTCATATTTAGAAGCTAGAAGTTGCCTGTTTGCCCTCCGCTATGATATGAAGTTAGGATTGTGAAATAAAGTCCCTTATTCAGAGGCTATTTGACCCTTGCATATTACTAGTGTTCATAGATCCACTGATTTAATACAGAAGTTGTAAAGTTCCACTTATGATTTTGTCGCTCTAAAAAGCTTAAAGGTGGTTTAGCGGATACATGAGCAAACTCTTGGTCGATCCCAGTTGAGTACACGAAAACAATATGTGCTTCGATGATAATTGAAATGTGATGTTATTTTGCTTTCAGACTCGAGTCATCAGAGATAGACAAAGTAGAGGCATTTCTCCTGACCTTCCTCCGATTGAAGAAAGAGCGCGTGCTAAGGAAGAGTATTTGAATATATTCGGTCTACACTAAGATATTTAGAAAATTGTCAAAATATATCAAAACATTTTCTGTATTATAGTGTTGATTCGCTGTAAATTGTGTGTTTATTTATAGATAGACCATGTTTAAATAGCTACACTTATTTGAAAAATTATGATAGCATGACTGTAATTCTACTTTTCTTGTGTTACTCTTTTGTCAATTTGTTTCTAGACAGGTGAAATTATAAGTAAGACAAAGAAAAGCATTTTAGGCTTCGCCGTTGCCCTCAAACCAACCTAATAAAGTCCCGACTGACTTAGGGGCAGCGTCAAACACACACAACCATCGACACTCTGATTTCAGCATTGCGACGGCGTGTCAGAATCAATACGATCGTATATTTCAAGATTTGTTCAGAAAGTTCGACCTTATTTCATTGCTGTTTGTCTAACGAGGAAACTAAAAATCTGCATTGAAAATGAAGACTTAAAGCCGTTTTGTTCTATTGTTAGTTTTATTACTAACTTTAATAATCTATTATTTCTCCGTTTCATTGATTAGTATTGATATTCGTATTATTATTATTATATTTCGTGATTACCATCGTCTTTCTGCAACCTCTCACTGCTAGCTTATGATCTTTCATTTCCACCGCAAACTCCCGGTTTTTGAGAATCATATTGACTATTTCAGCACACAGCCCTCATTTAAACATTGGTTGTCTCAATATTCTTATTTCTATATATATTTATTATATTTTCATCGTCATGATTCATGTTTTTCTTATATTATTTGCACAAATCAATTAATCTCTCTTATCTAACAGTTTCTACTCAGTAGTTCGCAACGCTTTTCCCTGTATTTGCCTGTTTTTTTTAATTTTTGAAATGATTTGTGGTTTTTCGTAACTTTTTTTCTTTGGTTGGATCGTGTGTATGTGTTGCTTTTATGCCTTGATGACGGCTCTAATCTTCTTAATTTTACTACTTTATGTGTTGAATTATTTGATCTAACCTATTAAGCTTCTTGTTTATGCTCTTCGTATATCTAACTGCTCGTTCACTTTCCTCTCACAGCGCTGTTCTTTTTGTACAAGGTAGACAACGGCTGTTATTTTTGTTTTTATATTTTATATTCTATTATCCGACATTAGCTATTACCGGACGAACTATTTGAGTGAAACGAACAGAAAATATCATATTATTTATTATATTACTACTATGAAATGAACTTTATAATATAACCAACCGGATTTGCTTTCATACCTCCTTTAAACCACTCAATAGATGGCAGATGACAGCAGCGAGAAATCATTTATATATATATATACACGGCGTGTGCCACCAATATATTTAATTCTAGCTTTTTCCGGTGTTAGTACTATATAAGGATGAGGTGTCGCTCGAATAAATCGTATCTATGCTGGTATCAATGCGCCGTTACAACGATGGGTGAGGGCGAGAGCAGAGCGAATCGTCAAAAAAGCTAATCAATTCAAGAATAGTTGAGGTGGTCGGCCAAGATTCAAGGCTGCGGTCTGTGTTGGAGCGTTTGACAGAGTATGAAGGGAGTCTCGTGATTTCCAAAGCTACCATTTCTTGATTATTCGAGGCCTGGGCGATGGGTAATGACTTTGGAGACAATACCAGATGTTTACGACTTACCGCGTAAGTCTTTTTCGGAGTTGTTCATGAGCTTTTGCCAGGTGCGGTCCGGCACTGGTTCGAATCCGCTATGAGCACAGAGACGACATGGGATAAGTCCGAGGCTGCCCTTTTCGGGTGGTTAGCAAAGGAAGCACTGTCTTAAAAGCAGCGAGTCTGAGGTATCAACGAGCTGCATCTATCTACCCAGGAGAAACGATGTCTGCAGTAGATTGCTATTTGACTTCAAACCGTTACTAGAACACATCAGGGAATCGTGCCTGTGTGACGATTTCATGAACTGCATGACGTGAGCCGTCTGACATCACGGCACTTGCCAAACTTGCACGAACAGCCGAACCGTTGCCGAAGCTAGCCAGCGTCCATAACAAATCAAGCTTATGCGGTAGTGCGCAGAGTGGCTTTCAGGCTGAGGGTTCCAGCGATAACAGCAGCCAGATCCGGTGCACTCGCGTGGCACGGAATAAAATACTCGTTTCGGATGCGAAACTCCTGATGGTGCCCACTATGAGGTTCCATGGTACGTACTACTGGTACACGCACCTGTTTAAAATCAGAGTAGCAATGCTGCAGATCGCGCGATTTTTGGGCTGAACTTGTGTTCCTGTCCTGTCAGTCTGAGAAGGTAGTGAATATGCACGTATTCAAAATCTCGTAGCAGATACTGACGCCGTGTTGACCTCGGCATATAACTAAAGATTAGGAAGGTGCTGACTTGGTGGAGGTTTTTGAAGGCCGAAACCTAGAAGCTTAGGAAGTACATACGTCTACGAATGTGATCGGCTGCAGGGAGAGCAAACTTAGAAGGAAAGTACTAGCCCAGAGGGCAGAGAGTCTTAGATCGTTTAATAAAATTTACATGGGTAGTGCGGCTGAGTGTAACGGCATGTACAAATAATCCGAAGTATTGGTACGTAAGTGACGATGCTTTAGTACCGGTACAAATGCGATTTATTTGCTGTGCACCTTGTCCTTATATATATATGTATATGCTCTATTATCTATATTATGTACATGACACACGACGCGGTAATATATCTTGGCTACGTCGCTGCTAGCAAACGCGTCATGCCTTGCCTGTCTCGCTTACGCATCTGATTTGCAGCAACCATAATTGCGGTTCTCATTTTCAACATTATAACATACCATACACATCACATGTGCTGCATTGTCTGTTTTCGCTCTCCTTATAATGATTATGCAACAAATTTAAACGAATTTTACTATGTTTTATCAGTAGATCAATAGTTGCTTTTACATCTAAGAAACGGCCGTACATCATAGGCATACATTGTTCGCTCAGCGTATCTTTCTATCAATTTGTTTGTCCCATAGCTCTGTTAACTTGAGCTGAACTTATAAAAACTTTTTTGTTTCATCGCCTTTACTACATCTATCTAACGCTGCTAAAGAGTTTCTGTTCTCGATGAGGAACATACTTTAGGCTTCAACATCAACAGGCTTCACATATGAACGTACATTCACGTAATTACAGAAGTACATTCAAGAAAGTATTTATTCATCAGCGCATTAGCACTAATCGCGATGGTTGTTTTTCTTTCTTAGTACGTTATAATATGTTGTATATCTATTCTGTGTAGGGTCATGTTAGTTCATGTGATCGACGTTTTTCGATTCGTGTTTTCAATTTTTTCGAAAAGAGCAAAGAAAATACGATGCTTTGCGGGTACAATCCGGTAGGATTGATTATAATTTGGCTAAGGTTTTTTGGTCCGATGTCCTCCAAATACTCATAACCATAAAGCATTTAACATATGCTCTAAAATAACCATTTTATTAGTGCTATCATTAAGGAAATTAGCCAAAACTAAAAATTACCAGATAGTGCCAACGGATATGTACACATGTTAACTGATTTAATAGCTAGAAGTTCAGCTAATATCGAGTGTAGAGCGGGCTGTGGGGAAGGTCTACATATGGTGGATTTTCTTGTTTAGCGGTTCGTAACTATATACTGCGACTATGTATAAATTTTCGACAAGTTTCACTAATAGTTGTTTAATAAAAGAAATGCTTTTCTTTAATATAATTCTGCCATATCCGTATGACAATTCGTTGGTCACGTCTAATCTTCGCCGTGTTACTTCTCGGATTAGGAAGGAACAACCTAAGCAATTTTGTTGATCTTATGGACAAGAATAAAAATGACGGGCAAGAAATCTAGGATCGGAAAAACTTGAAAATCCATCGAATCATAAATACCTGCTGCTCTGGTAAAACTGCGCAACCCCCAGTATTTGTGAAGCAAGCCGTTGAGGATTATAAACATGTATACAGGGCATTATAGCTTGTTCCCAATCCCACTTTTTAGCGCCAGCTTCTCAGTCTTCTTACTGCGCATATGTATTCTGTTAACTCTTATGTTCGTTTCGTAAATACTCAAATATTGCTGTGTTGTGGGGCTGTTGTGCTTAACTTGTGAGTAGCAGCCTTCACGTTTGTGCTGAAATACACGCATTTGATAAACGTACACAGATATACGGAGGGCATTTTCTTGCGACTTCTTCATTATAAGTCATTATCGTCGTTAATAGTAGTAGTCAATATATGTAAAAACAAAATAACACTTGTGTTTTTACTCTGTGGTTCTTCACATTCATACTGTGTTAATTTACCTCAGCAGCCCATCATTTTCTGTTTGACTACATATAGACGTAAGCGCTAAATAAGTATGTTCATTAATACATTTTATAGTTTTCTGTTAGTGTTCTCTGAGCCCTCTACTCTGCTTGTCTCCACATGAACAAATATTCAAAGAACAATAATCGCTTCATCATGTTTATATATAACACAAGCATAGCTGCAACCAGGAGTTTTCCCCTAGTTTTTGTCGGGTCTGATGAGTCATCCAAGCATCCATTTAAGCGATCCCAATTGGTGCAAAATTGATTGGAAAATTTGGAGGACCATTCCTTCTCAACTGTCAGACTTACCCAGTCTTGAAGTATAATATATTAGTATTCTTTTTTTCGTTTCTTTATTCAGAATCAAATCCGTTTTAATATCGTTCTGTATGCCATTGATCGTGCATGATGGATGATTTTGCTGCTTGTGCCTTCGAAATCGGTCTCTATCTGGATAACGTGCTCAGTGAGTAAAGTGTTGCTGTAAATTCTAGAGCTATTTTGCGGTTGATAGCGTTTTATGTTAATGTTTTATATTAATTTTCTGCGCGGAAGACTTCTGCATCACACAACCTGTTAGCACATTAAAAAAACCTCACCACTTAAAACAACTCATGCCACTCCGGAAATTTCGTATAGAGTACATTCCCCGCTACGTTTCATTGGAGACTTACAAAAACAGTGTGTATCGAAGGCTGACAACAAAAAACGAATTGCATGTATGTGTATATATATATATCTCAGACCGTGATGCATATGTGACATGGTGCATAAATCGCCACGATGCATATGACCTTAGCGATTTCGTAAGAAAACCCAGTTTAGCACGGTGATAATCTAAATCCATTGCTTTCTCCTTGCTGCTAAATGACTTACTTCTTCATGCTGAAGATCAAGCAGGAAACGTAGAAATGCTGCTTTATGCCGACAATATTATCGTCTTTGGATCGAGTCTATTTAATGCCTATCAAGCCCTTAGAGACTTTATACATATATAGACAAAGCGGTATCTGTGATTAATATCAACAATATTGGCCCTGAGGTTCCGCCTTAAAGGCCGGTTCGCTGCTATTGTGACATTCCATATTGGCTTAAATTACATGACCAACCTCAAGTACGTGAGTGTAATTTTACCTACAAGCAACCGAGCCTTTGCAGAGCGCATCATGGACAGAGTACGACGAGCGACGGTATACAAGCTCTCTTCAAACTTTCCCTATGACTGGCGCTAGTCCTAATCGGAATCAGGCGGCTAAGGTGGCTTCGCTGGCATCCTACTGAATTCAGGTATTGTGGAAACACCTTTCATGGGTGTAACTTTAAAATCGCGACCGAACTCAGTCTGCGTTCCTAAAACGCGCCACAGGACTGCATCGCTCATCGTTGAACAGATACATGTGCTTTCCATGCGACACACTGCCATTTGTAGAAGATCTGAAACGCAGTTTTTAATTTTCGAACCCTCTAGTTGCATGGAGTTTGCAATGCCCTCTAGTTGCATGGAGTTTGCGATGGTAGAGGAAAATCGCGACGATCGTCTTTGTTATGCCTTAAATAAGCCTTAAATAAGCAACGACATATCACCTATCTTACATAGTAGCCATTCACTAGGAAATGACAAAATTAGAATGACGTGTTGATTTTAATCTGTTTCATTGTAAAAATCTTTTCAACTACAAAGCTTTCTTAGGTAACTCAGGGGCATCTATTATAGCATTATCATTGTAACATCATAATAATGGACTAGAAAATGTGACACTCCAGTGGGACGACACATCTTATGCTTGTCAATGTAGGCAAGCAATTGTCGCCAATTTAATTTGTAGGAATTTACAAGCAGAGCCTTTCATAGGTTCTCAACGTATACCGACTCGTTTTCTTGTTGCTTTACTACTCGCCTTAGACTTTCGCTACCGCGCTCTTTAGTAATTTGTTTTATTGAGACGCAAAAACTGAATTGTTATCTTTCCTGAGCACGTTTAGCGTCAGTGTCTGTAGATGTCGGACCCAACACTTCCTAGTGTATGGTCCTGTTTTGTATAATCTGTTGTTAGTGATTAGTATTTCTGATTAAATCAGGTGTCTGCCAATCTGTCTAAGTTGATACAACCCTGATGCTGTTTCGTAACAGCTATGGTTTAACTCTATCGTACAACTCTCCATATCGTTACACTTATGGAACCTCGTCGACGAAGCTTACTTAGCGCGACTCTTTATTCATTTTGTTCTATCGAGCCCATTCCCCAAAGTACCTGGCTTACTCTATTGGGGTGTTTTTATCGCAAGATATTGAGCATAGCAAGACAGGCGATTTATACTGGGTTTCTGGAATCCAGAGATACATTCATTCACCTGACACAATAACATTACCTATTTAGTTGTTATTCAGCCACAAATTAACCAATCCAGATCCATTCACTCACAAACATGGAAGATATTTACGCGCATACTCAGCATGCCACCATACGCTCACTGATAATTATTTTGCTATTGTGTTTTCGTGAAACCGTGTGACTGTTTAAGAATGGTCTGATCAATATCGTGCTGACACAATCGACTTCACGTGCTCAACGCAGTTACGTTTTTTGGTCGTGATGGGTTAGAAGACACGCTTCACGCGTTTCAATAAAGTTACGGTATGGATATAAAACATACGGTATGTTAGCTTCTGTTTACGATAATTTTCTTATCGCATACTTCACGCCCACAGGCATATATTAAAAAAACACAACTTTTTTCCATTTTCGCCATTCATCACACATTTCCATGAAAATCTCTCTCTCCCTCTCATTTTACTTGTCTGTATGTACTACTTTTAATTTGTTTTTCTTCACGGCCGTGTTTTTTGTCCCAGTGAGCTGGTAGAACCCGCCTTCGCCGAAGCTATCTGGTGTTAGCCTTATTCTTTACCTTTTCATTCTTCAAATATTAGCCCTAAACATGGCATCTTCTCTTCCGCGCAAAGTTGCTCTCGTCAAGTTGGTTCTTCAACATAATAATTCAGGGTCGCCCGTTATTTGCAGCGCAATTTCGACGAGCGTGCTGTGGTTTGCGCAGTAGTTGCGTGTTGTTCACTTTATTACATTCCACTGGCTTCGTTGGCAGCGAAGAAGGCTCACCAAGGTTGAGCGTCGAATTTGACGTTGATCGGTGTGGGGGTTCATCGTTACTGGGGCGAGTGAAGGGACAAGTTAGACAGCCTTTGATAAAAGCTTTAGTCTATCTTTTTTGGTGCACGTCGTTGAACAGAGAAACAGTTGATTCTGAAGTGGTCGCACATCTGACGCACAACACAGATGGCGTAGTGGATGTGACCCACAAGGACGGCGGCTGTGAGGGTATATAGACAATATGTCTCGTTCCATCGCAATCCAAATACGGCGAAAAGCGTGGCAAGGACCAAAGCCAGCATTATGTTGAAAAGGTCGCATCTATGCACCAAAAAACGGCAAGAAAAACACGACATACGTGAGAGGAGAAATTATGTTGAGTGATGCCAATTAACTCTATAGATAAAGCTTCAATGCTCCATGCTTTTGTTAGCATAGGATGAATAAATATGAGGATTTCCGTAAAAGTGCAGTGGTAATATGTTTATGTACTAAACTTACGGAAATGTAAGCTGGCATAAGTTCGAAAGCAAGTTATTTGAATTACCACGGTACTGGGCGAAAAACTGAGGAAATTTTTACTTAAGGAAGTACTACTCTCAAAAGAGCAGGTGTAAACGTGATTTGTTTCATGCTGGAGAATCGAGATTCATTAACTTGAGAGTATCGATAAGAGGGTCAAAACCCGAAAATTTGAACGAACAACGGTGTTCACACCGCATTATAAGCTTAATAAAGTACACCGTGCACCTTTATAATAGTAATAATAATTAACGTATTCAAGTTTGCATGTTATGAATAAAGGAAACATATAGATGTAATGACTACACCAATCAATTTAAATTAATGGTAAGATAGCCGATTTAAACAGAGATTAATTGTCATAAAGATATTACCTTGTGGTTGTCATTTGGTTGATGATCAATCGAGTGGCGATGTTCGAAAACAGTGTACCGATCATCACAAACATAACACGGGGTTGCGTCTCAATGATGCTCGTTGGCGAGTTCAAAACCCAGATGGTTGTAAGCGCAAAGAAGATTGTTGGTGCAACCAAAGGGCGCATTCCTTCCCACCTAAGAAAAAAAATTAGTAAAATCGTCATATTTCGGCTAAAGAATAGCAACAGACGTTTGAGCTAAACGTCAATAGCCGTTGGTTAAATTCATTCGAATGCTGATAATCGTTGAACGTTATGTAAAGATAGGCATGCCCGATTGAATATAAAATACATTACTAAAAGAAAAGAGAAAATATGAACAACGAAAAACGCAATCTAATAAGCTACTACAGTAAAAAAGTATCGATCAGTATAGGGAGCTAACGAGCTAGAGAACCTCCCTGCAAAGGTAAGTTATGTATATGATTATAGAGGTTTGTTTCCGTTTTTATCGTTAATTTTATTTTAGTAAGCTATAAGCTAACTGCTTCTCTCACAGTATAGTTAATATGCAGACGTTACGCACGTCCATTGATGCATACTTTTTCACGCAACACCATTTTACAGCAATGGAAATTTGTGCATTTAAGCATATATCGCGCAGGCGATGCTGGTAGTTGTCTTGGCGTTTGTAAACATGTGGCGCGGTGTTATTTTTTAAGATGAGAAAGAAGTTTATAGCCTCCATCGATAGGCATCAAGTAGACATTACACTCTACAAGTGGAAACATGCTTTCCAAGATAAATGCGTAGTGACCCACCGAAAGAAAAAATCAGCCCAATCCGTGCATTTTTAGGGTCTCCTTTCAATAAAACAACTCCGCGCACTTGGACTTTGATAAACAGTAGATCTTACCGTTGGAACACTTACAACGAATGGTGACGAAGCGTTTTAGCCTGATAACCTTTGTAAATATTCCACAGGCTCACAGGTAAGCCGAGGCCAGCTGCACCGAAATGAAGTGCGGCTTCCATGTACAATCCGGAGGGATAGCCCAAAAGGGTGAACTTCCAGAACGTGTGACCATAGACGAAGGTCAGCAGGAAGGTGCAAGTAAGGAACTAAATGACAACAATCGATATAAAAATAAGAACCTTCATTCATATCACATGGTCATTCATTCATACCCAGCTGTGTTTGTTTAAACATTAAGTTAAAAAAATAAAAAGAAAACATTTTTTAAATAATCTTTTAAAATAAAACGTTGCTGCACCTCTACATCGTTTTATTCATGTCAGCTTATTTCTATAAATTATTCGTACTCTATATAATACATACCTTATTGTTTATATTATCGGTCTGTGTATAAATTACAAACGATATTAAGCTACATTAATATACATCATACAAATAGCGAATAGCAATGACGGATTAAAGGGTCTAATATTGTTAACAAAGTGCAGTTGGTGGTAATAAAATTGCCCTTTGTTCACAATAAAGTACAGAACAAAAACTGAACTTACGATTTGTGAAACATCATAACCCCATGGAAGAAAGAGGATGCCCGTATTATACTTTTCCCAATGCGATGCGAGGAAACAGTAGTGCACATCCCACAGAATCAAGTAGTATCTGTATCAATAAAAAAATTCGACGATTCAAATCAATAGAAAACTGGTTAAATTTTGACATCTTGGTATTAGTATCTACGAATATGCTCCAAAATTCAGCAAGTACTTTTCATAACGATATTTCGAAACAGACAACGTCATAATGTAGAAAGAAGTACGTTTCTTGATCAAAAATGAAAACTAGTCTTATGCAATTAAAATACTTTTTACGATCTCTGGCTGTGACCAATATTGAAGTCTATTTGTTGTTAACGGAAAAACTTCTTACTTGACAGTTGTCACACACATATACAGAAATAAACTTCATAGTGTACTGACGATGCTCTTTGACGAATCGGAAAAGCGGATAGCATATTATAGTTATATTTAGACCAGCTGAAATTTAATTTTTGGCTCAAAGTTGAATGCAATCGACAGTTTACTTTTGTATACTAACAGCACAAGAGGTACAACAGTCAGTTTTAGAATATGACAAAGTAAATTAAGTGATATTTCTAGAACTGATATTTTCAAAAGACATATGTCATGAGCAACAAAAACTCTGTTATACATGTATGTATACACGACCATTTTACAAAAGGTTTCGTTTGGGTAACAAACCAAATACTGATTGTCATACTGAGTTTGGATGAGGTTAGCACCTACGCACTAAAACTATGGTCAGCCAGTTGGTTGTACTCCAGCACTTACCGCCATGCAGAGACAGCGAAGTTGAGTCTGCCGAAGACTGAGTACACGCAGACTGGCATGAACAGTGTGGCCCATGAGTCAAGTCCATGATCGAACAACTCTCCCATAGGGCCGCAGAGTCCGGTCCGGCGGGCGTGCTTCCCATCGATGCCGTCTGCAACGAACGTAAATTTCAGTGTAACTAGAAAATCATACCGACATGCCTTTTGATCACGATCCATACAAAAGAAGTATTAAAAGCTGAAAAACCACATTGTTACGAAGACCAGTGCAAATCACTTGCAAGCTGATTTTTTACAGTCGATTAACCAAACAGCTAACTATTTCAAAACTGTGTGCTATAGGGATAACGCTCCATAACGCTTAATACAAGACCCATATATCGCGATGCGTTTTATTGCTTATTACAGTACTTCTACATCAAAAGGGATCCATCTCACTCTGCAGCATATTCTATCTAGCTTAAATTGGTTACGCTGATCTCTGTTGACCAGCTACTACCAAGGAAGCACAGACTAAATGCTTCCGGCACTAATAGAACACTAATTAACTACTAGGCAATTAGTCGTAGTAGCGGTACTCGGAGCAGTCTGTATTTATTCTATGGTGATCGATTTTCAACCACTACCTTAATGAACGAAAGCTTAGCTGCACGCTAAACACATGTATATATCTGACATTCGCAAGCGAAAAATGAAAGAAATATTTGATTAAAATAGTCATAACGTTGTCATTTAATCTACTACATGTATCGGTTTAAGATCCTTTACTAGGAAAATCCAGATCTACAAGATCTCTAAGATACAACGTTTCATATGTTAACTAAGGAAAACAAGTAAGAAAACTCTCCGCGATCGTGGCGCTCCAGGGGTTATTTACTTATTTGATTGCGTCATGATCGTCGATGCATTCATCACTAATATACTATTTTCTAGTTCATCAGTTTTGCTTCGAATTAGCTCCATAACTGAGATTCCTAAATCAAGCTAAACTATACTTACCGAGGGTGTGCGCCATGAATTGATTAAAAGCGCAGACAAGCCAGACCCATTTTGGTACCGGAGGTGAGGGGTGGTCGTCACTTGATGCATAAAAGTCGAAATCATACCATGACAACAGGCATAGACTCAGCACGTTCAACATGAACCCGCCAAATGTCAAACAGTTGGGAGCTACTGAGCGAGGAACCAGCTGAAATAAAGAAAAAAGCGAATTTTCTAATTGATTTTCCATGATAATAAGTACAATCATACCTGCATGTCTACATAGATATCTGCTCTTAACATCGTGTTTAGATATTTATACGATTTATCTGTAGAGCCTAATGTTCAGTTTATCTGTCAAAATGTGCAATTAACAATCGACAGCCTTAGGAATCAACATGTAGTATAAATAGACTAGCGTAGTAGAAGTAGCGAATCTCTGACATCTCTACCTTTATGCTGTATTGTGTATATTAGTCCAATAAATTAATCGCTGAATCTCAGCGATTCAAAATTTTATAATTGATATACACATGTGATATGTATATGATATACGTAATTCAGTACGGTAAGTAGTGTCAAATGATGGCTGAAAACTATAAATCCGGCCGTGAATACTGTAATCATAGCACGCGTTCTGATCACGGCTTCATTTATAGTTAAGGCAATACTGCCGATAAAGATCTCTGCGAGCATGGTAATTAAATAAAGATGTCATTCAAAGGTTTGTAACATATGTTACGAAGAAGTGCATGCATGAAAATACTGTACTTAACGACATGAACAAGATCTATCTATAAAATTTTCATTAACTGTACAACGATGTATCATATACTTGATAAATATCCCCAATTAGTTCCAGTATTTACTTTCAATTTACTTTGTCTGGTCGAATGTTTGGCACCACTTAACTTCCTTGCAATTTATATGATGTCGTATATATATAATATGCTAATTAGAAATAAGAGATTAACCTGCTTTCGGTGCACCCTGAAAGGGATGGTTCTTATTGTTGAGACGCTTTGCGTACCTGCCCAACACCTTGTAATACTTGTAATACTCTCACTCAAAGGTACGTACTCGCCCAAACCCGCTATTTTAAGGTTAAATAACCCACCAGTTATAAAACTCTGGTAAAAGTCACAATTTGCTTGTAGAACGCCACTAAGACCGTTTGAGATATGTTCCGCTGGTAAAATGTTATCAAAAAGGATCTACAATATTGACTATCTAAAAGTTCTGCAAGACATGAGAAATCATTTTATTATTCAGAGTGAGATAATTTATGCATTGTAAAGGCATTTGAGCAAACTGCTGCGTTGAGCCCACCCTTAGGTCACAACAGCTGCGCATAAATCAAGGAGAAAAAAAGACAAATGCGTTTATGCCCCGCAGATTTATTACGAAAGAAAACAATGCTCATAAAATGTTTAATATTAATCCATTACGAGATATCTCACGACTGCTCTCTTTCAAAAGTTCCGCTACATGTCATCTAAATAAGAAGCTACCTTGTGTATAATAATTATTAAATAGACACCTTCGAGCAAACACAGACAGAATATTCAAAAACAGTGGCAAAAGATCACGGGTTTTATCAATTTAACCGTCCAACCATGGCTTCGCCGGCAGAATAATCCAGACTCATGCGTGCAAACAGTAAATAGTGACTTCAGACAAAAAAGAATTAAATTACCTAAAAACAAATTGTACATTATGACGCGCGTCACAATGATTTATCCTGACATAGCCATAATTCCTCCAATTAAGCCACTACATACAATTATTTTATTGACGTTATAGGCTTGCGAGGCTCTTCGCAATGACGGAAATCAATTTGGCCTACAGTGAAAGAAAGGCCTTTTGTGAATCTTGCCACCTGCCGCTCACAGCTTGACTATGCAATCGAATCGATGTACAGAAAAATTCACTAGCGTGTTGAGTATACTTTCTGTTACTGACGACGCGTGTTTAAATGGAAAAAGCGGCCACAAAAAGAGACTCCGTAGTGAAAAAATGCCGAACAGTGAATCTGTGAAATATTATGATATGTATTTTAACATAAAACTACAGATATTAGGTATTTGGACGCCGCGACACTAGTTACTCGTCTAGTGGCTGGTGCTACTCGATGGTATGCTGCGTACGCCTGTCCAAACGTCATTTTTTTCCAGCTACGAGGTATCGCGCTGGATAGATTCAATTGAATTAGATATGATGAACTAATACACTACCATTAGGAGGAAATTACTGCAACTAGTTTTCTAAAGCACAAACATATCGACGCCATCTCATATAGTAAATAGTTGCAAATTTATTTAGTATTTAGAAGTAGTTTACTAATAAACTACTTCGAAAAGAGTACCAGAGAAATCAACATGTAGAATTAGAACAGAATTACTGTAACTCTTGGCTAATGTAAGCCGTTTGGATCGCTAGATTTTAGCTTTGCTAGTCGCTATGTACGACGACGTGTTTCCCCTTGGTTGAAAAAGCAAGAGAAAAACAATAATTGACGCTTTCAAACTTTAGCAATTTCAGCTTAAACATTATTTTCTACAGCGGATAAAAATTATCGCGGAAGGCAGGCTCTATAAAGGTCGGAGTTCGCTAACATGCCAGTTAACTAATCGACAGTAGTAGGACCTCATCCTCTATTATTACGTATTAATATCTTCAGCAGCAGATTATTTGACTGGAAATCACGACCACATTGATTTATTTACGTACACTTACTTCCACTCTGTACCCATAAATGTGGATCCCGTCGGCCTGAGACCATCCAAAGATTAGTTCTGGCAAACGCAATATAGAGGCAACACTATTTCGCAAATAAATAATTTCAGTGCATGACCAGTAAGTACGTAACTTTGACGACAGCTAATCTGATTGTGGGTCAAAATAGCAAAGTACAAGCATTAAAGTAAGTGATAGTCGAAACAAACCAATGTAAGGCTTGTGGAGCAATTCGTCGTAACGCCAGCATGATCGCTTAGTACAGGTAATATCGCGGAGTCTACAACTAGTCGCGACGATATAGTTCGTGCTAATAATGTGGTATAATACTAACAGTAATAATACCTAATATAGATATAACGGCTCTATGGCATGCAGAGGAAACTGGTGCAATACCGAAACTGTACGTAGTGTAGACAAACGTAATTTGGTGTCACTAGCATGTAATTACACATGAGAGATTCAAAATGATTATAGACTAATTACAGATATGGGTTCAATGTTATCCAAAACAAAAGATACTTGGGCTTGACTCTTGATGTTCATCTAATAATAAAAATGATAATGATAATAATATCAAGACAAGACCGATTCAACTTACCTTGACGCACTGGTTCCAAAAAGGGTGCATTACATAATTGCTCAATGGTGAGGTGTCGATTGCTGAATACTTTTGTACACAGCACCCAGTCATCATACGGAGAAAATACATGAAACACCGCAGCAAAAAATAAACGTTAGTGCAGTTGAAACAGTGCTAGCTCACCATGATCGTCAACTAAAAAATACTGTATCTTATTCCAATATTTCACACCAGTAGTGGAATTCCCCAATATTAAGGTAGATCTATATGTAGGTAGTAAATAAAACAAATTTAGTTATCCACAGCCCTGCTGTTGAAAAAGTGTAATTGACATCCTGAGGCATATAATACCGTCTATATTTGATAGATTTTGTTTTCCTAAAATGTTTGAAAATTTTTAATTATGGTACCCTCGAAAAAAGTACTGGTTGCAATGATAATATTTGCTTTATGGGTGCCTGCTACAAACCCTGCTGTTCTCTTAAAAGAAGGCCTAGCAAAAAAATGCTTTATCGTTACAGAGTAAAAATCACCATAGCCTTCAGCAAACCAACCCCTCCAATTTTTCGGAGGGACGTTGAAGCACTCAGTCCCGATAATGCTGAGCTTGCTGTAATTTTTATGGAAAACTTGCGCCACCTCGATGCAATAAAGATGACACATCAAGAGTTTAATTTAGAAATTCTGCTCAGATTTGAAATATATTGAGCGTAAGTAGCCTCATTTCAGCTACAAATAGCTGTTGCGTTGAGGGCCCGAACATAATTTGCAGACATTCATAATTTAATACGCATGAAAAACATCACCGCCTGAAAATGAATGTGTGCACATCCCTGACCTGAGACAACTGTCTTCATTGCTTAAGCATATAAAATTCATATAAATGGCTTGATTTACCTGAAGTGTCTTTTTGCAAATAGGCCTATATAATCCGAAGGTGTAAATATTTTCCTAAAAATTCATGTTCGTTAATTGTTAAGTAATTTTTAAAATCGTTGCTGTTATTTCTTTCTGAAGACTGTTCAGGCGAAAATTAATTCATGGAGTCATTTTTACCTTCCGGGCGTAAATGTTGAACGAAGTTCTCCACTACAATATATTGCACATAACTGGAATAGGCTAGAATTGAATGACATTACACTGGCCTCAGAATAGATTATCAGACATTAAAAATTCCAAATCATTAGTGAAATTGGCAACATCATGGGTACTTGTATTGGATTTAGTACACCCGCCTATGAACTAAAAACTCGGCAAGGACATATGTCTACTAAGGCATTCCGGACTCAAATATTGCCACCATATCACGCAATGTACTGATTTATTCACAATGCTAGTGTATCTATTTCATTTGCCACTTTTCTATACCGTTTATGATAGCTACAGCGTTCATGATATATTAATCAATTTGCTGTTACAAGCCAAACATGCGGACATATGTCAAATCAGCCGTCTGTTGATGACATTAAAGCTTCCGACAAGGCACACGGGGAAAGGGGGGTCGAAACGGCCTGAGCGAGTCGGTTTGAAAGTCAAAAACCCACGTTAGGCCACGCGCAAGGTGGGCACGGATGGTGTCGCCATTGCGAGCACATCCTATATACTGAGAAAAGCGAAACTGCTAAACGAATGGATGACTGCATATTGCGAAGTGACTCACGGCGTCAAACGTTAAACCTGTGTGACAAATACATGGGAGCTTGGTGTTAAATTCAAATAACGTGATTCATACTCGCTACATGCCATAATTTGTGTTGTCCCTTTGTTTTGATGTGTTACCATAATATACAACTGGTCAGGTATATCGTGCATGGCTAGCATTTTTCCTACGCACAAATGCTGGCTTCTGGGTTGACAGCGCAACGGTAATATTAAAAATCGGGTAGCCTATAATAAAAATAAATCACGTTGTCTTAATGATTCATGTCAAAGACGTATTAAACTGTTCCCTTTAATCTATTTTCAACTTATTATATTATATATATATATATATATATATATATATATATATATATATATATATATATAATGGTAAAAGTTGAAATTATAGTAAAGACTAGACGTTTCATTGCGTAGTCATTCAAAATGTAAGCTATATGGTTAGTGTATTATAGAATCCGTGGAAGAGATGAAACCTGATTCTCATTGGGCCAGGTTACACGGATATAGAATGCTCCAGTACCACAATCTTTTCATAACACACACATGGCATATTATATATTAAAGTGCATTCTATCATACAAAAGCTGTGAATGTGTAGAAACTGTTTGAGCAGCAAGTTTTGCTATAAAAGTTCCGCAGGTATTTTGCTATAATGTTGTCGTTATTTAGTATTTTTCGCGTTTTTTGGGTGCCCACACGTCAAGAATAACAACGCAAAGACAAAAAGCTGCAACATGCATCGGATACCTATCGGGTGCGAGTACAGTATATTGGAAGCAAATTACAGTGTAGCGTTTCTTGGTTTATCTAGTCGATAGCTTGTACTCTTTATACAGGCCATGTACTGACGTAGCTGGTAACTTTCGACACCAGCAACTCCTTTTCAAGCTCCTTAAGCACTTTCGTCATGTACATCATTGGCTCACTTCTGTCGTACAATTTCCTCGGCCTTTTCTATTCATTTCACACGTCATTGTATTACGAATTTGCTTTCTTTCTCTCCTTTTTCTATTGTATCTAAATGATGCTCGGCGCTTCTAACTATGGTCCCGTTTACGTCGCACAATTGCGTAAGAGCAAAATCTACACATTCCATTTTTGGATTGAAATTGAACAGCCCTAGAAACAGTCGATTAGGTACAGTTGTTTCGATGGACGCCTGCTATTCAAAGTTTAGCTTCCCATAGTATATAATACAAGGTTTTGAGAAAATGCGGTGTGTAAAAATAATGTTTTTAAGAAATCGATGTACCCCAAAATGCGCTAAACTATTCTTCTTCCATATCTATTATAAACAATGAAAACGTATATTCCAATAACGTAACCAATGAAAACTACAAGCCGTAAGCTCATAATTTACTGTACAGAAAGCCTGTATCCCAAAATAACTATCCTGCTTAACCCTTGCCCACAGCACGAAACCTATACATAGCCAATACTAAAGTTATGCAGTATCTGCGCGTTCTTTCCTTCATCGACCTTAAGGCACCTTCCTCCTACACCGCACCTCACGCAAAAACCCTGACATATCAAAGATTCGGCGCTAGTGAACACCTCTGTGACGTTTTCACGAACACATTAAAACTTTTCTGACAGGAATGCTTCGCTTTTCGCTTCGATTATTTCTGGTACCCCCCCCCCCCCCCCCTTATCATCTTCCGTATTCTCCTTGGTCAAACCTCACTTTTATATAAGTCGCCCTCACTAGCTTTCACTCCAGTACTGTTACCGCCACTACTGTCATCATCATCATTACACCTCGAGACATGACATTTCACTCACTCTTCCATCACTCGTAAGTGATCTCTGAAATACTTTATCTTTCTTGTCCTCTCTGACTTTTTTAATTCCTAGCTGTTGTCTATTCAATCCTCTGGAGTACACACAACCTCCGGATTATCCGAATCATTAACACAACTCTTTAATTTTCACGTTATCTAATAGTTGATGAAAAACCAAAAAACATCACATCCTAATGGCGCACCTTATAGTTATCGAACCCGGTCAGTTGCTCCTTGGAGAGGTAGTCCACCTCCCAATCCATCGCGTCCGGCCGACGACGCCAAAACCGCGGTTTCTGTTGTTTGTGTTGCGTCGATTTGCGTGGAAGTACCGCTGCAGCAGCTGCTGCTGCCGTCACTGTTGTCGTTGCCGACGATCGCGCAGCGTGTTCGTTTTCGCATTCGGATGCTGACAGTGCTGCGGCGCCCAACGTCGCCAAGTACACTGAATCGCTGGCAGTGGAAGTAGGCAACAACTGGCCAACGGCGGGACGGCTCGTCGTCCTGCTGTTGTTGTTGGGAAGGGCGCCGTTCGTGTCGATTTTGTCTACACTGCTGCTGCTACTGCTATTAGTAATAGTTGTGATGGTGATGTTAGTAGTTATAGTAGTGGCACAGCTTTTAGGCGCCGTGCTTCCCCCGTTGACGACAACGCGATCGGATAGAGACACCAGATGATGGGTTGTCTGCTCGACGACGTCGAGCTGGCGCGCAGTGGGACCCGCTAAATTTCGAATTGGATCAGGCAGCATGGTGGGAATTGTATACTGGTGAGTCAGAGATTAATCCGAGTTTGGTCGAAGTTAGGAGATACAGCAGTATTGATCTGTAGAGGCTAAAAAAGAGGAGGATTCAACCGGATAGTATTGAAGGTCGAAGACTAAACATAGAATAAATTGCTGTTGATGCACTAAGTACGAGTTGAGGGACGACTACGCAGCCGATAGAGGCACAGGTGTGAGTTGACGAGAATCTGAAACGAGGCGGAGACAAAGCGGAAATCGATGTGCGTTAGAAAACGATTAAATTTTGACTTTGAATGTTATCCATTATACAATAGATAGTCCATTATATATCACTATAATACAGGCTGGTATGCAGTAAGCGTGACTGTGCCTACAAGAATAACCATTTCCGGTACTCTCAACCCGTGCGGTCGGATTAGTACATAAAACAAATCTTGCGCCGCATACGGTTAGGAACAATTACGAAAATAAGATTATTGAAATATTAATTATATATCCTAAAAAATAGCGGGAAAGAAAAAAATCCTTATCGACGTATAAACCACTTCATTTTTAGCTAGAACTGTAAATTAATGCAACATTATTTGCAACATTATTATATATATATATATATATATATATATTATATGCAACATTTGCAGAAATGCAAATTAGCAACAACTATTATGGACAACGAGGAGTGTTGTCCAAAGGCAGTACAATGAATTTCAATGTGGGGCGAGCAGTTTTTCTCAGCACAATAAAAGTCGATCGGATAAGTTGACCTTGGTCATGTCGATTACAGAGGTACTACAATTATTCTCATTTCGCCCATTTGGCGAACCATTCACTACTTGCAATTTATTTAAAATACGAAACAAAAAGTTCAATCGCGATAGCTTTTAAGTAAATAAACGTCCGGCGAATTATATAGATGGATATTATGATAGCTCGCTTCAAAGGATGCTACCAAATATTCTCTAGCTATGTAGCAATTCGGTGGGCTTTAATGGATAAAACTGGACAAACGAAACCTCAATCAAAGGACACCCGTGACTATTCGCACACTTTTAAACGAGGAAAGGAGCTTGATAGCAGATGAAAACATTGGAGAAGAGACTATTTAAACAATTCGTTGCTAAAAACGGAAATAGATTGAGGATCCTTTTGCTCTGTAGAGTGTTCGGCGCCCACTAGAAAAAAAGTAGGTAATTCTGAGAACAATTTATTACTATAACACATAACATTTTTATACGCTTCTTTGCGTGGCGATTTAGATATATCTTATTGTAATGAAATGAGTAAGTTTGATATGTTATAAGTTTTTTTTTTGTTATAAACGAGGTAGCTTTTTATATTTACGTAGCGTATACCTCGATTTCTGGAGTCTAAAAATAGAATCTTCAGGAATTTGAGCACTATTAGTTAAATATGTAGTTATGTAAACGTTGTACCTCCTGTGTTGCCGAATATCTGCTCTTGGCTACGGGGCACGAACGACGTAAAATAGAGTAGATGATTAGTGCTTACCTAAGCAGTCAGTGGTATGGGCTGCGGAAGGCAGGAAATCAACACAACAACATTTAAGTGCATAGGTTTCAGTTCTATGGTATATAAGTTTCGTACCCATTTTTGTAGACAGTGTTGCCTAGATATCTTTTCTGTTTCTTAAGTGGCATCTCTATTCTTTTTATAACGCTGTACTATATTATTATCATTGTTATTGACGTGTGAGAGCATAAGATAAAATTAATTTGCCAATAAGATAAACAATAAATGTATTCATATACCCTTTTAATAAAACAACGGAATCTGGATGCATTCTCCTGTTTGTTGTTTTTATACGATATATGTACCCATCTGCATTGTCAGTCATATGAGTTGAGTCGATAAAAACGTTTTCGAAACTTAACTGTTTTCGTTAGGAAGGCGCACCTCATAAAGTAATTAGTAGAGATCGATCCATAGGTTCGTTTGTTTTGAACATCTTAATCTGCGCAAAAAAAATGTGTCGTATGTATGGCGACGCCATTCTAAAACTTTGACTGGTTATGGTGCTTCATAAATTTGAATATTATAATGTACTTATTTCACTTATTATACCATATGCAATGTATAGCCGAAAAGTGGCTTTTGAAGTATTACATCAATATATTGCTTCGTAAATTGGCACACGATAGTCTCTGGCCTAACCCTATCAGTGTATCATTCATTACTCGTACTTGAATCCTATAAAAATTATATTTTTACTACAACTGATAACGGTTATTGAACGTAATCGACTACACAAAGAAAGTGCATAAGATCGTTAGCAAATTTTTATTCGTATCGTGTCGTGCACTGCCATCATCGAGTAGATGGGAGGAAACTTTTCAAAACGTCAGCGAGACAACACGCTTAATTTGCTCTATTCTTCTATGCTATAAGGTAAATCCGATGAATTACCTTACATACAAAAATGAAGTGATTCATAAGGGCTCGAATACTGGACGAATCTTTTTTGTATCAAATAGCGAATAAGATTATACAGTAACACAGGTCACCACGTCAAGCCTTTCAATCTACGCAGCAAAAGTACGCAGTCAAATGACAGGTAATTTCGAGTCATATGAAATCCGTAACTTTACTTCGAGTTTCGGGACCAAGTATTCGGTGGTTGGAGTCGGAGTGGAAACAGCACTAGAGTTTTTTTTTATCAAAATATAATAATTGCAATATTTTCAAGCGAACGAGCGAGAGGTTTTCACAGTGAAAGTTCAGAAATGCGTTTTAGCGAGACTAATGTCGTCGAGAAATTCAATGCAAAGGACTCGTTCTTAAGTTTACGCATTAGCTCCCGTAAAAAAATCGTTCACTTATCGCTTTGTTGCTTTGAATTTACCTAAAACATTTTAGTTTTGATCTCGGTAACAAAGCAACTTTTCGACCATATGCGCCTGTTCCTCCTTATAAATAATCTTAAAACGACTGAAAATTGGCGTAATATTGGCTAAACTTCTATATATTGGCACTACCTGTTCAGGACTTCCTCTAAGAACTCGCTATTTTCGATTAAGCCTGGACTTCGGAATAGCGTTGCATGGATCATGATTAGCTCAACATGTGTACAAAACAGTTTGACTTAAAAAATTAGGATCTCTTACCGAAAAGGTCTGTATCCAGTTGGGATGTTGTGCCGCGCCGAACACAACTTCCGCCGCATTTTTTGAATATTCTTATGTAAATGTTGACACTGTTCTCCCATTGATCATCTACCTTTCATCAGACCCGTTTTACTATTGTCAGCTTATTTTTTTTTTAACCAAATCCAATCTCTAGCAACGGATACCCAAACCGATAAATAATGATGTACATAAGAATTTTTGCTTAAACGTACTCGTCCCGTGTACAGTTTCCGCAGCCTTTCACGCACCATCACTTGGTTTCATGATACTAACTCGCAAATCTCGTGTCAGTCTCTATAAGAGTCAGCTGCTGGAATGTTTACTAAGCCTTTCTAGCACTATTTTATATTTGTCCACACGTATACAGGGCTACACAGACATATGCTGTACCACAAAATAACGTAACACGAAATTGTGAAAAATGACGATGTCATACGAGCTAAATAGCTAAGATGGCACGAATAATAGAATAAATGTTCTGAAGATCATTGTAATACTTTTACGAAAAGTAGCCTATTTGACTTTACCCTGATATAATGTATCGCAAATATTTTTTTGACACGCATTTGCCATGACAAAATTTGAGGCGTCGCGATACAGCAATTATTAGCATGAAATCGAGTTCGGTAAGCGTATACGATGCAAGCAATCACTAAAGCCCTTTATAAATTAATTACATAATATTATAAATGTGGATACTGTTGCAGCTGTGCAATTAATACATTAGAAATACTGAAACGAATCAGGGAAAACAATTTGAAGCGACCGTAAATTTTTTTCGGTCAATAATTTTGCACAGCAACACTGCACTATGCCCAAATTCGGTCACAGCTTTCATCGGCGTGAATAACTCGTTCACAACGTTTCTTGTAGTTCCGAGCCCATCCAAACGCTTTGGGATTACTTGGTCAACTGTGAGTCAATTTATTATATAGAGCACTGAACTAACAAACCAAACCGCGTTTAACTCCGTTCCCCCGAAGTGCCCATAGTCACAAAACAGCAGTCGTTGGGTATTACTCGTTGGGTGGATTGCCACAACTTTACGGAATCCTAACTCCAGACACTCGTTTTATGGGCGTAGAAGAAGCTCACCAAGCAACAAGCTCTTTATCTTCCTTTACAAGATTAAATTACAATCTGGAAAACTGGCTAAAGCAAGAGCTGACATGATCATGATAACAAGCTCCCACGGCAAGCACTATTACGTCAATACACTTTTTTTTAATATCTATTCCGCTTTATTTAATCAACTTCCACATTCCGCTTCGCGAACCATTGCTTCTCCGTAGTTGACGCAGAGAAATTATATTTAAACAAATTGCTCGTGTAAACTTACTGACAACCATTAAAAATGGAAAAAAGACAAATGGATAGTAATAGGTACTAACGATCCTAACCTTCTCGAATAATCTTCACATTTCCAATGAATATACAGCTAGCTTGCTCATCCTTCTCTTAGTCTATTTCAACTGAATCTTTTTTTCGCGTATCGCTCCTGTACTACCTGATTTTTTTGATCGTACAAAGGTCGAGTGGCAAACCTAAACACAAAAGCACTTACTGGCTTAGCACTCGGTGCCTTTTGGCAACACACCCTTTCTAGGAACTCTGAGAAACGGTTCTAATTACGGCCATTTAATCTAATTCTTTAAACTCTTCATCTTAACAAAATTGATGTTTTTCCTTGACACGACAAAAACAAATTTAAACATTACACATGCTAAGACACTCATGCCCACAAAGGAATGCCGCATGCCAATAAACTCTAAAACGTTTTTTTATTGATGACACAACTGTTCGACTGTGGCCCTAGCTCAAAATAGTCAGCCATCGGCGGTCGATAAATCGCGTGGTCCAGAAGTGACAAATAGTAACGTAGCCAGTGGGCGGATTTCGAAAGTTTTACAGTTGTTATAGCAGGGGCAAGCGGAGCTTGGTGGCACTTGTATGTGATTCAACTACGCTCTGCTACTACGTTCTACGTATCTGCCTCCCTAATTGACAAAATCTAGCAACGGAAGCAGATTTTTTTCTAAAATTAACAAACAGACACTAATGATCTCCTCTTTAACGACTTCTTGCCCATACACGCTATTATAGGGGCATTCTTTCTGGGCTTCACTGCTTTTCGCCTTCCATTTATTTCGTTCGCAAAAAAAAAGCCTTCGACACGACTACTTAACCGAAAGGCACCTACTTCCCTCAAGCACACTAACCTAATCACCGTGAGGGCTGCTTACTTTCGATAGATCATCACTAGTCGAGTAGTCAGCGCGCTCGAAGCGCCTAAAGAAACAACTATGTCTCACGTCTTTTATAGTCTCATATAAACACTCTACAGCGGCACCGCAAGTTCCCATCCAGCAACAACCAACCGGACACTTCGCCCGCGTGACGAACAATGAGAAACTAACTGATCGACTGATTCTCTCTGCGAATGGCGGGCTATCTAGACCGCAAATACGCGAGGGTGAGCGACTATGGCTGCCTCGGCAGTAACATTCGAGCACACTGTGTGCGTCGTCTATCCGTTAGTTGTAGTCGTAGGCCGCGCAGCAACGTTGGTTCCACTTAGCGCTCTATCTGCGTGCTTGACTGAGTGTCACCACCGATAAGGGCAAGCTGCATATGGCGATATTCGGTTGTAAGACGAGTGCTCTTGCGTAGAGCAGACGGTGCGAGGAAGAAGGCACCAACAGCGCTCACGGAGGCTCCGCAAAAAACGCTCAACTTTGCTGAGGAGTCCGGTACGATATTTTACAGGGCTACGTAGCGAAACAGTCCGCTTTCGATAGAAAGACAGAGACTATATGTTCACGGAAGTTTCGCCGTCGGTGTTTCGTTTGTGGCAGATGAACGAACGGATGGACAGGTACACAGGTTAACGGTAAAGACGATGGCGTTGGTGCAACTGCGTCCCCTTTAAATTTTTAACCCCCCAGCGAGCATAGACACTACAGCTCAAAAGCAAATGTCGAGGCCAAAGAGCTAACGACGACGGGCTTCAGTACAAGAAGCAGTTTTCGTTTAGCGCGAGAACATCTATCTGTTGGTTGACCACAGATTGTCGTTGGAGTAAAACCAACTAGCTTAGCAATGATATGGCGAAAACGCGAGCCGCTATATCTTTTCATTTACGTCACGCAGGGAAGATCACGGTGGTGGTAGTCAAGACAAAACGTAATGTAGGTGTACTACAGTATAAAATGGGCTGGGTATATCGCTCGAAGAAAAAAGTTTATTGCGAAGCAAGCTTCTGCACAGATGGCTGACGATAGCGCAGAACCAGAGCGGTTTCAGAGGTACAGGTCATATCACATCCGAAGATAGGTGCAGAAAAACAAAAAGCGGAAGGGCAATGTGTATATATATATGTGTGTGTGTAGAAGTGTATACATATATACGGTATTTTCGCCAAATGAAGGAAGTTGGTTTATGAAAAAAAAGTTCAGTGAAGTTTATTCACCCTTTATCAAGCAGACTGCAATTACTATTGCATAGTAACTCTTAATACAAACATATTCTTGTACAACTTAGGAGATATCAGAAATAATATCTTATCAAGAGGGTGCTTTTACAGTATGTAAAAGGATTGATAAACCGATTAAGTAAAGGTGATTACTAAACCCATAATTAATTTTCCAGTTGTTGTTCCCAATCCTATATGGACATTCAAATTACTGTAATCATCCACCATGCGAACGACTTCATCATTTTGTGGGTGTTTACCTTGTCGTAGGATATGTATCCTACGACAAGGTAACCAGGATAAGTAAATCTCGGTATTTGCCTGAGGATACTTTTTGAGTGATAGAGGTGGCAATTTTTAAAAGCAGGTCTTGACTAAAGAAACACATCCTAGCGACATGCAATTACTCCGTACACTGTTTAGAGTGCGTCGCTATATTAGGCTTAACAGAAAAGTCGATTTGTTTTTGGTAGAATTTAACTAAATACACTGACCGCTGATTGAAAGTGTTCCTAGTTTCTGATGAAATGTATTTAGGGAAGCTGCTTCTCTTGTCGTCAACGTTGTTCAAGTTACCTACGTATCCAGCGTTCAGACATTGCTTTGTCGCATATTGTTTCCTATATTAGTACCTGAGAGATGTAACAAAACAGCAATCGAAATAGCATTAACCTAATTACATAATACTCCCCGCTAACGCATCAAGGGCGCACTCTTTTTTTTTGTAAATAGTTTCCATGTTCGTAATTGCGTTTTTTGAAAATTTATTTTTTTTTAGATTTTAACAGGGACGTCATTACAATTGAATATCAAGCGTAGAACACTTATCGCAGCATCTTAGAGTATGTTTTTTAAACTGACGAAGCCACGCTGTCTGCCAAGCTACAGATTAACATGGCTCAAGGTTGTATTATTTGATACAGATGACGTATAACGCAAACATAAAGAATAACCATAAATGTAAATATAAATCAATGATTAGTCGTAGGTAACCCTAACATTGTTTTCCCTATATAAATAGGATTTACGTCCAGTTGTTCCTGGTGAACAGCTTATCATTGCGCAGTCTTTAACAAGTACTTCTACCAAATTCGTTGTTGTAGGTGTTAACGTATCTCGTGATGTGAGCGACATTCACAACAAGCGCCCTTTCTATCGCCACTTAACACTCTCCTTCGACGGGTTTTATCTTCAGAAGGTTTTGACGTTCGACGATATGTCGCAAGTGCCTAGCTCCTATAGGCAAACCGACTCTCCACTGCGTTATACATAATGATGCAAACAGAGGTAGTACTTCACGCCGTGCGCTCCTTTACGAAAGATAGGTGTAAGGTAGATTGTCGACATATCGTCTTGTAGGGACTTCTGAATAGAAAACATTCCGCCAACAACTGCACCTTGTTCGAGTCTTAAAGGTGGATGGCTGACTGGCTGGCTGGCCAAACGCCGAAAAAAGCATCGACATAAGAAGTTGCCAGGAAACGAATGTTTCAACGGAGACAGCAAAGATCTGTAACTACTCAGCCGTACGTAATGATTAAAATATATCAAAAACAATGAATGAATGTAGTAACTCTACACCCGAAGGAAGCGCGAGCTTAGCATGTGCCAAAGCGTCTGCCTACATAGAAGACGGACTGGTGCCGTATAACTGATTATAATTTTATATGATAAGACAACTTAGGGCACATAGTTCGGACTAGAATAAATCCTAGTACGTAATCAATGATATTAAAAAGAGCACAGAGCTAATATTCGGTCTGGGTCACGACGAAATCAAAGCATCAAACCTTGACAAATTGTAGTAAAAAAGCGCTTCTAAATCTACGATTTATCCCGCAAGGTGAGATCGGTGCATTGATCTTAATAAGTTATTTATGTACTAAGCGCGCAATACGTCGCAAATGTGATATCCTTGGCATATGTTTAAGAAAACGAAGCGAACATGCAAATACCGAGCAATCATCTATTAGATTCTTCACTTTGGAACGGAATGTAACGTGTACCTTATATGTTTTAATGTACATACCATCCAACGAAACTTTACAAGTGAATACTCTTCAATAAACATCAGATAAGCTTTGTACTTAGCACAGGAGTATCCACAAACATTTCGATCTCAACGAGCAATTAGCACACTGCAATGTCCCGCCATGGCAGAAGTCGGAAAGAAGGGTCGTTGCTTCAAGACCCTTCAACGAAAAAAGTATTACGCAATATTGAATAAATTATGTGAATAAGAAAGTAATTTTTCTTATATAGACAATTTCCGCTTGAACTGTGATATTGCATTCTCTGGAAAAGTTCCAAATCCGTAAGTTATTTCTGACTGAATAACCAGTACATAGAATTGCTCGGGTCCTCTGTAATGACACAAAGGTCGCTAAAGTTGTGAATAGTTACCGGGTGTCATTTTTTCAACTGTATACTACGCCATTTTTTAACTGGATGAGCTTGAATCAAACGTCACTACCTCTACAAAAATTCAGAAAGCGCGGAAGTTTAGGACGGGTTGACGGGCTTCATTACGTACTTCATAAATAAGCACAGCGTACTTAGTGCTGTTTGGACTCGGGTAACAATGCATAAAAAAATTATTTCTTTGAGCAAAGATACTGTAACCAAATATAACTTGTCCGTCACTACCATAACGAATGTTTCAGTTGTTTAGCAGCGATTCTACTGAATCGAACTCGTCGGTGGAAACTTCGTAGCTGCAAATTCAGATTTCTTTATGGCATAATCTATCATTCCGGTTATTTACTTACAGTCTGTCTGTGAACACGTTCAACTGCTTTGAACTTGTCGTTTCAGGACTTCTCTGCTTAACTAGCCCTTGCTATTTGACCGGTCACAAACTCAATTAAATGTCCTGCATTAGACATGGCAACCGGTACGTGAATATGCCTTTCGCGTATATGCTGTCCCAGTAGTCGTAAAGCGAAAGGAAAAATGATCGTAAATGGAGTGCTTGCAATCTCCTCTTTACGACAAAAATACCATTGGCTGGACACATAGGCCTGATAAAGCTCTGTGTCGCTAAAGCAGCCTGATATAGCTGGCAGCAAGTGTTTAGGTATAGCGTTCACAGTTTATCAGCCACTATTTGTTATCAATAGACGATTTCATACTTGTGATAAAAATAATAATTAAGTGATCATAAAGACTAGCGTAGCCAGAACTGCAGAGTAGTATCTAGAAGAGAGCCTGAGAATGCGTATTTTGAAATGAAGAGTCGATGAAATTTTCGTGTTTAGCAGACCTTAAAACTGAATAATTCTTAAATAGCTTGGCTAGTATAATTAGCCTTCAATACGTGCTAAAGCTTCTTTTCCTTGATTTTTCACACACTTCTCTCAGCGCTATGGCGGTTTCTAGGCAGCCATACACAAATTATTTGCATTTCCATATGCGATTACTCCATCTATGGTTTTTCGAAATAAATCGATAGTGGGATATGCGCCCATCAGTTGCCCTTTAGGAAGCCCCAAATCACATGAACTTGAAAAGTGGCCATCAGTTTTTTTAAGGATCTATTATTATAATTATAGAGTGATTGCTTTTTCACTTTCTAATGTCTTTAATTAATTGTACTGACACAACCATTGCTTTGCACAAATATCTTTGTGTGCTTCTCCTATATTTTTTTACCTCGGCACTAGCTGGCTTTTTTATGCTGAAAAGCTGGCGATTGGTGAATTCTGAACGTAAGGAAGCTTGATCATATTATATATAACGATAGGTCTACTTAAACAAAGACCAGAAATAGCTAATTTAAGTACCACCAACGACGCATAAATACCATAAACGTTGTATAAATAAAGAAAAATTTTTATATGGTATACTATTCGGTTGCAAGCAGCTTTTGCGTTTTTTTAACAGCGTCGTCTTTTTTTTTTTATCCCCAAATGAATTATTGCCAATCACATTTGAGGCCTGTGAAGTATTATGAAAGAGTCAACCAATTGCAGACTTATTTTCCGTTTCTGGTGAAATAATAGGTCGCATCATGGTGCGTGAACTTTTCTCCCAGCTTCTGTTCGTGCTTTCAGCTCCTATAGTACCCCACTGCCATCAATAAGGTAAATAGGACTCCGATTTGAGATGTATATACGGCTCCTACGGCAACGCTGAAATTTTTTGTCAATTCCTCATTTAAAGAAGATAACGGGGCGATTGCCAGCTGACCCATACAAGTGTTATAGATCAAATACACTATTATACTATGATATATACTTATAAGCGAGGAAGCGACCCGCTGCGTTAAAAAGGTTCAGACGCAATGCGTCGCATTTTTCGAGGGTTTTTAAGTGTCCAGACTTGCAGACTGCTTATCAGCGCTTGTGGGTACGCGTTGATTTCATAGGCAGTAAGCCACATCGACAATTAAGTGGAACGGAGCAACTACGTCAGCAAAGTTGGAGTACCTAGCATTCATCTGTTTAAAAAGATGACTTTTTCGAGTATAAGAAAACAGCGAAGGAGAAATTTTTCCTATGCTTTTGTTACTTGGCAACTTGGCTGTCTAGAGAAGTACGCATCGACTCGCAAGGGTCCGCTAGAGGCTCGAATGTAGCTGGTCGAAGAACAGCAAACGTGAATCTACAATGAGAGATCGCGAAATTCGTTGAAATTATCTATTCTATGCACGATAGGAGGGGAAATCAAGGAAATTTCACTGAAGAAAAGATTACCTATACATTATTAATATTTAGTAATAATAGCAGAGTGAAATATGGATAGTATTTTCAATGAATACGGTTGAACGTTAGGACTGACCAGAACTCTGTTTGACAAAGCTGTCATTGAATATGAGGTGTGCAAGAAAATACTGACCAAATACGCAGGCAATCGTCGTCTCGTATTACAATAATTAAATGTTCAAGTTTTACGTTCAATCCTACCGGTAGAAGTTGCTTTAGACAGCTGATAGTATCTTCCAGCATAAAACCAAACGGATGCTTCGGTGCTTCAACTATTTCACAAAATTTGCAAAATTTTGTAGGCCAGCACGTTACTACTGCGCCGTGATGCTTCGGTTGAAGACAGCTTCATAGAACTGTACTGGTTGAGTAGACTCGTTGGTGGCACTGAATTGAGTGTCACCAATAAACCTATTTTAATTTTATTTTTATCTAAACCATACAGTATATACACATAGACAGATATTATTTTAAACTAACGAAAAATAACAACAAACAAAGCAACCATTTAGCTGTACTTGGTTTATTTACGCTGGTACTTTCACTAGACATACGTACTTAGCACCAATGCACATTACGTGACCGTGCGATTAACAACGTTTGTTCATATGCAGGTCGGCTATGGGTGCTTTACATTTATTAGTGCTTTACATTTCCTTTTGTACATACCTTTCTTTCTACATATGATAACATACTACGGGACTAGGATGGTCGCCCGGAGCTAGTGCGCGATTCGGCACCGTCAATATATCGTATTTTAAGAGAGATCTCTTGATACTAAGATGCAAACGACTCAACGGTAGCCGCTCTTCGTATTTTTCGTGAATCGGTTCATTCGATTTGCATTAGTATTGAAACTACGTACATGATTAATATTTTCCTGAAATTGAAGATATTAGCATAGCATCGCAAACAATACTTTCGTCACTTTACGACCTTAGCTCGGACTCTTCTTCAAGCAAACTCCCGATTTGTTTATGAGAATATGTGTAATAAAAAATAAATAATTGCTCAATTAAAGCCAGATTTCGACACTTTCAGATGCGTTCAGAGTCATATGGCAGAAAGGCTGTTGGAAAGTAAAAGCGAGATTAAGTGTATATAGCGTATCGAGTTATTCACCAGTAGTTAAAGTATCGTACACGTTGATATTGAGCAGATACAGCAGGCATGCAAGAAATTTCAACACTATCTTTTTCACCATACACACAGTGCATTAGGGTCATTTTAAGCCGGATAACTATTTTCTTGTAGCGGCGACTCTTTATACAATAAACCCTAAAAGCTAAGAAATAAAAGTTTTTAATATTAAAGCTCCTTCGCCTCGCCCATCACTTACAATCTTTTTGTTCCTGCAGTAAACAACATTAGCTGCGCCATTTCGCAGTCAACAACGAGATGAGACGCTTGGCTTTTGATCCCTTACTCTGTTTGAAGCGGTTTATTTTTTAAGCAGAATGCAGAAAATATTGCCTTTTGTAAGCAAAAGGCCGAAAAGAGAGCAGCACTTCCACTATGTGCTAACAGTCTCAGTATCAGTATTAGTACCTGTTATTACTCTTTACAGGTATGCTATCATCAATTCGCGCCTGCTTAGTCACTTCGTTTCATGTTCTTGCGAATTTTAAGTGGGAAAACCTAACAGTCACAGTCATCAATTGATTGCTACAGTGTTGCGCAAATCTATTAATTAGTGTCATCGTCATCATACGCTTCTTCTTCAGCGAAATTAACACATCCTGAAACCGAATAGTAAATAAGGTAACGTTAGGTCGTTGACCTATAATGAGCTATGGGCAAGCTTCAATTTAGCGCAAAGAGTCAGAATGTGCACACCGAGTCACGGTTTCTAGTGGGTATCACCATGCCAAATAATAGTAACCTAATTACTGCTGACTTTAAATATGCATTAGAGAGAATTAAGTAACAGCTTATACCTAATATCAACTTGCCATTAGGTTTCCACATCGAAATCTTTACGTCGCTTACTATCTGTAGAATGTGCACATGCTAGATCATCACACGAAACCATAATTACTTTAGTTCAATTTTAGCGGTTTGCGATATACTTCGCAAAAATGCTCAAATTCTCTGATCCATCCAACAAGCATGCATCCGGATACTTTATAGTGACACGGCAAGACTCGGACATACTGCCCCAAGCGGTTTAATAGCCATTGAACAGCTCAGTGCATTAGCACTATCCTACAATGAACCTTCGCTGTCGACTTCATCGTCGTCGCTCCCGTATCCCGTCTGAGCAGCCTTATCATCGAAATCAATTCTCTGGAACCTTCTTTCAATATAGCTGAGCTCATCATAATTTTCTAAACTTTCGTCAGGCTCTTCCATTGAGTCCCATTCGTTTTCCTGACCGAAATCGTCGTACCTAAATAGTGCATGTGATCACGTTATAAAACATTAATGTTATATTGAAGAGTAGGAAGCTAGGAGAAACTCAAAATAATTTCTGCTACATAACGTAGCATCGTTCCCACGATTAGACATATTCTCTGGCGAGAGCTGCCATGACTTGAATTGACTACAGCCTTTTAAAAGCACTAACTGTGAACTTTATATATTACTCTAAAACTCAATTTTCGGTACAGATGCCCGTAACGTAAAAATGTTACAGAAAAAGCCATACATGAGATAGCGGGATGAAGAACGTCAAAATATATAGATATAGTCTTTCTACACTATGTACAGACAACCTTTATAATCACTTACCAATCCTCTTCGTCGGGATAATCTGCATTAGGGTGGTTTTCGTCATTGCTGTCTTCATCAGCGCTGTAGAGAAATGGATCTTCAGGAAACTCGTCATCAAACATTAGCGTTTCTTTCGCAACATCGAATGTCTCAAGTCTGCGTAAAGCAACAAAAAAGGATTCGAAGTTGTTACAAATGATTATTTTTTCAACAGGGAATCAACGACAAGCAGTTGAATAATAGTAGAAGTATTACAATTCGAAATCTCATAAACTCAAGATCTACCCCTTCTCGTATCGTATGAAGTAGAATTTTAGGAACATTTATCTGCGCTTATGAACACGTATCCTATTTGCTCGACGACAACTAACCTAATTTAGTTACCAAGGTCTGTCGTATATTTGAATTTCTGCATTTTTAATAGCCTTCTTTTTCATATTTATGCTTTCTGATTTACGTTCTCCGACATACCCGATCGTCCTACGCTAAACGGCAAACAAATCTCAACAATCTGGCGATTGCCAACTGATAATAAAAATCATAGTTTCAAGGGAATAATAATAACGGAATTATAGGTTAGTTTTGACTTCACTCACACATAATCGTTGGCATACGATTGTGGACACAATGGAAGATCTTCTACTGTGTTTTTGTCTGCTTGAGCCACGTAGATATCGTAAACGAATTTTTTCTCCATTGCTGAGTCGGTTTGAGTATCTCCAAGGGCTTCCGAAGAAGCTTTGGAATCTTCGCCAACCTCTTGCTTTTCGCAGTTTTGAGCTTTGACATCATTGTCGCCTTGTCCACCGAACGAAGTCACGCTAGAGACAGTTGAGCTGCTAAATTTGGCACTTGCTTTGCGTGATATTTTTGATGAACCAGCCAGCTTTGCGCCGTTTGTTGCTACTAGAAAAGAAATGGGAATAAAAGTTTTTCTTAGTTCTAAGACGTCGCAAAAATTGGCGCGTTGCACGTAGATGAGTTCTAATGACCACAGATCGTTTTGAACTATTAAGACATAAGCAGAAGGTACTGCATCGTCCGCCCAGCCAGGTTAGGCAAAAAGTCTCTATCCCCTTGTAATAAGAGTTTAAGCACAGCCGACAATTAGTAATTTTTCTTTTTTCATATACCAATAATATCTTCATGCAAAGCATCGTATATTTTCAGGCTGCTATCATTCATTTTATCGCCGGCATCACTCCAATCACTTGGCACCAATGCGTCATCTTTTTCAACTTTTCTATTCCGAGGCTTCTTTGTGGATTCTAAAATTTCATCATCCATAGCTGATAATCGCTTCAGAAGCTTCTTGTGCTCCTGTAGGATCTAGAACAGAGCAAACGAATCACACAAGCAATATTGCTCATTAATCAAAAGTTCTACTGACCTCTATGGCGATATTATGCAACATAAAGAACCTTATGCCTTAGACGTTTAATCTGTATTTGCAGAGTACTGAAATGTTTGATACAGATTTGCAAATGAAAATTTTCTGAGCATAAATGATGTCTTCCATGGATAAGGTCGTTTACGCATTTCTACGTACTGTGTTAAAAATATTAATTTATCTCTGGTGCTGGTGTTGTTAACATTAAACAACTTTTTGACCACATGCGGTTATATTTACTCCATTCTCGTAAACGACATTTTATCAGTAGTCTTAAAACGATCTAAAATAGGTGTCATCTTCATCACTCGTTTGTTACATTGCTACCAGAGGGCTTCTTATTTGTGTGCACCTTCGATAAACTTGAGATTCAGATTCAGCACGAAGATTGATTAAATTTAGCTCTGCAGAACCAAACGGAGGTATTCGCAGTTATCAAATTTGTACTCGCTAAACTCTGATGGGCATTTTGTAGCTTCACGTTACGAGCAAACTCACTTCGAGCTTTCGTTGTCTAGCATCGTTCGTTCTTACTGCAGCATCCTTTTCAATTGTAGCAGTTTCCTGATGCCGCCGAATCACGGAGTGTACGAAGTCGATATCCTGCAATGTTCACGTAACAAACATCTTATACGAGCTGCTAAGTTTTTTGGCGCGAACTTTGTTTTTGATAGGGAAAAAGACAAATAAAATACGTAAGTAAAAAATAAAATATAAATCCATCATCCAAGTTCATAAATATACTTCTTTCTTTATCTCTTTCTTTTTCGGAGGATCGGGTCGCGGAATTGGTCAGGGAAAAACTCACAGCCCTTTCTACAGTTCCGACGAAAGCAAGCATAACTCCTCGTGCGGCCGACTTAACCTCGCTTTGAAAAAGGTCTCGATCCTGGTCGTTGTTGGAGTCGCAAAGGCTTACACGTCGCCGTTTAGCCAAGCGAAGAGCTTCCACAGGCGCATCGTCAATGTGACGTTTAACACGAATAATTGCCGATGACATTTTGAGCCTGTCAATATGACAAAAAGGAAGCGATATCCCGTCTTATAAATTAATTTTCCATGCATTCGTTTTCATTCGCCTCTAGTGAATATAATTCACGTGACTTTTATTACATAATATTACGCAGAAAGTATATGTTTGTGGCACGAAATTCCATAAAATTAGCAATGAGTTAGAAGGCAATACGATTATCGTAAGCATAAAGACGACTGAAGTTGAATTATTAGTGGTACCTTCCCACTTTATTAATAGTATAAGTTACTGAACTATAAGATTTTCAGTTATTGATCCGCTTATTACTTGACTGGAATATGGCTATTAGAAGTGCCCACAGTCACTCCTCAGTTGTTAAAATCAAGGCCTTGCAATATGCGGCACGAACTCACTATGAAGAAGTTGCGTCCGCTTTCAAGACCATAAGATGTTCTCTATACTTATTTATTTGATGAGACACTGATTAGAACAGCTTGTAGAGAAACAGGCAATGATTTTATATAGAATAAATAAATAAACTTAGCTATCCGCAGCCATTTCCAGCGACGGCGTAATTCGACCCAAGTTGATGCAGGTAGGTAGCGTCGTCAAGACTTAGAACACTTAAGGATTGTGTAGACCTGGCTAGATTGATAGAATATACTGCATGGCGTCCTTTATATAAATTGCAGTTTCGATACAAACCTGTAATGCAAAAGGTTCAAATTCGCATAACACTGCACAAATAAAATCAGAAGTTCAGCATTCTCACCAATTTTACGAAATTCTAAGTTGACTGCTGGAGCGGTTTGACAAACTATCTCCCACCAATATTCCTTCAAAAATAGTCCAGTCTTGGTTGTGCCGTTTTGTGGTGTGAGATGGTTAAGTTGGGATATCACTTATGCTTTCATACAGTCCTGATGACACTTTAGCGAAAAATCTCGGCTTTACTTAGCACATGGACAGAATCAGGTGTTTCGCACTTGCTGTTGTGCGCCCACTCTGATGCCTTTGAGTTCTTATTCGAAAAGCGGGGTGGTGCTTCAAATTAATCCACTAAAAAGAGAACTGGAAGAAACTGTTACCGCGTGTGTATCAGTGGTCTTGCCATACTGTGCCATATACTCTTAGCAAATATTTATCGATTGGTTCCATGGCTGGAACATATAGGCAGCTTTTGCGTATGTGAGAGATGTTTTCAGAGGACCAACTGGATGGCGCTTCTGGCGCACATTTCGAAGTACTGCTCAGACCGTAAAGGCCTGACAGTCCGGTCACGGAAAGAGAACATCTTGTTCGATGCCACTTGTAAGAAGGAAATTTTAGACGTGAATATTTTTTGTGAATTCGATAATTTGCGTCGACGATCGTAGAAATGTTGCGCAGTGCCGTCTGTCGTATTGCTGTTCGTCAGAGCTTTCTAGCTACTCTCCGAGTTCCGACTGTTTATGTAAATATACGGTTGAAAATAATGGGTAATTGTGTAATTGTATTATAATATGTCATAGGCCTCAATGAAAACAATCTTTAAATTTTCTAGCTGCGACCTGTAATATCATCGATAGAAATCATCAATAGTCAGGTGTTTTTTTTTACTGTTTAAGACAACATTAATCGGGGTTAAAGACAGACACCGATACAGCTTGTTTAGCAACAATGTTGGATGGTTATAAGGTCGGCTAATAAAGGTCTATTGTTCCGCAATATCCACCACATACTCACCAAAGGTCCGATCCATTGCTGTAGCTGTTGTTGACGAAAATGTTATAATTTATTGCTTGACTCTCTCAATTTGGTTGAACCGTAATGTTGAATTGGAGGAATCTCTAGCGCTTTCCTTATTGATAGGAAATATCAGCAGTAATTATACGCAGTTCAAAATAGCGTTTGTATTATAGCACAAATGTGAAATAAGAGGTTATGAAAAATGTGAGCTTTTTTCTAAAATATGGAATTTGTGAAGATACTAAAAATATATGTTTACCTTCGGTTTATCTTATTTGTACAAAAATATGTACCCTAAATACTTGAAACATGAAATATAATTGTATCGAATTTAAGCCTCGAAATATAGAGGCAACATATCTAGGCGTTACGCAAACGTTCCCCGCTCACAGCGTGCAAAACAGTTAGTAATGGCTGCGAATTATGAATGCAATGCAGCTCCAATTGTGAATCATATGCTTATTAAATCATCTGCAGAGATTATGGTATTATAAGTCGATATACATTTTTTTTAAAACTCTCATAACAACGACATGAACAAGTCCGCAAAATTTTATGTTTGGTACAGCAAGACTTGCTTCCATTAGAGGTCTAAGACTTTTGGTAGGACTGAGTTTTGTTGGACTTATGTGGGGTGTGTTCAACGCACCTATGAAACATAACGGTAGCCAAGTGGATATACTTGATTTGGGAACGTTGTCTAAGGTGTTCAGCTAGGTACTTAGTAACCTACATAAAATACAACCAATACCGTTTAGATAGATTTACAAGTTATATACTTTTACAAGACACTTGACTCCTTTGCGAATACATCTTGTTCTTTATAGGGTACTTCGATATTCTCGCGCTCGCTGAGTTCGACGCAGCGAAGACTTGAAGCGGTTTCTCCTGTAAGTACCTCAACTATGTTACACTTGATCACCATCACATATTATGCTAACGTATGCCAACACTACCGGAAGTTGCGTGACTATCAGACCGAGCGCTTGGATGGCGCGTAGCAGTGTTCAGGGGACTCAAGAGCCGGAACCTATGAGGCACTCCAGGCCAAAAGTCTGCTAAGTTCCAAAAAGCTGCCACCATTCAGTAAACAATAAAGACCCTGTTTGCCATTTTTGCGTATGGATTGCTTTATTTTACTTCACTCGTGGATTAGTATGTAAATATGTATGCAAAATCAGTGCTAAAACGGAGACCTTTTCTATTCCAGACAGCAAATGTCAACAAAACCAACTCCTCCATTCTGAATACTGAAGCCACCGAAGCTGTGGATCTGTCGGCTCTAGCCGAGAATCTAGTTACCGATCTGATTACCGCCGATGGTAGAACGCCGAGTTTAGGCGATTACGGTTTGGGCGGATGGACCCCCTGGGGCCTAATACAAACTGCCCTCAACGAGCTGCACTCACTAGGTTGAGCCTGTTATTTATTTCGTTTAATTAATTTTTTCTTTTACGAAATCGAATTATTTTTTTATACTTTGGTGTGTTCGTCTAGGTCCTATGCAGTCGGTACCGGTTCAAGGAAGTATACAAGTTGGCCTAGTATTAAGATGAAAGGAGATAGTAGTAAATGGATTGATTCAGGCGAAGAATACCACGTCGGTTTTTAGCAGTATATAGCTAAATGCAACTTAACCTATTTTTCTTTATCTACTAACAGCTTTGAGTCTATGCCCGTCGTTTTACCACGTCAAACGAATGAATCAACTAATAATTACGAAAAGTGTGAGCTTTAGGGCCTAGTAGCTTGTTTTTTATAGTTAGCCAGTTATATTCGAGATGCAATAGTATATAGATAATTAAAAAAATATATATTCTTTGAAGATTATGCCGATTATGTGCTATCTGTCCGCTAGGTGTTCCCTGGTGGCTTTCAATCACTTTGGGCACCGTGACACTCAGGCTGACTTTATTGCCGCTTATCATTAAAAGTCAACAGTACAACGTCACATTAAACAACAACACACCGAAAATCTTGGAGCTGAAACTTCGACTAATCGAGACTCGTCAGATGGGGAATGAACTTGAATTCGAAAGGTAGTTCCATTTGATTAATAGGCGATTGTTTAACTATGTAGACAAAGTTCGAAATTTTTTTTATAGTAGCCCATAGCGCTATTTGTTGTTCGAATTAACATAGTTTCTAGCCTTTTTTTTATTATAGGCAACGTTCTCTAATTAGTTGATAAATACATAATCCTTTATCCATTAGAATTGCTTCACTTTTAAACAAGATTGTTGACGAGAGCATATAGGGAGAGAAACACTTCCATGAAACGTAGTAAAATGCGTAAACCAACGTCAAACGCAGAACTTTCTACTGGCCTTTTCCACCAAAGTTTGTGAGATCTATTTAGCGTATTTTTGTATGAACTCAAATGTAACGTAAAAAAGGCGTTCTGAATGATGTTATAATGATATTTATGCTATTGTTGGGCTCGCAGGGCGCAAAACGATTTCATGAAGTTCTGTGAAGAGAAGAAGGTTAATCCCCTTTATGGGTTCGCTCCAATGATTATACAGGTTGGTAGCGATAGATGCGCAGAAGCATATGGCGTACAGAGCTGTTCCGAACTAAAACCAATGGGAAACTATTCTCTGAACTCATGCATATCTATGATAAAGGTTTCGAGTCAACTATATATATACATATATATATCATCAGCATGGAAGTAGTGCAGTTTATTTTCTACTCGATTTTCCGGTTTGTTGCTTTTTTAGATCCCAATATTCGTCTCCTGCTTTTTGGCCATTCGAGGCATGACAAATTTGCCACTGGAATCAATGAAAACCGGAGGCTTTTATTGGGTTTCCGATCTGACCACTACAGATCCATATTGTATCCTGCCTCTCTTTACAAGTTCAGCGCTGTTTTGCTCTACTTATGTAAGTTTAATTATATTCTCACATTGTTATTCGTACTATTACTAGAATTCGTTCGACATTTCGTATGATCACCAGCATCACTACCATTACCAACACCAGATTCGTTTCGTCGTTGTTTGTCTTGTTTTGTTTCCAGTTAGCTTCAAAAACTCAAGTTCAGACACAAGACATAGGCATATTTCGGTACGGCATGTACGCACTGCCATTCATAATCTTTCCAATTTCGATGCAGTTCGCCTCGGGAGTTGTCTGGTATTGGACTACCACAAACACATTTACGTTCTGTCAGGTAAGAGATGTTTCGTTGATTACCCTTCTTCTCTTGGACAGGTCGCAGTTTCCACATTAAAAAGTGTCATTATCCCTTCATTGGTTAACTTTATGCGTGCGCGTTTATTAAGTGTGACTTAATACGAACGAGAGAATCTAATGTTGAGATTTCTTTTGCTTTCAGATATTTTATTATTTTCGTGATATAGAGATAATAGTAATAATAATTGAGTTACCAAATCATTTTCAAAAATATCATTAAAGGGGAAAAATTCTTTATTAGCAGATACGGTTACCGCATACATTAATTCATTACCTTATTGTTTGGGTATGTGCTACACACTCTTGTCTACTTTTTAACTGCGTTTTGATAGTGTTTGATATGTTTAGACATGAGAAACACATTGAATTACAATCTCAAGGGTTTTCGGGCTAGAATCACACAACTGTCTCTTTAATTTGTTTGCACTGAAATAGCACAGAATCACGCACAACAAAGCTAACTAGGGTAAGATTTTACTGGCTCGAGCCACCTTCTAAGTTTTTCCCCTTAAAAGTGAATAAATATTTCTTTCTTGATACAAGCTTCAGCATTTCGTTTATGTGGTTCTTAAGATCTTATTACTGGTACTAAGATTATGACTATCCTATACTTGCAATACGGAATACTCAAAGCTCACCATCTGAGAAAAACAAATCGATTAGAGAGATAAAAGGTAAATCATGTCCTATTGAGTTGTAAAAGCGAAACGGAATCTCGGGTGGCCGGTTATGTTGAACATAAACTCGGAGGCTTATGCATCTCCGCTGTTGGGTTCTAACCCATCGTAATTTTCTCGCAAAAAATTAACCGACTTTTTCCTTTTGACGTTTGGATTGACTGAAACAGCTGGTCTTTCTGAACATATCCACCGTCCGCAAATGGTTCGGAATTCCGAAAATTATTCATCATAAGCTTCCAAAACCGGGTATTCCTCTGGAAAAAATGACGGCCATGAGGCCATCTCAGCGAACTCGCCTACGGGAGGCTGTTACATCTGCTCTCAAATCTGACATGCCAGTAAATCAGCCCGGCAGGTTTGACCGTCCAAAAATGATCGTTGATGATTCTCCTAAACGGCGTAAATAGGCAAACAGTGTTAATTAAAAGACCGAAAAAAATGTGAAAGAAAATATTTGATGACAACCGTCTTGCGCTTATAGGGAATTTTGCAAGTTAATTGATTTTTCATGAGAAGGAACTTAATTAAACAAAACCTAACTAGAGAAGAATCGAGATGAAGTTATGGAAGCTTGATAGATGCATTTTCCTAGGAGTGAGTTGCTTTGTAAACTTGTATATATGTATATTAGTAAAAAAAAATAAAGGCTATATGTGTTTTACTTGAATTGCGTTACCTTGTCTTGAGATGGTTTCATTCATGCGAGGGTAATTTAAAGCTACGACGTAATATAACTGAAATACATTCACTATCGTCACAAGATGTTGGCGAATGAGGTGACCAGGATCAGTAATTACTCATCATAGGATATCTAACTCTTACCATTAGATGCACCGGAATTGCTAAACGTTTAGTAGAACCCATATAAAATTATATTAGAAACTCGTGAATCAAGAATATCAAGAAGAAAGTTAAGCGGTTTGTCGTACTCTTAGATTCAAAAATTGCCTATTTGTCACTAAATCGGATCGACGAATTCTTTTTTAGATGCATCTGATCTGCACATCAAATGGCCTATTGTTTTATATTCCTCAATTTTCAACATTCTATTTGCTAATATTTACGCGTTTGTCTATCCACCAAACATCAGAACGCGTTACTCTCGGCTCCACATAACAGAGAACCTATACATGCTGTTATTTGAGCACTCTACATATTCCATATGGAATGCTGGTAAACTTGTCTTGAATTGCGGCTCGCCAAAACCTTTTAACCATATTAAAGGTTCGTTGGAAAGGAAACTCTGTGCGCGTTTTGTTAATTAGTTCGCTTCTATTCGATAACCATTCGTCAATCTCAATTATGCAGTCATACAAAAAATCAGAAAAGGTTAGAATGCAAAAATGTCAGAAAGATAGATAGACGGTGTTGATAAATTATTTCTAGCTCAAAAATGCTCAAAACTGGAACCTATATCGATAGCGGAAGAAAATTATTTTTATGTCATACATAAATATTACTATTGCTTAATATGAATGTGCAGCAGTTAGTAACCTTTCTCAGCCACTATCCAATCATAGTAGGATTTTACATATAGTATAATACGATCAAAAAGTACGCAGAACCAAAAAAAAACTAGAGCTTTAGGATCAACAAGCTATTTCGCGAAAAAAGATTATTGAATTCGTGAATAGGTACAAGTGATTTATAAAACATGTGGGTCGTCATTTGAGTCTTTTTGTTTTTCCAATTGCTGCTTTACTTTAAGTTATACTTTTCTAACCATTTAAAATATAAAGTTTATAATCAAATGCTTATTCATCATTAGGTATTATTTTAGTTTAAAACAATGATGTATATTTTGCCCTCAGCCATCGATAAAAGTAATTTGATGAAAGATGTAAGTGTTAGAGGCTATAATAAATGGTGAACATGCATTCTCACTTCATTGAAATTGCTGCCAGTAGCAAACACCCTTCTAACTCCCTGCCGTTTCAACAGATGCGGTGAAAGGATTATTTGTTGTATTTTCGAAATACTCTAGTGATTGGGTCTTGGGCTCAGAAAAGACAGTAGTAGTCAAGATGACGCGACAGGGTTTCGAAATACCGCGGATGACAATGATTGGAGTAATTTTGCTCAACTTCCACAATGGATGCAAGGGAATCTAGCGAAACGATGGCACTATCGATTGAAGAAATATTATTATCTGTACTGTGAATTTGGAATAATTTCTAAAAGTTGCTTGTTGAGGAAGACGATTATCATATTCAACTGAAAGCCGCCGATGCGCGGTTCGGAGTTGGCATCGTTCTATTCCAGCGCAACATCTGAAAAAGAACGTTTTGTTCCACACTGTGCCCACTAAAGAAGGAGTCTCAGGCTGGGCTCTCGCGCATGTATGAGAAGCGTCAATTTTCGTCGTTTTTGAGTTTTTTAAAAAAAGCGCGTTCTTCGAAGTGAATCTTCTCGATTCACAACCAACCAAAATGCTCCTAAACGTGTACCGACTTACAACTCAAAGGAGTATTTTACCTTTATTGAAGACTTCAAACATTTATTTAAAGGTAGGTCACTGCAGTTAACACTGCGAAAACTAACTATTTTGTTAGTTGTGTAAGTGACCGAATTCGGTGAGAATTTGTTGTTGTTTTCGCTTCGAAATCGTGTATAGCATGATGTCAGTTTTGATTTGAACGTGTCAAAATTTGCCTATTTGATTAATGATAACGTCTAACTATTGGAATTATTATTCTTAGAAACAAGTAGCTAAAAAAGTGCCACTTTGGTATCTTACAGTAGAAATCAAGCTGAAACCGAAACGAGCTCAAGTTCTCATATATAATTTGGAAGTGGTTTTAGTAGCAACGTTCGATTTTCTCTATATATCGTCTATATAATATTATATAGGATTCAAAATACAAAAATGTCTATAAATATAAACTATAACACAGGCAGTGTACGCATTTTAGTGTAAGTACTATGCAATCACTTAATTTTATTAAGTCCATTCCGATTTGTGAAGTTACAGCTAGCAGATCTTACCGATACGATCAAATTAATGAGATATGCCTAACTATTGCTGGCAGTCTGCCAAAGTAAGATAATTTCTCATAGATTGTATGTTTGACTGTTTTTAAATCTCGTTAGAAATGTGGTTCGGGTTGTGAAAGGGTGTCAATTAAAGACAGCTCTAATGAAGTTTAACCAAACGTTCAGCTTTTGCGGATAATTTCTTTTAAAATGTTTTTTTTTTTTGTTTTTAATTTAAATTTGAGACATAAAACGTAACCTTTGCAGCGAGCATCATTAATATGAAATTTCTTCTTTTCCAGGAGACGTTACCACTGCGTTCATTCAGCGCAACGCCAAAAAAGTTCGAGGCCGAGTTTTTTAAAGACATTAGTTTTAGTTCTACTACCAAATTAAAAAATGAGTTAACTTCAGCCGACATACCGAACATCAAGTCGTTCTGTCCGGTGAGCGTTTTCAAACAGGCAGTTGCTAAAGTATGATGATCAGCATTAATTCATCTATGACAGTTACTTGTCAATATCAAATTATTATTATGCATAGTACATAACAAATAAAGAGTCAGTACCTGTTTTGCTTGATTATATTTTTTACGTTCGTATCTCCTCATTTCAACATGCCTGTCTCTGCTATAGGACGCTTCCAATGACGAAGCGCGCTGTGGTTTTGAAGAGTTAGACGCGAACCAGTTTGTTAATGGCGTGCGTCCTGGCAATAACCTACTCGCAGCAGTTCCTATCACTGCCACTACTGCTCAAAGCTTAGCTGATGCAGGCCTCGGTGGATGGACGCCGCCAGGTTTAGTGCAAGTGACTCTCGACAATCTTCATTCAATTGGTTTGATAAGTTGCTGAATTTTATTCGTTATCTTTTATAATGATTGTTATGTGATACACACGATTACACAAAACGCATGAAATAACTACTATTTTTCTTAATTAATAAGAGTGATAGAATACTTTCGTGAGTCGTCACTAAGATTTATATATCGGAGCGGTGTCTTGCACGGTGAGAAGAGCTAGAAGTCACTGTTTCGAATCACCGCACCTGACATACACTGTACACGACGTATGATTAGTGAAAAGAAATTTTGAAAACTTCACATCTATATGATTCATAGTTTATCAGCATTAAATATGCTAACTTTTTTTATCTGTGTGCCGTTTTTTTTGTGTCCTTGTGTAGGTCTTCCGTGGTGGGTCGCAATTGTCGTCAGTACCTTCACAATAAAGTTGCTTCTTATTCCACTTGTCGTAAAATCCCGTATAAGTTCTGTCCGTTTACAAAATAACATGCCTGAAATGATGAAACTCCAATTAAAAATGAGCGAGGCCCGAACTAACAGAGACCACGTCGCTGCAAAAAAGTGCGTGTTTATAAGTAATACATCGTGTAGGATTTTTTAAAATAGTGTCGTTGCCATTGGAATTTAAATCGATGTGTGTAAAGTGTTCTAAAGTTACATATTGTGTATTAATTAACAAAGAGGAAACTAAAAAAGTCAGCCACATTAAAAATCTTTTAGGACTTATCAGTTTTCATTAGATTAAGCGCTTCGATATTGTATGGTGCATGCGAGGATACGATGTCCACCCGAACGGCGAAATACTGTAATTGCTGCTCTGGAAGTGGTATTTGTATGGAACCTGTTTGTACTGTATCTCATCCATCATCATACGCAACACTAGTAGACCTCTGTGAACTAATCCAGGCAAACATCGACAACAGTTAACTGGAAACTAAACGCAATCCTGTTAGCAACTTCAGTTCGATTTACTACTTAGAAATTAATTTTTTATAGGAACGTTGTTAGAACGTTGTCACTGTTAAGATAAATATCAGCGTGTTATTTTTGCTGTTATTTGCAGGGCTGCTGAAGAACTTGTAGCATTCTATCGAGAGAAAAATTGCAGTCCAATATCACCAATATTACCAATTGTGGCACAGGTTTGTATGACGGCTTTACTGTATTATGAGAACTTTTTTCAAATTTTTCATATGCAAATATATTAAGGCACCAGCTTATCCTATTTTTGAAATGCAGGATGATTGTAGAATTGTTTTTGGCGTTCACCTGAAGAACGCTGACCTTTAAGAAAAGCGCGAAAAAAAAATTGCGGGCAAGGTAAGCACTTATTTACCAGTTACGTAAGATTTCGCTAAAGATCAAATCATCGTTTTCGAAATTTTAAAAAAAAACATGGAAAAAAGAGTCTGAAACCCGCCTTGATTGCCGAATATGTCAAGTCTAGGCTAAATACTATTTTCATGTTTATCTGACGCTGCTATTTTTCGACAAATTTGAAGTTTTTTACTCTTCCTGCTATTGCTCGATAATTATTATCTAGAAGCTTATTCACCGTACAGCTTCTATTACGACTGCAATAAAAAATAGCGTGATGAAACAATATCTTATCATAATATTTTTTATTCAGTGTTCGTTAATTATTTTTATGCCTAATAAACTATAATTTCTCGGATGAAATAGATTCAGAAGAATGTATTGGAAATATCAAATATTGTGAAAAACTTTTTAACTTCTAGAAATGCACGTTATTGAACATTTACTACAGGCTTAGCAAAATAATTATAGTACAATTGCTTTGAATGATTAAAAAAATAAAGAGAAAATATGAACATCTTGAGAATATACTTAGGGTATATTCACACTTTTCCCTTTAGTTGATAATTTTGTCATTACTAAAAATATTAGAAACCTAAAAGCCGTGATATCTTTATGTGAATAAATACTAAAAAGTAAACTATTAAATAATATTTCCTTATTAGAAGTTAGCGATTAGCTATTAAATTTGTATTTCTCGAATTTTTCGGACATTTGCCACTTTTAACCTTTGACTGTTTGGTTACTTTTCAGGCTCCTTTTTTTATCTCATTTTTTCTCGGTATTCGGCAAATGGCAACTTTGCCGCTGGAATCAATGAAAAATGGAGGTGTGTTGTGGTTTACCGACTTGACTATCGCCGACCCATTCTACATTTTGCCGTTTCTTACCAGCTTGTCGATGCTTGCCACTCTTGAGGTAATTGTCACTTCTGTCGTGATCGTAGTAAATCGCAGTCGTATGCAGTACCTGCATCATTGTTCAGTCATGCTATATTTGTTGTTTTTTTGTAGGTTGGCGCTGAGACAGGAACGAAGCCGGAGCAAATGCAGCAAATGAAGTACTTCTTACGGGCAATACCTGTTCTTATATTTCCCGCGACGATGTGGTTTCCCTCAGCAGTTCTGTGCTATTGGTTAACCTCGAACGTGTTCACGCTTGGTCAGGTGAGATGCCTATCATCAGAATACTTTTTTTTCTAGTGCGCCGATTTAAGCTGTTGAGGTTTGTTGTCAGTTCAATTTTTTACCAGGCAGTGGAATCATTTTGTTGTCTCTCTTGGTTTTAGCGCTCTAACTTCGACTTCTTCAGTTATTACGCATGTGTCAATCCCAGATCATTTCTAGTATAGATATTATTGATTGATTGTGTTAATAAAACAGAGGTATGTGTCATTCCTTAAAGCTGTTCACAAATGTTTATTAGCCAAATTCACATGTTAAAAAAAAAATAAAGAAGAAACATTTGTTCTTATATTTTCATTCGTATTGCGGTCAGATAGTATAAACGGAATGAATACATTCGCCTATTGCAGGTGGCAATTCTGAATGTGCCTGCTGTGCGGCAATGGTTCAACATCCCCGAAAGGATTCCCCACGTTCACGTGATGCCGCCTATCATGACCATGAATCAGAGGAAGCCAGCGGAGATGATGAGAGAATTCCTTCGAAACAGTCAGATCAGCAAAGAACTCGAGGAGCGAGGGCTGGGAGACAGGATCCGCCAGAAACAGGCAGCTATTAAAGCTTGTGCTAGTGCATCCAACAATAAAATAGAGCAAACAAGCAAACCATGTTTTAATCATCTACCAAAATTAGGTGCTATCGAGCGCAAGGAAGCGGACAAACGCAAAAACAGTTAAGGGTATTCTGGCTGTAGTAATTGTGCTGATAGAATATTAATGGAGCCCTATATATGGGCTTAAATTTGATATTTGCGTTTTGTATGTCGTTGCTATTAAGTAGATTTTGTCAGCTTATTCGTCTGTCTGATCAGCACGGAATCGTGCGATAAATAGCGAACTGGATCAGTAGTTGTAAAGATGTACATAATTTCATGTCCGTAGGCATGTCTACGTGTGTACATACGGAAATAAAATTAATGATTATATGCCAGAAAGAGCAGTAAGCGCTGAGCTGTGTTGGCTCAGCTAGAGTGCAAGAAACGTTTGCACTATATAAGGATGTAAAAAAAAGGATATTTATCTAAAACGGCTGTGAACCGAAAATATAACCTTACTTATTCCCCTCTCTACATAGTGAATTAATCTGCATACTAGCGGGTGACTAGCAAGTCGAGTGGCGCCGCATTTTGTTGTTTTATTGGCAGGCAAATGAGAACTCCATTTGGTATTATATATAAAAATTTATGTGGACAGCGCTTTGTAATGAAGAAGTTCAGATGTCTTACCTAAGCACTGAGTCTTTTTTGTCTTTCGACTTGTCAAACAACTATGTGTTATATTTGTGAAAGAACTTCGTAAGCATGTTAACTATTTAGAATTGTTACTATAGTTCTATCATAGCTTGTTTCAACGGCTAAAATAGCTTCCGTGTAGTCTCTAATGATCAAAATGGTCTCAATAATTAAAACTCATGGTCAGAATGAAAACACCTAATTAATCTATCTACTATATAGACTATGTAACACATACAGTTATCTGAAAGGGCTTGAGTAATAAACATGCCTTGTCATTAGTTGAAATTATTCGAAGTATCAAACATATAGCATCGAATGTCTTGAGTGTGAACTAACTGCTGTAGAAGTCTCATTGCTGTAGAAATAATCTCAAAAACGTGATCACAACTTAACTTTTTGCAGAATATATTTGCTTAGCCAAATTTTTTTTTTCTTTACAATAGGCTTTGAATCAAAACGCTTTCGATTTTTCTAGTAGTTTATTGCCGAAAAAATTTACGATCAAGTTTCGGTTAAATATTGAGAAGCAAAAGAATATTAACAACTGTATTAGAAATTACCAAAATTACAATATTGAAATACAAATGGCCGAGAAGGTTAATTTTTCTAATGTGCTTTTACAGTCATTTGATTAGTGATCGAGCATTTGGTGCGTTAAGAAGTTCGTTGCGTATAAATAATATCATCATTAGTATCCATTTGATTTGCATGATGCAACGTCACTCTAATGTGATTTAACCTTTGCCGCCGGCAACCGCCCATGCTACCCGTATTTTGTACGAGCAGTACAATCTTCGACGTTAATTAGTAGGTGAAGAAAATCTTTATAATGGTACATGGCTTGAAGTAAAAATAATTTTTTCCTTTAGATATTTCTAAACGATTTAAAATTAATGTTTTAAATTTTCAACCGAGTATTGACGTTAGGCATCGTTTCAGATTAAGAAACTTGGTTTTGCAATAGTTCAAAACGAGCAATATAAATGTTCCAAGCTTTTATTTCCTGCATTTAGTTGAGCATGGCTTTAGCCATTTGACCTGTCCTAATACGAAGCAAAACCCCTACGCCTGGTTTCAAACCCAGTCAGATCTCTCGCCTGCCTATTTTTAGTAGTAGGTAAATATGTTAGCACTACACTATCACATAGACAGATCGAAACTCTTTTATCTTGTTTGTTGTGTGTGAGCTCATTATATTGCCTTCGTTTTAGTGTTGTCTCATTGGTAGGCTACTTGTCTCTACTGTCATAGAGAACATCGACGGAGCGGTGTCTCGAAAAAAAACCCGGGAATCACACCACCGAAGACATTACGATTATCGATTTATTTAGTGCTCATCGATTTTTTGATACTGTCAGAGCTCGCTGGCATAAAACATAGTTTTCAGGAGCCTATTGGGGAAACTGAACCATTAGGTTTTGCTGGCTAGAGCGCGTACACTAGCGTATCTTACAGGTTACACCTTTACCCATTTAGTTTAAGACCATTTAACCAACCCAGCTGCTGTGTTCGTTAAACATTGCATACCCTCACATATTTTCTTGAATTGTACCTCATTGTAAGTATATAATACTTTAAATGATTAATTGCTAGTGCTTTTACAATTAACATGAGCGACGCCGTAGCGAGTACCCCATGAACCGTGCGGCCCTCATTCTGTAGCAGTCCAAATACGGATATGTGCGCGGTTCGAGGTACCGCTGTGTATTGCTTATAAAGGAGGAAATGTCTGTTGTTTCATGCGGTTTGTAAAACAGGGCAAAGGAGACTGGATTTCGTTGTTTTTTCGTTGTCGATGCTTGGGAATTTGTCGAAATATTGTTTTTGGAGTGATGTGAATTTTGAGAAACAACCTCAGATTTTAAAGCGACATGTTAGTTAATGTGCGTCGAATAGCGGCCCGCAGAGGCAGTGTGGCAACAATAAGGAGTTCACTCTTTTGTGTAAATACCTATTTATAAAATTATTAATGAATGCTTGCAGCCATAACGAATATAGTATTCTGAAGTCCTACGCACTTGTTATGGATTTATGTAGGAGTACAGTAATCTGGCCACGATTACCCTTATGTGATAGCAAATAATTAGGTGACCGCATGTTGCGGACTCAGATTGAAGATAAGAATAATTACTACACAAGATGTATTAAGTTCTACAGAAAAATTTCATTTTTGAAAATCTATTCTACTTTGGTTAGGAAGTAGGTATCAGAGAGAATATGCACCTGACAATCTGAGAAGTTTAAGGCATGCTTTTGGATTACAATATAGAACGTGGAGCATTATTAATGCTTCATTTTTTAGTTATTCAGTTTCTACGCTTGGCAAATTGCAGATCGGCATGTGTAGTTAGTCATATTATGTTAGATCGATAAGTATTCCTAGCAGTGCAAAGTATGTTAATAAAAAAACAAGTCTTTTCACTATAATATCGAGAGGACCACTTAAAAGTTCAAGTCTGAAACATACAAGTTTCCATGAATAATGTGATATAATACAATGCGTTAAAACCCCACCACCGTTTTTATATATTTTTTTCATTTATCCGGTCTAGATATTCTTTTTTCCCTCAATTAAGCTCCATAGCCACTCCATAATCTTAATCTCTTAACCACGAAATCTTACCTATTAAATTACTCAATCTTAATTTTGCCTGCTTATTTGCTACTTCAGGGTTTGTCGTTGAAGTTACGTTCATTGAGCACGACACCTCGAAGACTCGAGGCAGTACCTGCGACAGCGATCGTGGCTGGACTTGGCGTCACCCCCTCAACGACGAGCAATGCAGTTGCTGTTTCCACATCTACCGCAGCTTCTGCTGTCCCTGCCGTAGGTTGAACACATTCTGTATACTACTTGTACATGTACAAATTGCTATGTTTTATATACTTTGTATAAACAACGAGTCGAATGTGGGCAGATTAACCAGCGCACATTTATGTAGCCATCGGTGCAAAAGTGTACGAAGCTTGGAAGCAATGATAAAATCTACAAACAAAGTGGAGAAGATTGGGTTTTTAGAATCAATTTTTTTTTCAGAGTGAAAGACTTAATGTGATATTAATCATTAGTTAGCATCTTACAACTTCTTGTTTAGCAGAACATGAGGTTGGGTAGAATAAATCTGCATCACTCTTATTTGTGATTCGCTTTATGATTTCCTCTCGCGCGATGTAGTTTCTGAAGACTATGCGCTTATGTCGTGTATATTAGTATTGTGTCTCCTTCTGAGTATAATAGAGCGATTGAATTTATCATGCATGACAGCAAAATAGGATTATCGTAAATTATTGTTAAAATGCCCACAATTAAGACACTAATAAATGCAGATCTAATCCAAGAAAATGCGCAATTACTTCTGACCGCATGCCGCTCTTGGAAATCTCAACTCCAACTCACAATTTTGCCGCCGGCGTGGGGATCTCCTTATTCGACTGTCGTATTTGATACAGAAGATTACTGCTAGTGACTGGGTGTCAGCTAATTCGCTGTTCGAGTCACCCTATCTCCGACATAATAATGAGATTTTTGTAGAGTTCATCAACCATGATGTGGACATAGAACAACTGATACAACAGGTATAATCTAATTATGTACATTACGATTCATTGTTGAACAGCTAATCGGAACAGGCTGTGATGTTGGAGCGCTGCGTGTCTGGAAACGCAAATAAGAATAAGAATATTATCTCATCTCCTTAGATTAGAGACCCTCACTCGTAGTGGGAATCAAAAAAATGCCATATGACCACAAAGTATCTACACACGGAGCGGGGCAAAAGTCTCTTGACAAACTGAGAAGTAGTCACCCGATAGTTTGGGAGTCTTCACTTAATTTAACGTTTTTACTGCTGCTTTTAATACTTTTTACTTTCTTGCTGCTTAAATAAATGTGAGATGGAGACTTCCAACCTGTCAAGTGTCTTTTCTTAGATTATTAGAAGATTTTTCTTATGTTTGGCCAACCGTTATATTTTATCAAAGCCCGGCAAGATGTATAGAAGAAACGTAAAAACATTATAGAGTAAGTTGTACGATAGTTTTCTGAGCCCTTCTGTTCTGTCGTTCTTCAAGAAATTACAGAATAATATAATTCTTAGTTGAATCGCTATTTCTAAAATACATTATCTAATTGTTACTTTCGTAAAGATGATAACAGTGAGGGTAACATATGCTCTTTTCAGTCATCGCATTCGGCCACAGGTGCGGCCACTGAAACAGCGATACCCAAAATCAGTGCTGAGGAACTTGAACTTTCAAAGTTGGCTGAAAGCTTGAACTCGGAGATCCTCGAAGCCACTGGATCATTCGCCGAACTTGGTCTCGGCGGATGGAGTCCCTCGGGCCTCCTGCAGACTTTTCTCTACACTGTTAACTCCTATGGTCAGATTCTATGTCTTTGGAAACCTATGTCTTGTTAATCAACAGCGGTAAACGTTATTAGTTATCACTCTTAGATAATTATAAAGGCTATTAAAGACACCTAAACTTTTATATGCTACAAATCTAAAGTGTTTAATCATAATCCACGTTAATTGTTTCGACGGATCGGAGCATATATTGAAGCAGGATATTTGGCGCTGTCCATAATAGCGCAAAGGATAAAAATACATTAGTATGCATAGATTGTATATAAGCATTATGTTTATTATTGATATAATTTTTCTGCAGGAAAGCTAAGAATTGAAGCGCACTTATTGAATAAATGAATTCAAGTTCATTTCGATGAACTCATCGATAACAATAAAGCAATTTTTTAGTGACGACGGCCTGTGATTTGATCACTTCTATAGGACTGCCTTGGTGGATGACAATTGCGGCAACGACGCTGACTTTCAAGTTGATTTTATTTCCTTTGACTATTCGAAGTCAGAAGTACGCCATCCGAATGAACAATCATCTGCCAGAGCTGCAAGAGATTCAGCAGCGTCAGCAAATAGCTAGGCAGGAAGGCAACAATCTGGAACTGTGGAAGTAAGAAACTGCAGCTGGTATAATAACGAGAAAATAATAGATATTAAGATATGTGTATTCAATGTTGTATCGTCTTTACTCATACTTTGAGCAAAATGTTATCCGGCGCCTGTACGGTACCGGATATTAAATATAGATATTAAGACAGGCTATTAAAGATATAGGCTATTAAATGCAGGTTTTAACAAATAAGAAACATTGTGCCTACTACACCTAGGCTTCGGGTGTTCTGGCATTCGTTGCATTTGAGGGATTGTTACCCTGTAAATAAGAAATTTATTGTGGAAACGAAGAGATTATTATAGGGCTTCATCCAAGGTTTGCATAACAGTAAGAACAGCACTTCCATGAAATTTTGAGATTTTTTAGACATTTAGGGTATAATAATGGTAATTAATTTATTAGTGCATATATACATATAAAATTGAATTGAAATGAAAAGATGATTGAGCCAGAGTATAAGTCAGACGTGGTTGAACGAGATTACTACAACAAGGTACCACGGTTAGTACACTAAAGTAACTACACTGTGCATCTCTAAGTTATCTGATATGTAGCCAGTCATTAAAATGGCATTATAAGATGCGGCCAATGGACCACTGGGAGGAACTAACGAGTCAGTTTAGTAATAATAATAATAATATGGGCATTGACATAAACATGCATGGCTAAACCAGATAACTATAAAGCTTCTGATACAGCTGTGGCGAGTCTCCCTCTAAAACCCTGATACGCTGCTTTTTGGGCAGAATTGCGAAAGGGTTTTTTCGGGAATATTCATACATACAGGAGAGCAAACTATTGATCCCTTCAGAGCACATTAGTTTACCAAGTTAAGCTATTCCTTGCTCTTGATCTCTTACTTGGCCCTATATAGTTCTGTTTGTGATCGTATTGGAGTAGTTAACATTATCGCATTGATGGAATAGGCGGCAGCGCCGAGGCATTGGAACCAGAGGGTCTTCGGTTGTAATCTGCTAAGTGTTGTTATAAGCGGTGTTGTACTTAATTTGTTATTTAAATAGATTCTTATGCTCTTTCTAACTTTCTACTAATTAATTCAGGGCGAGTAATGATTATGCTGTCTTCCTAAAGGAAAAAAATATCAACCCGTTAAAAGGCATGATCAACATGGCTGTACAGGTGAGTGAGTTATCTCGGTAAAGTTTACATAATTGGCTTTATTCAGGTACCAGTAGGTATAGATTAGGTCTGCCTTGCGTATCGGTCGATATGGATAATTTGCCTGTACATTTCGCTGAAGTCACCGGTGAGTTGTCTTGAGCATAGCGCAACTATGTGAGTGGAAAAGAGTACTTTTGTTCGTAGTCGTGTATTAGTATTGTTGATCTATTAAATGACAAAAGACAAAGCCTCTGGGCAAATGTTTACAGGCAACGTTAATAAGTCAGGATGAAATAAACGCAAACATAACATGTAGATCTATTTGTGTACCTACTCAATAAATAAGGTGAATATATGGCGTTTATGCATATAGATATATAGCATCATTTACCACTATGGTTAATTAAAAATAGCCAATATTGGCGGCATTTAATGGTCATACATTCATTGTCCCATGGATTTCCAAACCTAGTCGTTACTGCGATGCAATACAACAGATTGGTCAATTTGAAAAACAAGCGAAGCACAATGGGATTTATTAGCGGTGGTCGTTTTGAATCTAATGCTTCGAGTTAGTTCTACGTCCGCCGCTATTTTTCAGTTTACAATAAACTTTCTTTGCGCCTTGTGTGTTAGATTACGCCAGATCTAAACCGTGAGGTATTACCGTCCTGGAGGGGAGCCACAGTATTAGCGGGCTTCAGTCTCCAGCTGGAACCCGCAAGAAGAAGGCTTACGTGGCGCAGCATAAGCTTCGACATTAAGTACTTAATTTCATGGTTCTTCTCATCAGTCATTGGCTATTCAGTATACTTTTGAAATGCCGTGGTAACATCAAGCTAAAATGTTGACGGTGAAATAAAAACCAGCGATGGCCAAGTATTTGTGGTTACCATGGAAACATATTCAAAAAGATGCGCAGTAGCTACCTAGATCACGGCCCCCAATAACGTCTGGTACTGCTTAACATGATTCCAATGTTGGCATTATTCGTCTAATGTAAGGTTAAATCGTGTAGGGATTGAGTTCGATTCAGTCATAATGTTTTCTGCATGCTTCTAATCGAAAATACTTACATAGATTTTTTTGGAACCCGTGAACTTACCGATTATACAACTTAGACTTCAATACTGCTTTGATATTCCTCTGATTTTATGGAATTCTCATACACGAAGCTTTGGATTTCGGGGCCTTATGCCTTGTTTCGGGGCTGATTCTGATATTACCTCACGTACATACACAGACTTGCACAGCACTTGCACCACGATATGGTGCCTATGCTACTTCGTGAATCTATAGCGCGTTCTGAATAATATCGAGTGGCGGCGGAAATACTAAGAAATGTGAAATGATGTTTTCAATCAAGTGTCCTCTCAATGTGTGCTTTTTCTTTGCTTTTTGTACGATTCTGGCAATTTTCTCAGGGTCCCGTCTTCATTTCATTTTTCTTCGCTTTAAAAGGCATGGCCAACTTGCCCCTGAATTCTATGAAAACTGGGGGAATGTTTTGGTTTACTGACCTCACCGTCCCAGACCCGTTCTACGCGTTGCCAGTATTGACCAGCCTGACTCTCTTTGCAACCCTGAAGGTATGGAATTATCTAAAAACGCTAATGCTTCTAGGTGAATCTGGCTAAGCATGAGTAATATACGACGGTATTAATTGTATTTATTCCAGTTAGACTTGTCGAATAAGTCAGCTATATGTAAAATTAATATGCTAGATTTTATTCGAAGGAGGCACATATCCACTGATCGGTTTTATAATGCTGTCTGGTTATTTATCTTTCCAAAATGAACGAATGCGCAATATTATTTCATCTGAGTGTTGAACATAATTACTTGTTTAGAAGCATTAACCCGGTCGGGATACTAGGACATTTCTGTCTGATTTAAAAATTATTTGCAAATAAAACTATGTACAATATAAATGTACTTGTAAATATGATAACAAGTTTCATTATTACGATCATCCTAATTACAACTACTATTGAGACGAATATATTGTAACAGGAAAAACCCGATCCTAGAACGACATATCTAAAAATATTTCGAAACTTCATTCTAGTGCAATAGATTTGTACACGCATCAATTTTTACAATTTCTTAGGGAAATGGGCGAACTTAGTACCATAAGAAAACATAATCATATGCCAACTCATTTAGGCAGTCAACTCCACATAGTTAAGCTTGGACGCGAAGGCTACTGTGTCGGACATTATGAAATAAGGATATAATTATTAAAGATTAATACTTATAATCACAAGCATTATCAGTGGATTTTCTAATAGCAAAGATATTCAAGAGGACCGCGCGCAGCCTTTCGAAAATGTGAAGACAGGATAGGTATTCTACGTGAGGAAATGATAAGCAAATCGGTAGAGCTTTAAGTATCGAACCAGGCGATTTCGATTGTAAAAACTAAGGTAAACACTGGATGCTCTCATTGGCAGTTATCGTAGAGTCATCAGAAATGTTTTTACAACGAAGATTATTTACGATGTTTGATACCAAAGTTTAATAAAATACTTTTTTTTCGTGTATAAAAGAACTGAGGGATCTCTATATTTGCCTACAAAATAACTATATACATCTTATTCACCATGTGGATGAAGAAAATTTAAACACGGCTTATTAGCCCTTTTTGTAGGGCATTTTCATCTAGAAAGCATCTAATGGAGAACGTTTCCCTCAAACGGGTGAGCATCTCTTCATTTTCAGCTAGGTGCAGACAGTGGCGTGCGTCTTGACAACATGAAATGGGGTCGATACGTTCTCGGAGCTATACCCGTTATTCTGCTTCCTTTTACAATGAATTTCCCGGCGGCCGTCGTCTGCTATTGGTCAACATCCAATCTCTTTACACTTGGCCAGGTGTGATTTTTGTGTTAGTTACAACATAGATAGAAGTATACAAACATACTAATTCGACCATAAAATAACTATATTGGATGTACGAATAATTTGGTTCCTAACATAAGCATAGATACGCTTATCTATTACGTTTTTTGAACAGGCGTTCTGAAAACATCTGAAATATTCTTTCTTTTTATAAAATTATGTTATTAACTTTAGCCTATATAGCGTTCAACTGGATGAGGTAACGTTTATTTTTATTTACTATTTATATATATAACTATACATGAATATGAAGTCAATATACCGGTTCGATTTTTGCTGCGTATAATAAAGGTAGTGACCGAGTTGCCAGTCAAATATTTATTCATACATTAAATCACGATAAATCAGTTTCAAATTTTTAAAGTATCGACCTAAGGACCTACACGGAATAGGAGAACAATCTAATCCGAAGAGCCTAGCACTGAACGTTTGAAAAATAATTCTGTCTGCTGGTTAAGTCGCTTTCTCAGTTGAAAGGTTGAACAGTCGTAATAATAACATTTTGTTAATAATAATAGTAATTATTGTTATTATTATATCATACGTAGCATAAATAAGTTCATCACTTTCTCATATGTATACACTACGACCTTCAAATGATCTCCCTTGTCTTCGATATGTATTATTATTAATGAGAAAATGATTAACGGATTTTACGCTCTTAGTTTGAATAAAACACCGCATACACTTAGATCGCAGTGCGGCAGTAAGCAAATGAGAGAATACCTGCAATCGCATACGTGTGCTGTGAAGTGGATAAGCTAACCTAACTAAAAAGTTTTCTGTTCTATCAATGCTGATTGATTCTAGCAAAAAGCGGGAGTGATGCGTTTCGAGTTAGAAGTTTTTATTTTGAGTTTTACATTTGTTGGTACCGTCTTAGTTAACTATTACTCCAGAGATATGGCGACTCCTTTAACCACGAAACGAAGTGTGTCTGTATACGGTTTCGAATCCAGAGCACTTGACGTGTCCCTACGTCTAATAGGTTAACACGTTACCACTGCACCAGTACAGAGAGGTTTGACAATTCTACGCACGACGATTTGGAAAAAAACGCGCCACGTTGTGTCGCTAGTAGCAGAAGACAAAGAAAAGGCAACCTTAAGTTACTTTAATTTATTCATTTTGCATTTCAGGTAGCCGTCCTGAGGATTCCTGCTGTCCGTCAGCGGTTGGATCTTCCGAAACTCGTGCGTCACAATAGAGAAAATTTGACTTTTGGGAAAAAAAATTTCGCTGATAGTGTCAGAGAGGCGTTTCAGCAGCAAAAACGAACCCGGATGGTTAGAGAACTCGAACGACAGGACGAAATCCGCTTTAAACAGGCTGGGATAGGTCCTATAGTTAAGACATACAAAGATGATCCGACAAAAGCCAAGGCGGGGATGGTTGCGCAGGCAAACAAGCGTTAAGACCTCTAACATTTTCAGGCAACCATGTATGTACATTGTAATGATCGCATAGACAAATACCCTTGTGACCTGGCTCGTAAGGGTGCAGCTGAGCTAATAAAACGAAGGGAATAATGAGCTTAGCTCGATTGTTCACCTCTATAACGGTTTGTCCGTAATTGATTGTCTGCGTGGAGGAACAGGTTACAACGAAATGGAGTTTGGAAATAAATGTAAATCTTTCGACCTCTTGTCGGTGTTGTTCCCGTGTGAATTATTCAGGCGTGCAGCGAGCAAGGAAAACGTCACAAAGCTAAAGGCTGTACATACTGCAAGGATAAGAAGTGCATTCGTTATGCACGTCGATTTTAAAAGATCGAAAAACAGTAGAAAATAAAGAAAGGAACAGTTGTATTCATAAAAGGGCCACAAAAAGCGTGTTTTATTATTCAAAGAAGCTTCTGTACCTGTATTTAGGTTATGCATTAATGAAAGCGATAGCCGTGGCGTGCTAACAAAGTTACATTTTCTTCAGCAAACATTTTACCTTGCGTTGCGAAATTGTTACTAAATGTTTATCAGATTACATGAATAAAAAGATTATTTTTATACGTATGACCGTCTAACTCTGTTTCTGTTAGTAATTGCAACCGTCGGTCCAATCAAAAACGCTCAATTCTACTAAGAAAAGGAACCGCAGGTAGTTACCGATAGTGACTAAGTTTGCTAGCGAGCTTCAAATATAATGGCTTTTCCCCTCAGCCCACGATTTTAGAGCTCCGCTCTACCTCAGTAGTCTATTCTATGAGAGACCTATTGAGCATTCACTGAATGCTCATTCACTTTTGCGTTCCTTGTACCTGTTCCCATGTTCAAGTCAATGGTTTCTCCTGCAGCGCATTGACCTGCGATACTGATGCGACACTGAATGGACTTCTCATTGAATTACCGAAGCCTTTGGAGCGCTGTCGGATGCATCGTATTTGAGTTCGGACCTCTGCTACATCGGCTCTATCCTGACACTGATTTTCAACACCCTCTTCGCTTTGTGGCTCATAAGCCTTTCTTTAGCCACCACATGGTTCTTTTTGCTCTAGTGGATGCTGCAGTACGCTTTTGTCATGGTCTTTTATCGCCCATCTTTTTAGCTAGAGACACCAAAAGATTTGGTTAGGTCGCTTGGGATGGGTTGGGGCGGCAAGAGTGCCTGTGGTGGTTGATTCAGCTAGCGGCTGGTTCTGTTTCTACACATCTCGATCTGCAGCACACGCTCGCAGACAAGCGTTGGCTAGTGAGTGGACGGGCAGTGAGAGCTTGATCGTTTTCGTGGGATCTCGATGATTTTGGGTTCGATGGGACGATCGTTTGGGTACGCTCCGTCTTCGGATTCGGGTGTGGATCCGCTATTCGCATGTCGTCTGTTTGGATATCGAGGGTTGTCTGATGAGGACGAAAAAGTTCGGCTAGGTTTAGCTTCAGATCATTGCCGGAATAACGACCGAGACAGAAGAATTAGTAACAACAACAATAACAGAGGTGGGCAAGAAACATACATGGGCAAGTACATACTGAAAACGATGCTATGCGAAGTAAGGATGCGATTTCTTCGGCATTCAGTGTGAAAGAAGGATATGTAATTGAATAATGAGGACCGTGAATATTTCTTGCACATTGAAAAGTTGCAATAATTGCGTGACATCAAGAAAGTGCCCAAAAGCGGTCATAACTGTAGGCGCTCGAGTGTCAACAAGAGATAATCAAGGCTAAACGTTGGGTGGATAATAAAGTGGCAATAATTGTGAGCCTGATGTTCATAAAGTACAATTTCGACAGTACAGATGAGTGGGAATAGGCGTATTTATTCGAAAAAAAAATAGTCTTAATAAGTTGTTGCAAATAACATCCGTGTTTATTCCAAGAATACCTCGAACTACCTGTTCAGTTGGATTTAAGTGACGATAATGCTGAACATAATCTGGGTCTAGTTGCTCGCGAATTTCAACGAAACAATACATGTCGCATTGAGGACAAGGACTTATACAACGTCTCCAATTTAGCAAACCATACATTTGATGTTACTCGTTGTTGAGAGAGTTAGGGTACTCACATAATATACTGGCTGAGACTTGATAGTTAAAAGTATTTACTAGTTGGTGAGGTACCATGGCCCCGACAGGCGCTGGTGCTCTGGGACCTCCGTATCGGCTATATTTCAATGAAGATGAAACAAGGTCAAGAGGGAACGAAGATGGCAAAAACTGCACAAACGTCAGTTCCAAGGAATCGTTTCTTGACCTAGTAGAAAAACGCTCGAAGATAGTGGCTCGCGCGCGAAGTCACGGTCAACCACAAAAATACGTATCGCTCGTGAATGAGCAAGATACTGGTACCGACGAAGAAGAAACTGTATTCTACGAGAACAATAACATTAGCATTCATGCAAACGGTAACTCAAATATAAATCCTCAAGGTGAGTCTTGCTTAATACCCGAACAGCGTATGTAGAGTAGAAAAAAATTAAACTGTTTAAACCTTAGCATTAATAGGAATGCTGATTCAGGCACCAAAGACACGGCTTCCGGAAATCTCGACCCACATGACACAATCTATTTGTAGAGGCAAGGAAGAACGTCGTAACGTTAGATGTTAATTAGATGACTGAATAGTTGGGATCTTCAAAAAATTATTTTAATTTTCGGTTATTCTTTATATTTACTTCAGAGTTAGTGTCAATTCATCAATTTGGCTTCAACGAAAAACATTTGGGAACACTTTTTCGAAAAAGTGCGTGATTTCGCAACTTGACGATTTTGCCCTCTATTTAACATAACGTCTCCCGACCATTTCGACCTCTTAGACTCCCTTGGTAGTTGGCATTGATAACTATTTGAACGCAACCAAAAAGCGTTGGCGGCGCTCTCCTGGACGAACTGGACCATGCGTCTGTTCACTCCATATTTCGAACGTAAACTCTGCTTCATCATTAAGCGTCTCTAAGTTTCGCATGCAAACAAGTTTTTACGTACCCCATTTCAGACACGCATATGAAAATACGTCGGTGCATCAGTAAAAATAAGACAGAGTATCTTGCCGAAACGTATACGCCACTAGCTGATGCCAAGAGACCGTTATCCTTGGTTCCACTATTAACAGGTCCATATTTATAATTTTTAACTTGCTTATTATTATAGAAAACATTAAACCCGAGAAATGAGTTTATCATCTCTTTCAAGTAAATAATAATAAAGATCTATCTAGGAAGTGAAAGCAGTGCGTTTTCATGGCGGGTGCTATTAGAAAGTATTTGTTGCGACAGCGTGGTTGTTGCGTTTAGTGACTTGTTAGGTTTTAATAAAGTTTTATTATTTAGTAACTTCTTGTTGTCTCTCCGTGTTCAGGTTTATTCTTACTTCAATAACCAGAAGGTAACAGACCGCACTATATTGGAGCGTTGATGGCACATATGCAAAACGAGGGACAATACAATTTTTTATTTACCCAGACCGATATATTTAAACGATAATCCTCTTACGGGAGCTTGCTAAACTTGTCTGTTTTTGTCGCATAAGAATGTCCTGTTCGAGAAATATATTAAGCTCGTTGCACAGGAGCGCTCGTCATGTTGGCAGCAACATAACTCAATTGATTACAAACAGAAAGACTATATTCAATACTAACGTCATAACCCGGTTGAAGTACGGCTTAGTTATGATTTAATTTGCTTAATTGTTTATACTTAGCGTTGTCCCCCGTTAAAACGCATGACTCTATTTTCTTCTCAGCTGACCCCGGCCCCAGGAAGTTTTTGATCGAGTGTAGCATTTCTAGAGCGGCTGTTAAGGTTTGCAAACCGGAAATTTGACAGCTTCAGAGGCTCTAACTTTGTGCAACTGCTACTAGTTCAAGAATATTAATCAAACAGAACCTTCTAGGGCTTTTCATATTTCTCCGTGAAAGAATCATCATTGCGCAACTTATGCGTACGTTGGTTTTGAAGGTACAGGGATTACCAAAAACGTGTCAGAAAAGCATCAAGGCTACAGGAGCATCAAAACTCACGAACAGTACTGTGTATTGTGCTTGTGGGTTTTTATCTATAATGACCTATCTGTTCTGTCCAATGAAAAAGTTATGCGTAGGAGACGGCAAAAGTAATTCAGCTTTAGTGTAAGCTTGCTTATGTCAGGGTGACTTCAATATTTGATGGTTTAAAGCTATCCATGTATTCTTATGACATGAGCTACGTGTTCTATATTAACGATGTTCGTGTCTGAGAAGGGCTTCAATGGCAAGATTATTCAGTCCAAACGATATGTTATTTCGGACAAGCCTATTAATTTTTATTGTTATTTCTTAAAAACATGTGTATCGCAAATTGAAATCAACTGTCTAATTAGCTCCAATTAGCTACATTTACACATACGTTGGTATTTTACAAACTTGCAGGACATGTACGACGAGAACAAGGAGAATCCATAACTGCGGACGTCTTCAAAAACCGCTCGACATCAAAGCACCCTTCAATTTTCTCTTTTCGGCGTTATTTGATAGCCATTTGTTTGCTTTGTATCGCTTTCTTAGGTCTGTATTTTACATTACACCATGATGGCTTGGATCTTCGCACAGCAGTGGGATTACCGGCATACTTCAACATTACATATCGCATTGTAAGTACCTCATTGCATTCATCGTTATATTTCTGGTACAAAGACTTTTTTGGTGAAGTCGATCCCTTTGCGAACTTCGCGTACACACATGTACCTAAATCGTTTGCTAGAAATAATTCAAACACTCATTTTTTGAACCACTGCCTCAGCAGCTCACCGTTTCCGAACATTTGTGAACTCGACGCATTGTTTAAAGTATCTTATGGTTTCCATTTGATAGAAAGAGATATTCATGTTAAGGATGGACGGAATTTTGGCTAATTCCTGTACGATCCCACCCTGTATGCCCTCTATTGGCCACACTCTTCTGAGGTCAACTAGAATCAATTAAAGTTGTTTACGTTTGCGTTTACTGAAAGGTGATTGGAGGATTGCAAGTAGATACCAATCTCGCCACGCTGCAGCTGGTCAACAATACTCGCGCCTTGTTCTTTTCTGCTGGAAATACCATTGTATGTGCAAGAATCGATGCCGACCACCTCGTTTGGAAGCGCACCCTGATCCACAAGGTAGCCCAGACCTATGAGCCTTAAAAAGTATTTGTTTATTAAAACGAGTCTGACACTTGTGTTCGGAAAAAAATAGTCTTTTAGAGTACCAACGTACTGTAAAGGTTAACAATAGTCGAGTTTATGAAAATAGTGTATCTTCATAACAAAACTTTGAGAGAAGCAACAATACAAAGAAAAAAAACAAACAACATCCATATGAGGCTGTGAAACATTCTGTTAGATTTTGGCTTACTCATTTCTAGTATACGATTTCCTTTGAGGGAAAGTATATAGTAACTTCGCTAAGTACAAATTGTAATGTCCACAGGTCGAATACGTGCAATGTAATGATGCCGTTTGCGTCTTCTACGGCAATAGAACGATAACTGCTTTAGAGCCGAACAATGGGGGATTTCTATGGACATCGAGGGTGAAAGCGCGTCCCTTTCTCATGACAACCTCGTGGGGGAGTCGAATTGTGGTGTTTCACAACGAGTACATGATTATTTATCGTCAGGTGACAAGAAAATTTCAAAAATATTTATAAGCTGTTTCACTATACTGACAGTGTATATCGACGTCAAATTTCTATTATACTGTTCGAAGCAAGCAAACACCCTAAAACTTAGAACAAATCTAAGGACCATTCCTCTTACAGGATACTGGCAGCTCGATGACTCATTTTCGAATTAAGAACTGCTCGCGGATTAACTATATTCAGCCGATTGGTGTCCGCCTCGCCGTATTCTGTCAGCACAACATCAACCTTTCGAGTGAGCTAATTATCATCTTCAAAGTGTACGCAATATTACAGTCCTTACGTAAAGAGAAACTCAGTTCTGTTAAATCGAACTTGATTATATGTTTTTAATTTGCAGGCATTTCATTGTACATCATTCCGAAATCGGTGTTGCTCCACTTCACACCACAAACGCAAGATAAACCGATTTCAGCTGATTTCGTCGGATACTTCAAGGTACTATATGCGGCAGAACGTGATCGCGCAGTAGCAAAATACTTGCTACTTTGCTCATATTGTTTTGGTTCGACACCGTTCGTAGATATGCTTCATTTTGTGCTGGATGATAACACTGCTTAGTGTCCATACCGGACAGAAAACATCAATCATTCCTGTAGACCGTACAGTGTGGTCATGCAGGACGACTATTCGTGGTGCTTGTACTTGTGAAAACTACAATCCTTATCAACTCGCTTTTCTGTGGCGTCATTTGTTAATGAGCTGTTCCTGTGAATTTCACTCATGGCTCTCATAAAATCATAGTTATAGATAGGCTTCTCTAATATTCACCTAGCGCAAGGGTAAGAATACGATTATAGCACTATCCACTGGATACTAATCTTCGTAGGAATTGAGCTTAACAGTTAGATTTTATTATTAAATCATAATTTTCAATATTTATCTGTTGACACTCTTTCCTTCAACGTCATTTCTGCCTGACGGGTTCCTCTCGTAGTTGCCGGTTCGAGTACACACTTACAATGATACGGTCCTGTACATTTTACATGACCGAGGCGTTGTTTCAACGCTAAGCGTGACCGAACGTCGCGTAGAGGACATCCTTAATATATCTGCCGATGTTCGTGAGGTTCTGCCGATCAATTGTACGCATACACTCGTTCAGACTCCGAGTCAGCTATTGATTTACAGTGAACGTGGTGCCGTTTGGCGGAAACCCATTGTCGATGAACATATCACCTATATACGAAGGTGAGTTCTGCCTTTTCTAAAATCAAGTAATATTAGATATACTACTCAAAAGAGAATATATTTACATTATATATATATATATATATAATGTAAATACCGTAGATGGAAGCTACAAGATGTAGTATTCAATGATTCGAAAATTCGGTCGAATATATCCTACAAGTTTGTGTGTTGTAACTTCTTGTTCGTTCATACATAATAATTTTACTAATTGCAGGTATTACCAGTATATATTGCAGTAATTCCTGCAATTAGTAAAATTATTATGTATGAACGAACAAGAAGTTACAACACACAAACTTGTAGGATATATTCGATCGAATTTTCGAATCATTGAATACTACATCTTGTAGCTTCCATCTACGGTATTTACTACGCTTAAAATAGAAAGATATCAAAGTGAAAGATGACGTGAAGAAAAACTTTTGTCTTGCTTACAGACTCAGTCACAATTTGATCCTGCTGAAAAAAAATCTTAACCAACTTGCGATTCTTGACATCGCCCTCATAAAAGAGTTTAAGGTTGACTTTGGAAGCTATCAAGGTATGCAGCGTTTGGCCATACTTGATTATTGTTAATTTTTTTAGCGTTACAATTTGATTCTTCACCTGTATAATCATCTCGATGTTTCTATATATTCTTTATTCTACTCCATTCAAAGAAGTTCTTTAAACTCTGTATTTGAATTTTGCATGCGATTGCAGAGCTGCTTTTGGTCGAGGGCAAAGACCACACATTATTTACAGCGAGCGTGGCCCAACACAACGCCACAATCATTCGAACCATTCGATACCATGACTAGGTATCGGTTTGCAACTGTATTTCATTAAAAAGCGTGCACCTGATAGACTGTCTGGGAACTGCGTCAAGGAATCTAACGATCTGGAGACCTTCTAGCAGTTCCAAAAGCTGGCCTCGACCCTTCCGAAAATGCCAAACATTAACGTGGTATATATATATATATATACATAAATGAGGATTTTCTGGTATTTTATCACCTTAATTAATGCCATCGTCTATCAAACACTTTCTAACTGAACTGTTCTCTAATGTACAACCAGAGATGGTTTTCAATCTGACACGTGTGCAAATGGCGTAGGTATATGCTGTTTAGGAGATTTGAGATAACAAAATCCTATTTGTTTGATTCGTTACTTGCCGTTGAGTAATACCCCAAACTTTACTTTGTCTTTGATATCAAGTTGTGGTAATGGCGATTCAGAATTAGTAAATATTAAAAAATTACGCTTGGTTGTGCCGTAAATATACTCTAGGCTTATTGTGGAGTGTGTGTAAAGTTCGGTTTCAAAAATATATGCATTTATCTTATAAAAATATAGCTAAATTAAGTTTATTAGGCTTATTGACGTCAAATAGGGTAATTGACTCAAGATGCTAGAGAAATATCTTCAGATACCAATTGCTGTTCCTCTGTGTTATATGGTTTCACGTCTTAAATATGACTGCGTAGCTGTGACTTCAAATTGTATTATATAAGGAAAGAGATAAAGACCACAAGCTAATGTCATTTTCCGGATGAAAGTCCAAAGATAACATACAGTTACATCTAAAGATGTTACCGGCTTAGCCAAACAACTATCATGGTAAGGAATGCAATTCCATAGTCAACAAGTATTATTCTATATGAGTACGTGCATCTACTAGACTACCATTCTTCCCAAACAGATTAATTAGTTTATTAGTTAGCAAGTGGATTGAATAGTGGAACGTCTGAATAATGAATCTCCATTTTAGAATTATTTAGTAATTTGAGCTCATATGCACTATGTGCAGGATTGTGCCATATCCTAAAAAAACAATACATATTATCAACCAAACATTTAAACATGTCATTTTAGACATAAAATAAATGTGACTTTGATCATTATAGGAAGCCGAGATGTTTTACTGTTACCTTGTAGTAAACATGAACATTTTTAATCTTATATTGAAGACCTAATTGCTCTCGGGTTTCACTTCTCAACGTAATTATTGTTCTTTAGTTCATCGTCATTGGATCTTTAAGGATTTTTAGTTTATCATCATAAGCTTGAACAATTTTAGAAATGGATAAGCTGGAGAATTGATCGATGCCGCTAGAGTCGATTGGGTATTGACGATTCATACCTTGTAACCCATAAAGATGATAGCGGTATCATTGAAATGACACCATTGCTGTGAACCATGAAATATTAAGGACGACTAAAAGGTACCAAGACAAAATAAGTAGCTATGGTAGCCTCGAATGGTCTTAATCTTGTTAGCTAATGCTTAATGGAGTTTGCAACCGTAGCAAAGACGAATTAAGATTTTGATGGTAATTTTAACAAGACTAATTTTAGAAACAACTGAATATTTTATATACAAAAAAGGGATTGACTGATAATACCGTTCAATACAATTAGACAGCTAACTTTTATTATTTGTTATGCCAATTGTAGCAACGAAAATAAATAGATACAGAAAGACATTTCTTCTTGTAACAGTTCTATTTTTTAACAATGTTGTATTAGCAACATAAGAATTTCAAGCTAACAGTTGATACATTCGGTTTAAAACAATGGGTTCAACTTTCCAATATAGATTTAAAAATCAACGTATTTACATTAGAATGTTTCCCTACTGGCTACTTTGTGGCTTTGTATACAAATATATTCTAAGAGCATATATTTATGCTCCCAGACATCTGCATAATTTGCTTTTTCTAGTGTTAGCATTTGCCTCAACAGTATTTAGTACTATTGCTGTCAACTAACAGTAGTTCGTTTAACATTCGAGTCGCATCCATTCAGGTACTGACCTCGTCTGAGCTTCTTTAGCTCATCTCAGATATTATTTCGTTTGTTTATGCCCTATTGGCTTAACTTGTCTGTGCACATTTTGAGCTTACTCTGTTCCTAGAAGATTCAACTTTGATTGGCTAAAGTGGGCTCAATAACGGAGAACAGGTGGATACTGTTTAGCTCTGGAGCGCTCGACTCCGTGGTGGTGGCGCGGTAAAGAATTTGGCTAATACACTGAGCAATACGAGAAATGGTCAAGTCTGAAACCGGCCATAAACAGACAATTCATTTCGACCTGTAGAAACCACCAGCCGCCTGCATCAATGTTTACTGAAAATAAGGGCATCGGACGTGAAACTCGAAGCATCTATTTATTTGTTTTGTAGGTTTTAAACGTCCCGCTTTTCCTAACTTCCGCACTCTCTCGTTTTTCTCGCACCCAATTCGCTCAGTCGCCCTTTCTCTCTTAATTGGTGGCGCTTGCCCATTAGCCGCTTGCTCGATGCGAATCGCCCGGTCGCCTTTCACAATGCATTCACCCAGAGTATACGTCGCATTCTGTCCGCAACTCCATATTTATCAGGGGAACAGAGAGTAGTGAGCTGCAAAAGGATCGTGATGGGTCTCGCGCTCGAATCGGCAGTGGTTGTCTGAAGCGTTGTGCTGCCGTAGGTTTTCTGGGGGTTCGCCTAGTGAATTAGCCGAGCGTCGAGCGTTCTCCCCTGAATCTCTGCGGGGCGGCGAGCTTCAACGACGAGAGACAGAAACACTCCCGAAGTTGAAGAAGAACAAGTCCTAGAGGGTTGCTGGCGGCAGCCGCTGCATCCGACGACAACTGTATCTGCCTGCGTATGACTGAGAGCGTATGAGAGTGTGTATGACGGGGTGTATGTGTGTGTGTGTGAGGCTGTGTGTGTGCGAGTGTGTGTGTACGGTGTATTATAGGCAGTAGCGACCAGTAGTATTCGGTCAGGCAAAGGATCCGCAACAATCAGTGAGTGCGAGTCCAGTTGTCGGTCATGGACGACGACTACGGCCCTATACCGGATACCGAAAGTGGACCGGATTATGCTGCAGGCGACAAGAAATAATCGAGCTGACCCGGCCGCCGGGCGTAGCCGATCACTCAGAGATCAGTCAAATAGTTTTCGACCGGAGAAGAAAAAGAGCTCTTTGCTCTGCTAGTGGTGCTGGACAAGTCGTGGCTAACAACAGCGGCAATACCCGCAGTAGTTGAAATAATGGAAGTGACGGCTGCACTAGACCGCCAATCACTTCGTAATGATAGCGGTGCATATCTGTCATTCTAACAATGGTGAAAAATGTTCGGGACCGCTAGTCAGGAAACTGCCGAAACGGACACGAAACCTCTGGTCATTGATTCACCATTATCTACTGCGCGCTGTGTTTGTCTCGTTCAGTAGTCGGCCAGTTGGTCGAATTTCTCCGGTAATACCTGTAGTCGGCTGATATTTACTTATCAATACTATACTATTAGCACTGCAAGCGGTGATAGTTACACCAGAAGCCCGAACAAAATTCCAGATGAAAGCCAGTGGTCTGTTCTCGGTTTGATTAGCAGCTTGATTCGACGCTAATTTATCTCTTGGTTTTTGTCTGTTGTCATTCTCGTATGTCGATTCCGTTACTAGTTTTTCGTAGGCGGATCAGTTCCTAGTGAATACAGGATATCCGTTAGATCTACCGTATGTGGCAGCTCCGGCAGCACCACCAGTGAGTTCTTGTCACTCCACTCTCACATGTCAGAGCATAGAAACGGATATAGTGGAAATCGCGTAATGATCGTGGACTTCAGAACTTCGCTTTGGCTTTTACATAGCATATTGTTCGAGTCGTAGGCTGTGCTTGATTTGGATCGGTTGCTTTCCCTATAAAATACAGAAAAGAGATTACTGTCTGACGTTTGTGTATGCGCGATTTGAATAGCGGCAGCGACAGTACGGATAGCTGGAGCGTGGTCAACGGTGGAAGTCGGAGCAAAACGGAGGAAGTCGCTATCATTAATAATTAAAGTGAAACGAAATGCAAATAAATGGTTGCAGATTGAAAGAGTAGTGTGAATAAAATAGCGGGTGACGAAGACGTCCATATGAATGTGCTCACTGTGGGTACAGCGAGTGTCGTAGCAGAAGTAACACAAAATAGCGGCAGCAGCAACAGTAACAATAACGACGGCTGTATGTGACACACTTTGAAGTGAAGGAAAATTCGAAAGAACCACTTTCGCGCGGTCAGTCGGCCAATTTCATGATATCGGGTGCACTTCGGACGAGTGGTGTGTGACTAGCTATAGGTGAAGGACACTTCCGTGTGGCAATAGGTTTTAGGAGGGTTCTTATACCATCAGAATAAGGGTCACTAGAGAAGAATGAATAGTTGAGGGGAACACGTGTCGAAATTTGTGCACACACTTGGAAATTTGAAAAGTACGTTCCGGCCCCTTCAACCACTAGTGTAAGAGAAACGAAACGCAAGTTACGAGAAAAACCGAAAGAGAAAACGAAACATTCAGCTAGAGAAAAATACAGGGTATAAGTATACATATAAAGGCCATTGTAATTCTTAGTTATGCCATCTGGAGGCATTTTTGGTGTCCAGATATTTGGTGACTGTCTGCGCCATGCTCAGATGGGTGACACCGTCAACTCAACCGATATACCCTTAGTGTAACAAGAATTGTCAACGATGTGATATAATGTTACCCCTAGAAATGATGGAACGAGTTGGAATACCCGTTTGTTTTAGATGTCTGCTGTTCTACGGAGAAATATGTGTCTATACCGAAGAGGAATCATGGGGCACAAACTGTTCTTAGAAAAGTTGAAAACACGAATTGACCGTTTCCTAAACGTCGTCTCCGACTACAAATGCAAATGAGAAGCGTTAGCGCTCGTATGAATACCAGTTAGACAGCTCACTGTATTCATATCGAGAGGGCCATATTATGGAAACAGGATTAGCGTCGTGAAAACAATTCTCTCCGTCGAGCAATGCAAAAAATAGGTCCCAGTACCGTTCAGCGGTATCTAAACAGTGGAGTTTGGCTTTCGTTGCTCAAGAGGGTTTCGTACGGCTAAGGATTACGACATAAAGATGAAAATCGTTTTGAAACCTGTATCTTTTTGTTGAGGCCGAGAAAAATTCTTGACTACATGCCTGTGCAGTTGACTACGCGTATATGTCGTGTTGCTGCGGAACCATCCGTCGAACCTGTGCGAACAGTGTCGGAGACTAGGGCATCATAACAAAAATGACGACAAGGTGAATTATCAACCCGAGCCACATCCTCTCTATTCGGGACAACTCGACCTTGCGACGAACCGTGTATATATATATAGTTTTAGGTATTACCAGGACGCACACCAGCCGTGATCACGGCAGCTGGCGGGCCAACCACAATGTGGAACATGATCTGTGACGTGATGCCGACCATCTCCGAGGACCGCAGCAGTTGCGGCCCTCCTGGTCCTAGCGGTGGCGGGGGGAACTGCTCCGGCGAAGAGAATGAATCCAGTAACATTGAACAACTTATGGTCACCATGCTGGATGATCGAGAAAAATTGATGGAGAATATACGTGAAACACAGGTAAGCATGCAGATAAAGTAAAAAGATGGTGTTTGGGGAAACTCGAAATATATTTATACATAAAAATCCAAAAACTTATTGATGTTATTTGAAGCTGTAAGTTTGCTTACTATAACTTGTTGTTTTATTTGTTTATAGTTGTTTTTCAGTTTGTGATTTGAAAAAATTGCACAGGTTTTGTCTTATTGTTTTGCCTATTATAGCACACTTCATAATTGAAGCATAGTATGATTGGGTTTTAAAAATTTTAAAGTTTGCGTACAATCACGCATGACTATAGATGCTGATGACTGATTAGATTAGAAGCAATTCTGAAAAGATAAGTTATTAGCGCCGGGCGTTAAATTTATTGTTGTGGCTTGTTTTGAACTCGGGGGCTATGTAGATATCTATTCGTGGGTGCACATCTGGTAGGTATTCATTTGCTGCGAGATAATTGAGTTTAGGTTAGTACACGAAAATTCTGGATCTGTTTGTGGCTGTGTTAGTTAACACTGAGAGTGCTGCTTGTTTGTATCGTATTTAATCCTCGTCTTTAATTATGATCACTTTAATCCAATACAATAATATCAGTTTTTTTTTCATATTATATGTTCTAATGTTGGTAGCAGTTACCACTGACTAGATCTTTCAGCCCTTTGTCGTTGTTAAGTGCATGAAAATAAACAGAACATCACACCGCCTAGTTTTCGGGATGCATTGTTACGTTGGATTAAGCCCGTCTTAATATGTGCCACAGTCCATGTGCTTCAAACGAAATTTCGTGCATTACTTTTTACTATAATAGTGCATAGCACGTGCGAAACCAACCTTGACGGGGTGTTTGTCATATCTGGCATGCGGTTATTCGCTAATCCTGGTCAAAACCGACAGCCAGTTTTCCTTCCACAAAACAACAATCTCGTCATGGCGAGCAACGAAGCGTCGTCTTTGGAATTTGAACGAAGCTCAACTTTTATCCAGTCTTCATGCGGTGGACGAGAGCCCACCAAGATCATACATTTCTTGGGATTCGACCGCGTTTCGCGCCAAAAGAAGCAGCGTCCTGCATAGCACAACGGAAAATATACGGTGGAGAAAGAATAGTGCGGACTCCAAAGTTAATCGCGGCCGTCTAAAAATGCATTTTTAGTGGTGCTTTTTGTCAGTCAGGACGTTAGTGAAAAAATTTGATACGGGTAAGCGTATAATATAACGGATTATTCACGAGGTCCCCAAGTATACATCATAAGTCATAAAAGTAAAATAAATACTCTCTAAAAACGATAAAAACCAAAAAAAGCCATCCGTGTTATTTGCTGCTCGTTTATTTTAGGAATAAGTCAGTAAGTTGTCCTGAATTTTTCTTATACGAGAAATTCTCTATCCTCTCTGCACAAATGATCGCTAGCTTGCTTACGACTCAGAGGACGTGCCCTTATGAATAGAAGCAAATTGTTCGCTAAAATTAACGTTCCGTGTGTGGTGTCTAGTAAAGGAGACGTTACGGCGTAATGTTTCTTGCAGAAAGGCGAACGCATCATTAAAGAACTTTATCTGCATGTTCTGCAATCAATGTACCAATGTATGTGCAACTATACCTGAAGTGTCTAAAGAAAAACCATATGACCTTTAACGAGATGGTGCACCGGCTTATATAAGCCGGTTGATGCAGGGTTCGCTGCTTCAAAATACGAGTACATCCTGGGATGAGCACATGTGAATGCCAAACAGTTTATACTTGAACCCGTTAAATTGTCATGTGTCTTGTGCTCAGCTTATTGCTGAACTGCATTTACTGCGAGTATATTACCACTGGTAGCTTTAGCTGTATGATGTGATCGCACCGAGCACCAAATCATACTGGCCTAGACAAATGCTAATTCTGAAAAACACCCAACCTGGGCCTGATCTGTCATCAAAAGGTGAAGGTTCACTGAGGAGAAACTCTCCAAACTTTTTTGCCTGAACATCACAAACACGATTTATTGATTAGAAATAGATTACAAAATATCAAGGCAAGTCAAAGATAAAAAGCTGTTTCCTCGGTACGTGAGAGTAACTTCGTAATTCAAAACGTTTTTCGGCTTACATTTTTTATTGAAATTACAAGTTTTATTGAAACCAAGAAGAAAGAGCATTAATGCTCGATAACCATTTTGTTAGACGGTCCGCCATATATGAGCGAAGCAAAGGTCAAAATTATTGAATATCATTGACCGTGGATTTTACAGCTTGGATATTTATTTGTCAAGACAGCAAGCAACGTTTCATCATTAAGAGACATGTCGCGCCTCACAGTACGGCTAACTGCTTTTTAGCCAAAAATCTAACCATCGGGGCCATCACTTGAACAATCTCAAACGATGTTAGCATTTAGCTATGAGCTCCTAAGTGGGATGTCTAAAAACCCACTGTACTCAGCGACAGCAGTACAGCACAGTAAAGCGTTTACGCAGATCTATGTGTACACAATGTGTAATGTTGAGATGACTCATTCAGTATTTTACATTAGTCAGTCACAGAATAGTGAATATATTGTGTCGTTTATGGCAAGATAGAAATTATACTAGCGATGCGTTATAGTTTACCATATTATCATCATTAAGCTGATTTTCACCAGTAACCATCAGATCATATCAGTGTGTAACAGAGTCAAAACGATAATGGCCATTATAACTTATTTTTATTTGTTCCCTAGGAGACCTTCTTGCTGGTTGCATCTATACGGCGAAATACTATCCTTCGCTTAGCCGTTAGATATGCTAAAGTTTACATAACGTAACATCAGGCAAGCGTGTTGTTGATAACTCTAATGGTACAGGGAATGTTCAGTAGTCGTTTAAGCTGCGATAGGTAGAAAAAAATAGTTTCCGCTATGGCTATTCTATAAACTAGCAAACTAACGATTTCCTTATCGTTATTGACGAATTCACAATAAAACCGTCCTCGCTTCAAGTAACTATGTTTTTAAGCTAATCCCTACTTCCACTAATTGTGCTTTTGGAAAGTCATAAAGCTGTGAGAGATATAGTTCAATATTTGTAAAAAAAAAGCTATACAATATTTTCTAGAAGCATTTCTAAAGTTCAGACGAATCGACGGAAATTGGGTCGCGATCTTTAAAGCCGATCGTAAACCAATACGAGCCACCCGATTGTATATATATATATATATATATATACATATATGAAAAAAAATGCCACACCAGGACTTTTGAGGGACTGTTCAGTTTGCTGGCATTATTTTTATTATTAAAACTCTATTACACTATATAGCTACTAACTATATCAACTCTTATTCCATTGTCAACACCTACGTTGTAAATGTCATTTCGGAAAGCCTCGAGCTGGCCTTGATTATCTTGTAAATGGATGTATGCAAAGCGTTCAACAATAATGCGACGATTATTATCGGACGACATATCGGCTCATTGTTATCCGTGGCTGTATTGGGAATTTTTGATAATCGACTGATTTGATCGCTACTTTATCAAGGCAATAGTTACTCAGGCGACGGAATTTCTTAATACCTGACTCACTAGCAGGTCTGCTTTAGAGTTCACCTATCTTGTTGAATATGCGACCATAACGGACAGAGTTCGGGCTTTGGCGAGGCAAAACTCAGCAAATAAGTGAAAAAAATAAATGGGACCCTTTTATTCTGATATAGAGCTACATTAAGCCTAGGAGTGTTTAGTAAATTGCAACATGAGAGGGACTTTTTTTTTATGAAATCGCTTATTGGGCTAAGATCTGTTTAAACAAACTTTTGAAGTTTTTTGAAGTCCGAAACATGTTAAAGAAACAAAGATATGACAAAATGTAATAAAAATTTTACAATATCTCTTTCTAAGACATCTTTAAAAAGTCTTTCTTCAACTTTTAAAAAATTATTTTCTTTACTCACACAAATTGCGCAATATTCGATTGATGCCTAAGTGTAATAATAATAGGCGTTTTTGCTTACTCCTTCCTTTATCCTGTTTTTTATTTACTCACCCTCAAGTTTTATATGCTGTTAAGGAAACTCTTTTGCTTCATAAAATTGTTGTCAACGGATATTTTGTGCAAGTCGCAAGATTCTCCCTTAAACTCGACTAATGGATATATTGAACCGTGAGAAACGGCATTTTCGACCTTTTCATTCATTTTTATAGAAGTAAAAAAATCGGCGAAACAATCCGGGACAAATGTAGCGTGTAGACGACGCTCAAAAGAGACCTGCTAATTTAAGATATAACGTTGCCTGCAAGTTAAAGGGCTCACTTCACTCGACTTTTCAGGTTTAACGGGGATCTTCTTGGGCTATTTTTAATGAGAGCCAATTGTTAAATTGGCCTAAATTTCTTAGCTATCGAGCCGTAATTTTACAGGGAACAAATATTTTAAATAACTCCCATAAACTTTTTTATGATCCGAGGAAATGACGCAAACAGGCTTGTGGAAAAAAGATTAAGTTTTTTAGCTTTATTTGAAATCATCGACCATTAGCTAACAAAGACTTAGAAAAAGAACGTAGTACGCAAAAATTGCGATTATTTATGCGTCAACGAAACATATATATGCGGAAAAACAACGGCTTTTTTCTTACTTTTTCGGCCAAACCGATTCACGACCCGTTCCTAAGAAGATTCGTGCTATGCACAGGTTTTGGCGGCGTACAGTTCAAATGCTATGACTTATTATACCGGAAACAGCACAGTTACCCGCAGTTGTCATTGTCGAAAGCGTCCTGCCTCGACCATTTTGCGTAAATATTTTCCTTTGCGGACGAAAGTTTTACACAAAAATTGAGACTCCTTATGTGTGTTTCTCACAAACAAAACATTAATTTCCTGGAAAAACAGTTACTGTAGTAATCGCATTGCTCTGCACAGTTCTAAATAAGATCATAAATGGGAATATTTATTGCAATTTCGTACTTCTTAATTGGCATTAATAATAGTCTTCTTCCTCGTACAGTTGTCTAGTAAATAGGAAAGTCTGGTCGTGATAGCCACAGTACGTAAAAACGTTACA